AATTGCTGTGTAATGACGCCCATGGTGATTTCTAATACCAACGGATACAACCTCTGGGGCGGCCGGCATAGGGCTGGACCACTATAGACGCCGTCCACCTGAGATCCCAGAATCACAGTTGAGATTTCTCTGCATATGAAGTATGACTCAACGCGCCCTTGGCCGCCATGCCTTTTGTCAACCCGTCAAACCCTTTCAACGCTATACGGCACGAGCTCGTCTCGCCCGCGCCGTATTCCCGAATATGGTAAATAATTCGCCGTCATCCCAACCCTCCTCACGCGTCCAGGCTCAAGGCCCAGCCCTTGGAGGCTTGGAACTCTCCCGCGCGGCCATTGCCACGTGAGAAAAGCGCCCGTCTGAAGTGCGTATATCCGAGACGGCATTATTGTCCATACAGAGTAGATGAAAATAACTCAACTTGCTGCCCAAACGAAGATAATCTCCTCGCCAAGCCCTGCACCCGCTTTGTCAGCGGGACCTGGACTGATGCATCGGCACAGGGAAGGGATTTCGGAACACGGGCGCTCCGCGGACGCCGACCGAATTAATTGACTTTGTTAGTTGGGGCTGGGGATTAGCATAGCATGACACATTGTTGTTTGCTGTTAAGGTTATGTTTTGAAAATACGACCTTATGCAAGGATGATCAAAGACTTGGAAACGGCCTGGGAATGGATCCGGCATGTTACGAAGATCAAGATCGTGAGAGCCATCATCCCGTCTTTTTGCAAGGCTTCCGCGTAGGGTAGTACTACGAGGAGATGAGTGAGAATGAGTAAGAATGAGGGGCAGCTGGGCTATGAGGTCGTGGGTTGGAGCATACAAATGGCAAACTTGACTAGGATGATTCATGATAGGAAAGTATACTAAGTATGCTGGGTCGAAGCATCTCGCCTCAATCTGCAACACCTTCATCTCAACTTGAAATGCTCCGAGAGACTGGGGTAAGACAGCCCCCATCCAGTGGTCCCTTCGCGGGGGTTTACCCAGCAGATCTGCATTATTTTCCGGTTTTTCCACGAGATTCAGGCGATTCAGATAAACCGCAAGCAAAAATTTCAACATCTTTGATATCAAAGTTGACTTGAGCTCTGTGTGGCTGAAATACTCCCATTCCGCTATCGCATTCGAGCCTCAGATCATTTCCTCCGGCGGGACATTACCCGATCCCGGTTTTAGCCTAATAGGGCGAAGAATGAAGCTCTTGAGGAGCTTTCCAATTTACCCGCAAGTAATGGGGGAAAAAGGCCACCTATCGTAGGATAAATGCAGCTCGAAGCTGGATCTTTGGTGGCCTTGACGCGGGTATTCGAGTAGTATTGCGGGGTAGAAAACCCCTCCATAGCACCATCAAGTTCCGCCCGGACACCAATTCAACCACGAACGTCGCCAACTACGAGTCCTACACGCGCAAAGACAAACCCAGTACTAGACAAAGAAACAGCAAAGCAAAATGGGCGACCACACCAGCGTCAAATTCTCCACCCTCGCCGCTATCATCCAGGAGTTCAACGTGGACGGGCAGAACATCGTTCAGGGCTTCACCAAGAAGGAATACTACGAAAAATACAACGCCCCCTGGTTTGGCGCAACTATAGGCCGCGTCGCCAACCGCATCAAGAACGGTGTCATTGGAAACCTCAATGGCCGCGAGTACAAGCTCGAGACGAACAATGCGCCCAACGCTCTGCATGGGGGCAGTCGTGGATTCGGACGGCTGGAATTCGAGGGGCCGACGATTATCAAGCGTGACGGCAAGGATGCTTTGCTTTATACTTATCTGAGTCCTGACGGTGACCAGGGGTATCCTGGTACCTTGGAACTGAGGGTCTACTACGTCGTCAGCGAAGAGGTCGAAGACGGGATTCCCAGATCAATTCTCAACATCGAGTACGAGGCTGAGCTGGTGGGAGATGAGGTCGAAGAGACGGCCATCAACATTACCAACCACAGGTAAGCAGTCATCTTTTTTGCATGAGTGCCCACGCATTCGTAAATAAACCAGATAGCTGACTACGAGCACAGCTACTTCAATCTCAGCGGCGGCCCCAGCGCCGCAGAAGGAACCACCGCTAAACTCGCTACAAGAGACTATCTCCCACTAGAGACCGGCATCCCGCTCGGTCCAGTCGAGCAGCACTCAGTTGACACGACGCAGCCCTTCGAGTTCGGCCCCAACAAGGCCGCCTTCGACGACTGCTTCGTCGTGGACCGCGACCTAAGCGCGGTGCAGATTGATACGCGCAGCCGGCCATTGAAGCTACTCGCTGAGTTCCGACACTCAGACACCCGCATGAACCTGCAGGTGCATAGCACGGACCCAGCCTTCCAGTTTTATTCCGGCGCCGGTATCGACGTGCCTCACGTTGACGGGGATAACCCTGCGCGGGGTGCTTGGGCGGGGTTCTGCATTGAGCCCAGCCGGTACGTCAATGCCGTTAACGAGCCTGAGTGGCGCCATACCGTTGTTTTGAAAAAGGGGGAGAAGTATGGAAGCAAGATTATGTATAAGGCGTGGAGGGGCTGAGCTGGGAACAAGTCAATGTTCATTAATTACTTGGGATTATCCAATCATTCCCGGACACCGTACCCATCGCTTGGTTCCCGTTACAAATGTATTAGAAGTCTGGATGTTTAGTTGACCTCGGAGTGGTAGAAACGGTGCCGACTGTACCGATCCATCCCCATATCCGTTTCATAGTCTTGGGGACTTGTTGTCAATGTCATCCAATCCAAGCGGGCCCATGTCAACTCCACCACGAAAATTCTGTAAAGGCCTCACTAATCACAGTGAATTATGACTTTGGAAACCCAGCGCAACACCGCGATAATAAGCGATCAGTTCCACTTTTTCGGGCATCCAGCGCGCTCAAACGTCAAATCCGCGAGACGGTGGATATACAGTCCGATCCGAGCGCAAAGTGCGAGCTCCCCAGTGTGGCTCATGTTCCTGAGCGCCAAGGATTCTCGAAGTCGGCGCTTGTTCTAGCGTTCCAGCACTGAGCGTGATGCCTGCGCAAACCTTTAAAAAAACACATTTCCCTTCACTAGCGTAAAATACAAGCCCGGCTCTGGGGCCGCCTCGTCCCAACCCCCGTACGGTATTGTATCGAATACGGCGATCTGTCGGAGTTGCAAGCTCGGAACGGAGAGTTGTGCATCCTAGGGTCCGACTCACGGGCTGCTTCAAAGTTTACCTAGTGTCCTCAGTAACGGCTGAGAAATGATCTACTCATACCCAGGTAGGTAATTGACGAGGGGGTGCAGCAGCAGGGTTTTTGGAGTCGCTGCCGCTGCTCTCGTCTCAGGAGAAGTTGGCGCAATCATTACTAGTTAACGAACGCGATGTTGTCAGTCAGCCGTCCATCGAACAGAGAAGTGCTTCAATTAGGTAAGATGCGTACGTGACGGAGAACGGCACCTCGGAGAGGACGAGAGGGATCAGGATCCAGGATGATTTGTGAGCTTCATCGGGTTCGAGCTCTTCTCCGCGGATGAACTACCTCCCCGGGCTTTCGGGCATTAGATTTGTCCTGAGTCCTGACTTTGATGAGGCCAAGAGGTGGCCCTTGGCAATGATCGGAGACGGAGTGTGGACTGAAGTATCCGTACTCTGGTCATCCTTAATCATTCCAGACAGCAAAGAAATAACTATAGGAGATCCTTGTCCTCCGCTCCAGTCGCACAAAAGGCATGTGTGGCATGGTCAATGAACGGATGCAGGCGTATATCCGGCTTAAGTCCTTCGACCGCCAGGACGTGTCCCGGTTGTTTTTTGTACTTACCAAGTGCGCATAGTCGGCATGGTCGCATAACGGACTTTGCTGATGCCGGTATGCGTGCGAGCGTTGTTGATGGACATCAGCAAAAGGCCAATAACGATTGACACCAAACCAAACCCTGCAATCATCACAAGATCAATCCCACCCGACCTAATAATGCATGCCCCCGTCTTGGGCTTTGTATTCGCTCCAGGTTCGAGCTCTTATGGTGGCCGTCAGTTGCTTACCCCGCACTCGAGTCCTTTTTTTTTTTTTTTTGCTTGATAAAGAAATCGGGGAAGGTTTCGCGAGTTGGTTTTGGTTTTAGTATACCGTGCACATGTACTCCGTACTGTCATTGTTAATGGATGTCTCGATTACGGTATTCTGATTTGTTTTGATCTGACCGCATAGAGAAAATAAGTAATATATTCCGCCGCAAAACCAGGCACTTTCTCGTCTTATCTTACTCGAAACCCTCAATATCCAGTATACTTGGGCCAGTAGAACCCAAGCCTTGGCTGACCCCATCCCAGAATGATGCTGCCTACACAAAACACTCTCACCAACGGGGCAGTGTTCGCGCCCCATAGCGATTTAATTATTCTTATCCCAGCGAACTGAGCTCGTTTCAGTTCCAACCAAAGGGCAGTGCTCTTTATTATTAATTCCGGCCTATACGAAGTACGACTTACGAAGCCCCCATGCAGACAAGACTCTTGGGGGGAGCGCCGAGAAAGCCGGCTTTTTGGCAGTTCGGCGCATCCCTGACCTCAGATCCGCATTAGTCAATCCTTTCTCGAATCACGCTCGTAGTGATGCTTGGCTCGTAGTACTTTCCTCATAGAATCCACGTTTGGTTTCGTATTCGCTCTCGAGATCCTGTGTTGTCCAAACGAGCAGCAGATGTGACGTTATGCTCAGACTAAGTCTGCTCGAGATCCTTGATGATATTGCTAGGCGCTTCCATGGAGAGTTATTGTATGTAACATACCCTTTCTCAAGCTGTAATGCTCTTTGCAAATACCTAATCAACATACCAAGTCTTTTGCTTCTGGTCTTCTTTGAGTACACTGCGAATGTTAACCACGTGATATCAAGTCCTCACCCCGGAACTACCCGAGCCCTCCCCGCGCCGAAGCGGGGAGTCACAATTCCCCTCCATGATGATCATCTTCAGCCTGCGTCTTCTTTATTTATACTCTAGGCACATAAAAAAGAAATTAATAGTGCACAATGGCATCATCACACGGTGACCTCCGCCATCTCCTCCCGACTTCATACAAACGGCTCATCTCCGAATGGCTGGAGGAAGACTGCCCCAGCTTCGACTACGGCGGGTTCGTCGTCGGGGAGTCAGAAGGTGAGGCCAAGTTACTCGGGAAGAGTGAAGTACGTTTGCCTTTTCTCTATACAGGAATGGAGTAGTAGCTAATTGGCGTGATCAGGGTGTAATCGCCGGTGTCCCATTCTTCGACGAAGTCTTTTCCCAGCTTGGATGCTCGTACGTCTCAGACAAAAACACACCTTGACCTGACCCTTCCCATCCAAACCAAATGCTAATGAATAACGCAATTAAAGAGTCGAATGGCATCACCACGAAGGCGAAACCCTCCCCGCGCAAACAAAAACCCACGTCGCAACCGTCCGCGGCCCCATCCGCAAGATCCTGCTCGGCGAGCGCGTCGCCCTAAACATTCTCGCGCGGTGTTCCGGGATCGCAACCAAGACGTCCTCGCTTGTAAATGCGCTACGCTCGCACGGATGGCAGGGGACACTAGCAGGGACACGCAAGACCACGCCGGGCTTTCGGGTTGTTGAGAAGTACGGGATTCTCGTTGGCGGTGCGGATCCGCATAGGCATGATCTGAGCAGTATGACTATGTTGAAGGATAACCATGTTTGGGCCTGTGCGAACAATGCGGCATCTAGGACGAGGACACCTGGTGTGAGTGATGAGGAGGATATAGCCGCGGCGATTCCGAAGGCCGTGCAGGCTGCGAAGGCGGTTGGGGGGTTTTCAACGAAGGTTGAGGTTGAGGTGCGGAGTATTGAGGAGGCGAACACGGCAATTGAAGCTGGAGCTGACGTAGTTATGTTGGACAATTTTACGTCCGATGGGGTGCGTGAGGCTGCGAAGAGGTTAAAGGAGGAGTGGGCTGAGAAGGGGAAGCCGAGAGGCTCGTTTTTGGTCGAGGTCAGTGGTGGGCTGAATGAGGGAAATGCGGTGCAGTATGTATGTGAGGATGTGGATATCCTGTCCACGAGTTCAATCCACCAGGGTGTTGGTATCGTGGATTTCTCGTTGAAGGTTTCGCTGCGATAGTAGACAAACTGGATAATATCATGAATGTATAGTATACTTGTATCATTTGCAAATATTTTGGTATCGTACATCTCTAGCCTTCTCTCTAAAGGAAAAAAAAAAAAACACAGTATGTACTTAGTATTTAGATTTCTCTAACCACATCTCCAACCATCTCCTCTCGAGCCTCTCAGCCTCCCAACCCTCTGTTCCCTGAGGAAGACCCTGTCCTCCCCGCTCCTCAACGGCAACCCTTACCTCGGCGCTCTCCATCGCAGAAACCCCCCCACCTTTCCGAATCAACTTATCATCCAACGCAAGATACTCCGCATACTTCCTCAACCGCGGGCGATACAACGGATTCACCAGCACCGTAGACCTGGTATGCGTTTTGACAAGCCCAAATACCGCACAAGCCCTCAAGATATCTTCCGCAGTAGCTCCTTCCACAAACGACGGGCTCGCAAACCCAGAAAGCAATTCCAGTTCCTCATTCGATCCCGCTTCCGGGATCGAAACAGACCCTTTCATTGCTGCGGAATACGCACTCAACGCAGCGCGCTTCCGATCTGCCCGTTGCGCGCTCTCCTTCGCAATCTGTTTCGGGATTCGGCATGTATACGGCGTGACGGAGTTCCCAAACGCGAGAATCAGAAGCGGCGTGAATTCACCGCAGATTATCAGAATCAATGTGAAGGGTATCATGCGCCGGACGTCATGGGATGCACGGTGCAGAAGCTGGAATGTAGAGCGGCTAGTTCGGGTTTCGATGGCCTCATGCTTCTTATCACTTCTGCCGCCGCTTTTAAGAAAGAACTTCGATGGAGGCGGGGAAGGTAGATATGATGGAATGCCTAAGGAGCGACGGATCGGTAGCGACGTTCGATAGTTGTGATACACATTTTTGAGGCCTGTTTTGTAAAAGGAGAGGAAGGCGCGTCCGTAAGCAATCCAACGGGTTACTTTGTCGTTAAGAGGTGCGGAGGGAGATATTGGTTCGGGGAGTTCGAGGTCTGCTGGGCGGGTGCTTGGGGGTGGATTGACATCGTTTGTGAGGGGAGTAGAGGAGGTCGAGGAGGTCGAGGGGACGCGCTTGTCCTTGGGCTGCGCCGAAGTCGATGGACGGCTGTGAGACTTCCCCGACGAGTAGCGGAGGTGAAGTCGATGTCGCGGGTTCTGCTGAAGGAACGGGCCGAAGGCGAATTGGGGTAATTGCGAGTTTAAATGAGAGAACCGAGCTCTCTGCGTGCTGATTGACGCCATCGATGCGAAATCTAGGAGATGGGTTGGCTGAGGAGAGAAACGGAGCTCAGTCAAGTGAACTGGCCAAAAGATGAATCTGGGGTGGCATGGAGGCCTCAGGCAAAAACAAGATGAACAGCCAAAAAGCCTCGCGTTCCAATATTATTTGAATTTTAATTAAATTCAATTCGAAGCTAGTTATCCATTATCATCATTACTTTGATCTCAGTTTGTCAGGGTTAGGAGTATGAATGATGTTATGACTCATCGCTTGATAGTAATTAACGATATTATATATAGTGCAGTTCTTCGTATCTCGTCTTCCATCACAATTCCTTTCACGAACTCGATCGAAGGGACAAACCAACAATGTCTCTCGCATTCAACCAGCCCACTGCTCTCCTTTTAATTGACAACCAAAAAGGCTTCGATGCTGATCCCAACACCCCATGCCACTGGGGTAGTCAACGCTCTAACCCCTCTCTTCTTAACAACCTCAACGCACTCATAACTGAATTCCGCGCTGCCAAGTCCAGAAACTCTGGAATCGAACTCCAAATTATACATATATTTCACAGTTCCGTATCTCCAACCTCTGCTTTGCACCCCACTGCAGACAACGGGGCTGCTATCCAACCGTTGGACATCGCCCAACCAGCCCCCGACGGCTCTGAACCCGTCATGTGGAAGCACGTTAATTCTGCGTTCATCGGAACGAGGCTGGAACAACATCTTCGAGACCACGGGGTTAGACAGCTCATTATAGCCGGGATTACGACGGATCACTGTGTTTCGACTTCGGTGCGGATGGCGGCGAATCTGGGCGTCGTGGACCGGTATCCTGGAGGCGAGCCGGTTCTTCGTGCCGATGGGAGCCAGGTCCGTGCGGTTCCTGTTGATAAGGGCCGCATTATTCTTGTTGGGGATGCGTCTGCAACTTGGGCGAAAGGGGGATTTGACGCTGAAACTGTCCACGCGGTTACGCTGGCGAGCTTGGATGGGGAGTTTGCGGATGTGAAAAGCACTACAGAAGTGATTGATGCTTTGCGAACTCTGAAGTAGGCCATTTCATTATGTATATACTGCAATGGTAATTCAATAAAGGAAGGGCTACAACTGGACCTTGACGGCAATCACGTTGTTGGAAACGAATCCCGTTACAAATAGCCATGCCTCTTTCTGAGTCGCCCCCTTGGCTGGATTTATGGGCACGAGAACTGCAGCACTCGCAGACCGGATGCTTGACCCGTCATCTTCAAAGATCACACGCTTTTCCCATCCCGTGCCATCCTTGCTTCGTCGGATATACCAGACGATAACGCCTTCTGTGGCTGCTGGGTCATGGTGCGTCTTTGGAAGGTCAATAGCTCGTCTGAGACCAGCTAAGACGTACCCACTAGCATCGTCATCTACTGTTCGATAGGGATCATCGTAGTAGCTGGGATTATCAATTATGCTGTCGACCGATATGTCGTCTCGGATGGATAGTGTTCGGCTGTGGTCCTTGCTCGCTTGGGTACGCCACATAGTCCCTCCTAGGACACTGGTTACAAGTATCTCCTCATCCGACTGACCATGGCCAAGACCGTTGGCTGCCCACAAGTTGGGCAATGCTATAGTGGCGTTGACACCAGCGGTTTCATCGCTAGCCGTGAGACGATCAAGCTGGACATGAACTACGTTGGTCCATTTAATCCAGGGCACAAAGTTCTCCACAAGCCGCATATATCCACGGAGGTAGTAATGGTCATTGGTAACATAGAATGAGTAGGGACCAGTTGCGTATATATCATTCGGTGCTTTCACCAACGGATGGCGAACAGAGCGAACGTGGCGAACTGTACTCGTTTTCAAAACGTGATGGAAGACTTCGATCTGTGACCGTGCCTTGTGGATGTCCGTATCTGGCTGATACTCAGGATTTCCCAAGTGGTTCACAGCGAAGATATAGACCGCGTCTGACCGGTCAGGGTCCTGAACCACATCGATCCCGTGAGTAACAAAGGAACCCGGAAAGTTTTCGAAAGTAAGACGGGATGATTTCAGCGTCTTAAAATAAAAATTAGCACCGTAGCTGCTCACCCGGGAGAATTAAAGTTTACCTGAGGGTCAATGATGTGAATGGACCCTGGTGTCTCTGGTGGCTTGTCTAGATGGTCGAGAGGAGGGAACCACTGGAAGCGAGGAAGCACTGAATCCTCACATGCTGCAAATAGAAGGTTACCCGGGGCATAGTAGTGTATATCTTCGCACTGCAGGGTATCCGGGATTTTGTGGATATCTTGGTTTGAGGATACAAAAATAGGGCTTCGATATACTCCGAGAACCGTGAGGTGATGGCGGACGCCATTATAAAGTAGGGGTCCGGCGGCCGCCACCAGAATGAGGAACAGGGAAAACTTCGAGATGGCCATGGCTACATTCGGATCTTTTGGGGTGATGAAAGAAAGAGAAAGAGAGAATAAAGAAAGCCGAGAGGAGGTTAAGAGACCTCGGATGACGACAGAGGGTGGAGTGGTCCCTTTCTCCGCAACGGTGGGGGAAACAATTACACCCCATACCAAATACTACCTCGGACCGTTGGCGGCGACGATCGTGTGGAGTTCAACCAAAACACTACAAGGAGCCGGAATACTAATAATCAAAATAACATCCATCGCTATCCAATTTAAGATACAGAAGCGAGACACAGCGTAGAACATGACGGGCAACTTAATTCACCTGGCTGTGCTGTTATCCCCGGAAACCAAAAAAGAAAAAGAAAAGAAAAATTCAGTAGCAAAGATCATTTTTCGGTCATAAGATTGCTGTTTTCACAAAGTAACTAGTGACCAGAAGAGTTGGCGTCCAGAAATTCCTGGTCACTGGCATCCAGAATATCGTATTCCTCATCGGTCAGGAACCCAGCCTCGGTCTCGGTCTCGTCATCCAAAGTCAGGCTGGCCACATCATCGAGAACATCATGCTCAGATGTGTTGCTCACAGAGGGGGCAGTGGGCGGCACACCGGCAGCTTCGTGTGTGCTCGCTGATGGTGATTCCTTGTCAAGTTTGGGGAAGACCATTTGGCTTTCCGAGGCGTTAGAGTTGTCGGCCGCAGGAGGCTCGGGCGCCTTTTCGTCAAAAGCTACATTTCTGGCTTCGTCGACATTAATCAAATCCTCCCGTACTTCAACTTCACACCAAAGCCTGTGTCCGAAGGGTGTACCATCTGCAAGCTTCATACGCCAGTACGAGATGGCAGTTCCTAGGCGTTTGGGTGCTTTCAAAGTCACGGTAAACTGTGCGCCTTGGCCTGCCTCCAGTGGCTTAGACAATTTGTTACTTTCCATGGCAGCTGTGACTTCTTCCAGACTGCTGGGTTGGTTGGTGTTCACATTAAACATGGAATCGCCGCCAACGAAACGGACATTGCTTCCAGCAGGCCACGCAAGTGGGCCGGGATTGTATAGCTTCCACGTCTGCTGGAACACCTGATCGGGGCGCATCACAGTTCCGTCGGATACTGTATCCTCAAGGAAAAATGCCTGGTATTCAGAATTGAGGCTCGGGCCATAAGTCTGCTCAGGCTTAACCGCCTGCTCTTCTTTGTTTGAAGTTGAGAAAGCACGCGAGTTGCTTTCCTCGAGAGCATGTTCCTCCTCCCTAGATACAGTCTGCGACGACAGGGTCTCTGATTCGAGCTCGGGCGGAGTGGAAGCTTGAGTAGAGGTGGATCTCTGATTGCGGTCGCCCAAAATGTTGGTCTGTCTGTTGAGGGTATTTTCGTGGACGGTGCTCACGCTAACACTGCGCACTGGCGTTTTGAACAGGACCATTGGATGAGTGCGGTTGTGCGAATTATCCGGATGAACTTCGCATTTGTCACAAAAGTCTACGTCGTTGCAAACAGAGCACTTGTAACGAACGCCAGTAATGAACCCCGGTCTCGACTTATCTTTGCATATTGGGCCATCGCAGTACACGCCAAAGTGAACTTCGTGGGGCTGCAGCGGCTCGGAGATGGCGGTGTAAAGCGGAGCAAACCGATGTCTAGGGTGAGTTTGGGACGCCGAGAGATGGCACTCAGAGCAATAATCCCAGTCGGGGCATGTAAGGCATTTGTGACGCACACCGGTAATATGCTAAAGTCGAGTTAGCAGATGTCTCCAAACGTCTTATAAGTGTTACAACGTACGCTCTCACAGCCATCACATATAGCCGCATGGTGATAACCACGGCCGGGCTTGCAGCGGGACAAAACAAGATTCTTTAGTCCGGCATCATGATCACCTAGCAACGCAAAGGTGTGTGATGGGTGGTGTCCATGCTTATGTCCAAGAACGCATGTTATACAGAGATCAAAGTCTTCACAGTCAGCACAAGACACCATTTTGCTCTCATCAAACTCTGCAGTCAATTAGCCCGGTCCAAATGCTGATGAACAAAAGAAGGCGTTTTTATTAAAATATACGTACCCTTAAGGCAGTTATTGCAGATACGCTCAGAGCTGAAAATAGGAGCTTCAGCTTGTTCAGGCTCACTTTTTGGTACTGACAACGCGGGTTGAGATTCTTCCTGAGTTAGAATCTTGTGAGACGCAAGAGTTTTTGTCGTGCTATTAGTGATGATGCCATCCTTTACGAAACGTCGCACCAACCAATGCTCATCCCCGTGGCAATTAACGCCGGAATCAACGCATTGTGGGCAAAGGTCGTAATCACCATCGGCACAGGTGTTACAATGATAGTGTTCATTTGGGATAGGACGGCCACAGTGGTTGCAGTCAATGCAGAAAACTCCGGCATGAGAGGTGTGAGAAACGATCGGGGCACTCGGAATGTCGGCGCCTAGGATAAATTCTCTCTGACTGGCAGGTTTTGAGTCAGTTGTCTCAGTATTCGGCAACTGGCGGATCTCAGTCTCGTCCAACGTGGACCTTTCTGTACTCTCTGGCAAAGTCGCCGATGGCATTGCAGAACCAATCTCTGCGCCAACTGTTTTTGCAGGAATTGGAGAGCTCAAAACGGTTTCAAGATAGCTATATCTTGCTGGCCCATGCGGTTCGCTAGAGCTATCTGGAACTGCAGCCTGAGTTGTGGGCTCGTGGACAGTGGCTTTGATCCGCAGCTTCAATTTAGCCTTAGCAGCTCGGTAGAGTTGTTTGAAAACTGCAGGATTATTGGTGTCAAGCTGAACATAAGAACCTGCGCTATCGGAATACCGCTCGAAGATCACGTTGGTATCCGCCGGGATGCCAAGCAACTGGCGCAACTACAGTGAGAATGGTCAGTATTAAGTGGTATGAGGGTTGAATTGTCTGCCTCGGCGTATAACAGACTTGGAAATACACAAGATAAGAATGAGGCATAGGACAAGAGAACGACAGGGAGGGCGAAGGGGCCGAATGTACGGTGAAGACCGCCGATGGCCGCGGTCGGAGCTAGAGTGGGGACAGAACCTACATTCTGGGGTAAAGTACGAGCTCCAAGATCTCTCAGCGGAATCTTGAAGCGTCTAGTGTGGTCATCATATGTAACCTTAACAGTGATCAAGGTGCCAGGCCCGACTGGAGTGGTAGCAGGAGCGGACATAACGGCGTGCCCTCGAGTAGTTGCTCGCCGGGCGGGTAGCTATGCTAGCTTCAACAGATAAGACAACGGAGATGCGGAGACGAGCTCGATAAGTCAAGATAAAGAAGACGTACAAAGCAGAAATTTAAGAGAGCGATGAAAGATGAAAGAAGATGAATAAAAGACGAAAAAGCAGATGAGGAGGCAGCAGGAGATGACGAGGACGAGGCGAGGCAAGGCGAGGCGGAGGGAAGTTGAAGAGGAGAGGAGCAAGAGTGAGGCTTATAATTGGCAGATAAGAAGATGCCTGGACAGTCGGCGCTGGTCGGCGGTCACCTGCCCTGCTGTGCTGCACCCGGAGGCGGTGGGCTTACCTAATGCATTCACTGCTTGGCAGTCGTGGTGCCATCACCTGTGACATAGGCTGTGACATAGGCTGCGAATCAGTCTTCAAGCCCCGCCAATTGGTTGACTACAGGGAGGCTTGCGAATTTGAGCTTATGGATTTTTGTTCCAGCTTGGTTCTTTTACTAACGTTCTTCATTCCAGTGGCTGAGAGAGGGGATCCCGGACAAAGCTAAAGGGAGAAAAAGCAAATACGAGGCGATGATGCAACCGGGCATACGAGAGGAGCTTAACCGACAAGCATTATGGAGTCCCAAGAAGTCGTCGGCGTAAAAGCATCGAGTGGAAAAGGTCGAATGAAGAAAATCTGATAGCCAGCCTAGGCCGTCACCGAGTTCACTGTTGTTGCATAATAATATAATATCATAGGTAGTTGAGACGCGCTCCATACAGACTCCTGAACAGTATCAGAACATATAATAACATCAAAAGCTCGCTAGAAATGCATCAAATCCTAATCTAACGACGACTAATAAAACGAGAATCTCCGGGAGAAACATGCCCGGAAAGCCAAAAGAAGCCGTAAGAATTTTTTGGAAATGTGGCAGAAGCAATGTGGTTGCAAATGACAAAGAAAAGCGCCGAAGCGGAAAGTCGCTGTAGAGGAGCTGGGGTAAGGGACTCATTCATGAAACGGCATCAAAAGAGGGGAAAAGAAAATGAGAAAGCGAAGGTAGCGAAGAATTATTCAAGTGAAGCTTCTTTTTTGGTGTATTTGTCCTTTTTTTTTGGTGTCCTCCCGTGGGTTACTGTGAGGGATAATAAGCACCCTGGGGTTGAGGATAATGGTAATATGTCGCACTAGGCGTGATCCCACTCATGCCAACAGCGCCACCTGGGGGACCCCCGCCGCCATACGTTGGTCCTGGGTACATCTGTGAAGCATCAAGATAATAAACCGTGCCGCCTGACTCATGTGCAACTGTGCCTGCTTGTGATGTTGTTTCAGATGGCGTGTGTGTAGCCGGGACCATATACGGGACGTTTTGATTCGCAGGGAAAGAAGCTCCTGGTCCCGTCCCAACCCCATTATATGGCGCATACTCTGCGCCCGAAACAGGATAATAAACAGGCCCCGGCTGGTATGGACCAGGGTAGTAGGTCGGGGTTTGTTGATATCCATATGCTTGAAACGGGGGGGCGTGAACTGCGCGCTCGGGTATTTGGGACAGGGGAGTAGCGGCTGTAAGTGCTGGGGGAGGGTAGTTTGCAGAAACATCAGGACCATGGGACGGACCACTGCTGGACATAGGGGCTTGATGATGGAACGGCTGTTCCTGTTGCGCTTGCGGTGGATTGACGGGGAAGCTGGCTGGGGTTTCAATGTCCGCTAGAGAAACAGCCTTCTGCGGGCGAGGTTGATGTATTGTGATTGGAGTAGCACGACTCTCACGCCAGATGGGATGCTGCGGTTGTGGTTGAGGATGGGGGTAGGTCGTGGCTGGAGTAATCGGTGCAGCACCCGGTGCACGGGGAGGTGGCAGCCGAACAACGGGTTTCCCATTCTCAGTTGTGACTACTGTCTGCCGTGAGACGACCGACGCCGCTGGGGAAAGATAACCATCTTGGGATGGTGGTTTACCGAAAGACGACCTTCGGCTCATAGCGACACTGGGTGTATACGTAGAGCTTGCGTAGACGCTTGGGCGTCGTCCATGCATGTAGCCACCTCGACCACGCCCACGAAAAGATTGTTGGTTGGGCCGTTGCGCTCGGGGGATGAAGACAAAGGATCGCACTATTGCAGGGAAAATATATCTAGCTGATTCGCCAGGAACTGATATTCTAACAGGCTTGTCTCGGCGTAGAGGAGGTCGATGTTCAGGTAGACGGGTATATTGTTTTTTCTCAACTGCAGGAAAGGTGACCGGCTTATCCATGCCTGGAAGATACACCACAACAGGTACTTTTCCAGCAACCACGGTGGTTGAAAAAGATCGGTTTGGAGTTGAGGTATTGGGAGCCGTGGGCACGTGCGTGGGAAAGTTCTTATGGGAAAATGTCGAGGTGTTCGTTGAGGCATTAGGTCGTCTAGGAGCAGGCGGATCGTCTCCAGCAACAGTATCATGAAGATCATGCGTCCACGGCCCATCAGTAGTAATATCTTGTTTCCTAAGAGCATTGGTTAGAATAATGCACACCGGATCGTTCATTCGATATAGCTGGGCTGCGGTTTTAGGGTAACGTATGCACATACCTCCGAACATTGCCATCGACAATGAGACCGTACGGCCGGGATTTAGGCTTGTTAGAGGGCTTGTGACCGTTGGCGCCAGTTTCCGACGAGCGTTTGTCATGGAGGAAAAAGCTACCTCGGGTAGGCACAAAAGTGGGATCCTCGCCTTTTCCCCTAGCACTTTTGTCATGCTCCGAACGTTTTGTTTCCATGAACGATTCTCTCGTCGGTTCAGTGGGTGGTGCGGAAGGTGCTCTTCCAGCCCGATCGAACTCCCCTCTCATGTTGTCGAAATGGATTTCCTCAGCGCTTTTCCCCTCGCCCGATATCTTCAACCCATTCATCATCGCATCCGTATCAGAAATCGCCGTCGCTAACGTAGCTTTTTTGGGGGAGACTGAATGGTGACGGCGGGGCCCTTCTGGCACACGACCATTGACCTGTTGACTATTCGGATTGTCGACTGGTATATTCTCGTCCTCACTATCGTCACTACCTTCCCCGTCTGCATCATCATCATCCTGGTGGCTTCCGACTGAAGCCTCGCTTAGAGAGTCCTCCTCCACCTCTCCGTCCACCGAGCCTTCGTCCTCACCTTCGTCTTCCCGTCTCCTTCGTCGGCTCGCACCTATATTGTGTCGACGGGGTGCCATTTCGGAAGAACAATAGTGGTAATTTTATATAGATGGATTTCGAATCGATAAACAACGGGGCGTTGAAAAGGAGAATCCAGGTATGGGTGCACCGACCAGCACCGACCAGCAGCGGAGAGAGAGAGGCGGGATGACGAACTCCAAACAAAAAAAAAAATGAAGGGGATAACACCAGGCTGAGAACAGAAAGAAGACTTATATAAAACTATACTAAGAGTAAAGAAGAGCACCCTAGAAGAGGGAGGGAGGAAAGGAAAGAAAGCAGTCGAGAAGATTTGATGGTTTCCAACGTCGAGGCATGTCATCGAAGGAGATGTCAAGTACCCCAAGCCGGTTTAGCGCGGCCTAACCACCTCAGCGATTCTAGAACACTAACTATCAACAAGCCAAAGTTGTTCCAAAAGTATAATGTTAGCGGCATCATTCCGGGCAAGAAACCGGAAGGTAACCTGCATTTGTTCTCTGGAACCACTAGAGTTATTTGTTCCTTTTCTTCCATGCCACAAACCCACTACAGCTACCTTTGCAACATCCACCCCAGCAAACCATGCTGACTGGAGCGGGTTTTGCGATTTTAACTCGTCAGCTATACCCCATACCAGTGGTTTCTACGAAACAAAAAGGTGGCACAACCAACAGGCCACTGGTCTTTGATAAATGTTGGGACAAAAAAAGTGTGTTAGGAAATTCATTCCTTGGGTATCAGTGATCTCTTGCTTCTCTCGTGCCACGTCGGACTGCCCAATATAGTAACCTCCTGCGGGATTGATGAATCCTCAGATAATAAGCATCAACTTTCGCAGGTCCGTAGACGGCTTCAGTCTGGCCCGTGGATACAACTTCACAATAGTCATGGGAGGTGCCAGCGTGGGTACCTGAAATCAGGGCCAGGAAAATGCCTATCCTTCTTGGTTTCAGTCAAAGGTTGTCTTCCTTCCCTTGCCCTCAACAATAGCACCACTTAGCTTTTGCACTGTCGATTCATCATATCTGGAGTAATCTGGCTTTGCGTGCTTGAACTTTGTGGTTTGACTACGCTGGGGCTTTCCTTCATCTGCAACCTCCTCAAAATCCCCAAGCTCTGCATCGCCATTATTTTCAGTATCTCCCTTCTTCCCGTCGCCACCTTTACCGAATCGCTTATTATAGCGGGTTGTCGCATCTTCGGCAAACTCGATTCTCATGCGTCGCCCCAAAACTTGATTCACCCATATTTTTCTCCGCTGCGGCTTAGTAGGTTTTCCGGGCGCTGACTCTGAACTTCCTTCACCCTCATTATCTTCTGTAATGATCTTAAACCCTCTCACTGCCGTTTCAGCAGCTGGAATATCCTCAAATTCGACCCATGCATAGCCTTTGCATTTCCCCGAATCCTGAAAGGTGGCCAGGTGTACGTTGGCAACGGTTCCACATTTTGCAAAGTGCTCTTCGAGCAGCTCTTTAGTGGCATCAAAGCTGAGATTACCGACAAACACACGTTTGGATGGAGGCCGTCCCGAGACAGCATCTTTGCCATCCGCCCGAGACTTCTCTGGTCGACCCTGATAGTTTTTCGCATCTTTGATCAGCACACGACGCCCAGTAACAAGATGCTCGCTTAGATCCAATGCTTCTTTCACGGCTTTGGGCGTAGAAAAGTCAACGTAGGCGAACCCTTTATTTTGCGCCCTCGAATTCTTGTCTGAAGGCTTGGGAAGATGAATTCGGGTAATTGTAGCATCTGTGAACGAACAATTAGACGTCAAAAACCGCCGTAGGTCCTCTTTAGTCACAGAAAATGCCAGATTCCCTATCCAGACGCCATAGTCTGAGCGTTTCTGAGTGGCTTCAGTCTCTGCGGGGTTTTCGGTTTTGGAGTCCGCGCTTGGTTTCGACGAATCATCAGAGGTTTTCGTATCTGTGTCACCAGATTTCTTCTTAGCTTTACGCAGAGCTTTCTTCGAGGGGGGCTCAGGCGCAGAAACATCGATCTCGAGTTCAGGGCCGTCGAGCAGCTTTCGCTTCTTGTGGTTTTCTTCGCTAACGGCCGTCATTCTGTCTCGATATATTCTAGGCAATAAAAATACAGACTAGACAGATAAAAGGCGAAAGAGTTAGAAAATTTATATGATCAACGGAGAGAAAGATAAATTGTGGTGATGGTGGATAAATATTGGCTCTTGTTCTGCCATGATTTTTTTTATTCTTTTGACGGGCAGAATCTTTCCGCCTTTGAGCTTCTCGGCTCGACTGGCGCGACCGCGAGGGTTGGTCTATTATTGATCATCTCCCTCAGCTGGTGTACCGTCCACCCGGCTTAATTGGACTTTCGACAGCGCAAATCCTGAATTTCGAGGACAACATCATTCTTGAAGAAATTAATCACAGCCCTCCTAATCATGTCTCAAGAAGGCGACGAAACACGGTCTTTGGCCGAGAGCCTCCCAGATGCTGATGCCCCTACCAAGCAGTCCCATCGATCATTCAAGTAAGCGCAGACCGAGGGGTACAACAGTAATTGACAATGCTAATTGGAGTTTTTTTTTACTACAGGAAGAAATTTGCAAAGCTCAAAATTCAATTTGAACGCAAAATGAAAGACAGCGAGACGCTCATTCACGAGCAGTTGCGCATCGAGGATCTGTCAAAGAGAATTCAGGAGCAAAACGAGTTAGTTATTTGGTCATCACGCGTCTTACGTTCATTAATTGATACAATTATAGTCAACTCTTGGAAGTTCTTTTGGAGTTCAACGAAACCGTGCACATCTCGCCCAAGCTCCGATACGATTTGAATGTCCCTGGTGACGAAGACATTCTTCCAACCCCTGACGGGGAGCTTTCGTCACCCTATAATGACCCTGAATCGACCACGTCAGCATTAAGGTCTGCAAAGAATGAACTATCAACCGGATATATAACGGCCGAGTCATATGAAAAGCTTGAGAATAGCGTCAAACGAGGCACGGCGTTTGCACCTTTATTGCGGTACACGGATTTGACAAAAGTTCCTCATTCTGCTCCTGAAGGCCAGAATTCGATAACCCCAGCAGAAGATGCTAGCCTGAACCAAAATCTTGGCTTTCTGACCCCAGAGCATGAAACAGAATACTGTCTTGCCACAGATGCAAAGTTAGGTGATATGTCAGCCGCCGTTCAACTGAGCCGCGTCCCGGAGAAGCCATCCTTGCTGGAAAGAGAAAGGGAGCATGCTCTTCGAAGTCCTGTCTCGGTCCATCATTGGTTGCGCAAAAACCATCCTAATATCTTTCTACAAGATAACGAGAATGCTTCTGAGAAATCAGGGTCGCGACCTTCAAACCTGCGCGCTTCCAAGCGATCGGCACCTACTTCTCGTAAAGACGAGGACACTCACGACGAAGATAGTGTCGTGATGGACTCTGGTCTCACATCGGGCGGTTCCAAGGCCAAACGTAAGCGCGATGAGGAGAGCACTCCTCGAGCTAAGGCCGGCACCGGCGGTCGCTCAAATCGGAAGAAGAAGGACGAAGGTGTCTCAAACACCAAGCGTCCTGCAAAACGATCCTCTGGTGCTGGCGCATAAACTTGGTGTTGCATTTTGAGCAACCTCATTTAGCAACCTCACTTGTATTATTAGTACATTTACGTCATTATCATTCCATGTTGACCACCTTCGCGAAGCTTATTTTATACTCTGCAGCCTGATCTTCACTGTACTGCGGGCTGTGATTTCGAAATTGGCCCCTATATTGTGAATATGCAACTTCTATGGCGCCTCCGTTTTATCAGTTGTAGCCATCTTCGATATATTACAGTCCATGCCAAAAATGTTGAATTACTGAGCTAGCCGATTAAACCCCCTAATATATATGATATACTCTAGATTATTAAAGCTAAGATGAAAAAGGTCGGAAAAAGAAAAAAGAAAGTCGTATTCGCTATCGGTGAAGTACCAGATAGAAGACGCCAACGCCAAAGTACCCGCTTACCTTGTCGGATCCACCCGTGAGCGGTAAGTTTGCTTTGTTTGCTCAGAGGCCAAAAGTCCTTCTGAAGCTTGAAATCGCAAAATCTAACGGACTTATATCATCATAAAAGCAGCCCGGCAGTGTTTCAAAGCCCGTTCACAGGCCCCAGAATCCTGGAAACATCGCCATGGCGATTACAATTCTACCTCCCGTTGTGGATGATGTTGAGGCAACATACGCCGAATCTGAAATTGACGAAATGTCCGTTGACTCCGACGGCGGTGTTGAGCTCACACCCACAAAAACATCACAGCCGACAAAGCGGCCTAGGTTAATAGAAGGGACAGATGTTGGAAGAGGGATAATTACACCAGGAGAGGTCGTGACAGATGACCCACAGTGGATGAGGTTTGCTGCTTCTAGTTTTATTGACTTGTTTTCATGCCTGCGGACTAACAGGTGCTTTCATCTAGGGGTCACGGAACGTATATAAATCCTCTTTCGACGTCTATCATTGCGACTGTTGCTGGAACTGTTCAGAAGACCAACAAATTGCTCTCTGTCCAGCCTCTTCGAGCCCGCTATACGCCGGAGATCGGCGATCTGGTGGTTGGGCGCATAGTCGAAGTCCAGTCCAAACGGTGGAAGGTTGATGTCGCAGCACCTCTTTTAGCCCAGCTACCTCTTTCTGCAATCAACTTACCAGGCGGTATCCTGCGTCGACGAACAAGTGCAGACGAACTGCAGATCCGAACATTCTTTAGCGAAGGAGATCTGCTTGTTGCTGAAGTACAAACAGTACATTCAGATGGCGCGGCCTCGCTTCACACTCGGTCACTTAAATATGGTAAACTTCGAAATGGCGTCTTTTTAGCTGTGGCTGGAGCCGGGGGTAGTGGGGCATCCAGCTCATCAGTCAAGGGGGGTCTTGGATCAGGATCCACTGCTGGAGTGGTTCGATCACGGAGACAAATGTTTACGATACCAACTTCTAACGGCGGTGGGGAGGTGGATATCGTTCTCGGAGTAAACGGGTATATTTGGATTTCAAAGCACGCGGAGGGCACAGCCGCAGCCTCTTCAACCACGGATAGCGTGTCGATAACGCGTATGGAAGAAATGGTCTCGAACTCGGTTTACTCAAGTCAGAACGACGAAATATCTCCCGCCACACGACGTGAAATTGCGCGGTTGGCTCAGTGCATTCGAGTGCTTATGCAGGGAGGACTGCGGGTTGATGAGGAGACAGTAATGGCAGCATACGATGCTAGTTTGCAGGTTGATCTAGAACAGGGCGATGAAGACTACGACGAAGATGGACGGCAGCGGGAGGGACGAGAGTATCTGGAAGGGAACCAAGCTAAGCGGATTATACAGTTAGCAACGACACGCCCGCAGAGCTGATAGACATGAAATTGATACCCTGGGAACTCGTCTTATCTTCCCTGTTCTTCCCTTTCTTTAACTAGCAAACTCGTTGAGTTGCCGTCTTGAATAATTCCTCGTTTTTGTTTGGAAGCTGAGATAAGGACCCCGCATCACGTGCTGATAACCCTGACAATGATTGGTGCCTGAGGTTGCACGGACGTAATCAACTCATGCATGACAATCAAATCTTGGAAGAGAGTTGGGATGGAATGATTCGAGTTAAAAAGTTAAAAAGGACCGAAAAGCATAATACTCAGTTTTAGACTCTTGCACTTGCAGTGGTCTGGAACCCATTTTGCGCAATTTTCACGCTGTAAATGTATGGAAAAGCAGGCTGGGCGCCAACGTCATCTTTAGCAAGCCCCAAATTTATTTCGGTCCTGTGCTCTTTTCATCAGTCCTCTTTTTCTTTCCTTCAACTCTCTCCTCTAAAGAAGCCCTTCATCTTTGCCTTTATTATTCTCGACTTTATAATGTCGATCGTCCCTCAAATAACTACCAAATTCTTTTCACACTCAATACCGTTTGAATAGTTGGGCTCTATAACCACCCTGTATTTGTACTCGTTACATCTACTTGCTTATCGCGCAGAAAGCGCGCCAGCGAACAAAACTACCCACACCACTTTCTATCACAGTCTAGGTGTATAATATTATACCCCACGCTCATCAACATGCCCGATCTCCGCCGCCAGGTTCTGGAGAGTGGCAAGACCATGTCTCGCAAAGCAGCCTCGAGGGAAGGCTCCGGGCGAAATTCGCGCACCAACTCCGCGCAAAACTCTCGCCAGTCATCTCGAAATGCAAGCAGACAAGCTTCAGACGATGAGGATGCAGGCAACCTCAGCGACGATACCGCGGTCAGGTAAGCTTTGCCCGTGTTGGATGGCTTTCCCCCACTATGTGGGAATGATATTATGGCTGTATACTAAATAATTACATAGTCTTGGCTCGCTTGACGATCTCGAAAATGCTGATCTCGACAACAACAACGACAACTGGACCCAGGAGCTTCATGAAGTCATCGAGGACATCTTGGATCGCAAGCGGAGCAGCACGTTTGGCCGCGAAGAAACTTATTCTGCGTTTTGTCGCCTCTCCAAGTTCCACTTCATAGAAGAGTCTATCCGGCGCCGAGTTCCCGATCTTCTAGCTGCGTTTACCCGCAGCATCAAATCGGGAGCTAGTGAGCGAGAGAGCGTGCTTGCACTGCGCGCTCTGGGACTTCTAGCAATAACCGCTTCGGACTACACCATATTTGAGACCGTGGAGCCTCTCCTCACCCGTATGATTCGCGATTCAACCTCATCTGAAATCAAAACAACAGCAATTCATTGTTTGGGAACATGCACTATGTTCGGCGGTGCTGGGGATGACGGTATCCAGGATCAGATGACGTTCCTTTTAGACATAGTCGCTTCTGATGGACAATCCATTGATGCGCAGGGCAGCTCCACTTGCGTTGGTGCGGCACTCCAGATGTGGGGTTTCATGGCGACAGAAATCGCAGATCTTGAAAACGAAAGCGAAGACTCGATTCAGATATTCATGGAACAGTTGACCGCTAATGACCCCAACGTACAAATAGCGGCTGGCGAGAACATCGCCCTCTTATACGAGAAGAGCTACACCCCCCAAGAGGATTCTGACGATGAAGACGAGGAGGAAGATGCTGGTTATGACAGCGAGTCCGAGAAAGAGAACCTCCGCGGCCCCAAGCTGATTAAACGGTACGACCCATACCACAACACGCCCGAGCTTGAGCGCCAGTTGCAAGCTCTCGCAACAGTGCATACAAGACGTCTGAACAAGCGCGATAAAAAGAACCTCCACAACAACTTTGCGTCCATCTCCACTACGGTTTCAGACCCGCGCCGCGGCCCGATGTATAGCTCTGCAATTGACCATGAGACAAACCGACACTACGGCAGCAAGCTCACCGTCAAGATCGGCCGGCAAGGCGTCGTGCATATCGATCGCTGGTGGAAATGGATCCGTCTGAACTCGCTGCGCCGTGTGCTTCAGGGTGGCTTTGCAATCCACTATTTCCAGGGCAATCGTGCTGTTCTAGACAGCCTTCCGGTCGTAATGGTTCGGATGCAGAATGAGCCAATGGACCGTTCCGCTTTTAAGAAGGCAGCGAAGATGCGAAACAGTTTGCGTTGGGCGGCAGCGCATTCTGACAGTGACTAGATTGATTCGCCTTCATTACAGATTCCTATTAGTTTTTCTATTCCTAACACGTTTTGCTGCTTTATCTTCATTTTATGACAACCAAAAATTTCCCTTTGCGAATACCTGGGCGTATCCATCTTCCGTTCCTTTCGATGCTCCTAGCCTTATTTTTGGTTCATGTTTGTTTTGGTTTTCAAACTTTTCGATACCAGATATATGTGTGGCAACGCTTCAACTAAAGAAGATAAAAGAAAATGCCTTGACAGAAGTAGAGTAACCAGGGTTGATCATAAAAGTCACCTGCGAGGCTAAATAAGTTCTATCTCAAAGGACTTCAACACCAATGTTATTCGTTACGTATGCCTGTCTCTCGATCACAACTATCACCAACAAACAATCCCCTATATAATTTTATTCCCCATATTTCTGCACATCTAGACATCTAAGTCTCAAAAACCGGCAAAACGTTCCCCCAAGACCCCTTCGTCCTCTCTTCCCAATATCCATCTTTCCCACCCTTCAACCGCCAGATTGGTTCGCCTTCCGGCGCTTCGTCTACCTTTGTAAACCACCGGGGCTCCCAGCTTTCACCGGCGCCTTCCATATCGCGACGACGAGCGCGCTGTGCTTCCTCGAGCTGGACCTTTACTTCTTCGGCGCGGTCGACGTCGCCGTCTTCGAGGGCGCGTTGATCGGGTCGGAGCCGGGAGTCCGTAGCCGGAATCTTTTTGTCTTCGACAGGGGTGATTTCGTTAAGTGCCGCAGCAAAGTTCGTCAGACCGTAGTGTTTGGGAGCGTTAGAGACAAGGGGTCCAGCGGTCCAGACCGTTGCGCCGGAGGAGCCGTTGCGGGTCAAGGTTATAGATGAGACCCAGGAGCCTGCAAGGCCGACTGGGGTTTCACGGCCCGAGGAGTCGAGAAGTTTGGTGGATACTTCTTCAGACCTGCCGGAGAACATGCCACCAGCCTTGAAGGTAGAGATTGTGCGATGGCCTGTTGTTTCGTTGAGGACGGTCATTTCGCCGACTGGTTCTACGTACTTCTCGCCTGCGATGATATTGCGGAGGAAGGAGGTTGCCGGGGACCAGGAGAAGTGTTCACCTGTTGAGTGAAGAGTGATGCGGAGCTTTCCCTCTGTGACGATTTCGGCGGATTTACCCCAGAATTTCTGAGAAGGGCGCGGGGAATGGGTGAGACTCCAGTCTTTGCTGTCGGCCTGGTAGGCGAGTTGGACGGGTCGGTGGGAGACCTTCTCTGCGATGAACCGGAAACCCAAATCCTCACGGACGAGCTCGAATGTTTCACCGAGCATGGGGTTGAATGGTTTGCGGATTGCTCGCTCACGGACACGACTGCTTGAGAGTGAGGAGAGAGCGAATGCAGTGACGTAGAGGAGTCGTTCGTTAGCATCATTGACCTGCGCTGCCTTATCAAGGAGGGTTGAGTATTCCATGACTTCAGCTGCACGCTGGAGCATGGAGAGGGGTTCATTTGAGGAGACGGGCATTGAGATTTGGGAGAGATCTTTGCCAACGTTCTTGCGGAGGAACCCAATCAAGCTCGGCGGCATCACTGTTGGGGCGGTGATGTTGTTTCGGCGAGAGACGGTGTCCAGCGGGAGCGGAGTGAGGGTTTTGGGCCGTGCTGGGAACAATGGAGAGTATTGATCATGGGCACCGCCGGTACTTGCAGGCTCTGAAGAGTCATCGTCACTATCGGATGGCGCATCGTCAGCAGCAGCATCGGCGGAAGCATCCTCCATTGCCTCCTCGTCGTCGCTGTCGCCTTTGATGGTGAGCATTTGGGAGTCTGATGCATCGACAGCGTCAAAGAACTCTTCGGATTTGTCCGATTCCATGCTCTTTCGTGATTGTATACCAAATTCGGGGGTTTGACGGCGTTGTTGGCTCTCAGCGATTAAGGTTGAGAACTCACTGACGACCTTGTCTAGGTCATGCAAAAGAGCCATGAGATTTTCGTGGGTTTCGTTGGTTTGTTCACCACCCATGATCCCACCCGGTTTTCGATCGAGGGACGAATCGCTCGGAGCGGACAGTTTGGTCACTGGGTTGGAAGTTTTCCGCTTCCAAAAGGGCCGCTTCTCGTCTCCATTAGTATCCGGATGGGGGCTGGGCGACCGGCCAGATCTTCCACGGGACGGTGGTCCGGGGCTCATATACTTTGGATCAGTATCCTTGGCCAGGCGTCGGACAGCATCACGGGATCCTGAGACTCGGCTGACTAGGTCCGCGACTTGCATCCATTCGCGCTCCTCAGCAGCGCTTGAGAGAGAACGCAGGATGGGAGATTGGAATGCCATGTTCGGGTGTAGATGCCTTGGCGAATGACTGTGATCATCATCTGCCGCATTCTTGGAAGATGACGCCTTTTCCAAGACCTGCTTCCACGACGCAAACTCGGTGTTATCGCGGGCACGTAGGTGCCAGACTTCAGTACCAGAGTCAATGGAGATCTCGCGCGACTTCTCGTTGCAGGCCACCGCGGCTAGAGCCAGTGGAATCGAACCCCGTAGGGTAGCGGAGTTGGGATCGTGGAAATAGGAGAGTGTAGAAGTTGCGAAATCGAGGGAGAAGAACCGGCGCGCCCACCCCTGATGGCGCTTACGGCGACGCTTGAGAAGAATACCAGTATGAATAGTTGTCTCTGTATCTCCCTCTTGCACTTGAATCTGCGGCGGCATTTTGGCAATAAGGCTGTTGCCCCGCCTCCGGGAGGTTTGAGATTCCGTTGCATCGCTTCCTGGTTGACTGGCTGCATGGGGTGTTGGAACCGCCTGCGGGGGCAGAGAAGTTGGGTAGGTGAGTAGCACCAGGGTCACGGTCTTGGACAATTGCTTCGAAAATGTGTTGTCAAATACGAGCGCATAGTTTCCGCCCTCATTGGAAGGCACATCGTAGGTCCCCTGGACGATCTTGTCTGCCTCACACTTGCCGACCCAACGTATCTGTTTCAAACCCATAGCTGTCAGCTTGTCAATGAGGGATGCCGAGTTATTCTGACGCGAGCTGGAGCCGCCATTTGCGAGGTTCTCGTTCGAGTCGTTATTCGGGCTATCCGTTGAGGACAGATTGGGGGTACTCAGGACGCCGGATTGACCGGGATGCTTGAAGATCCCGAAATTGAGCGACTTCTTATGCGGTTGAATGCTCCAGGAGATAGTATGACCGGATTTGACGGGGACCCAGCGGACGAAGTAGGACTGGAGGAATAAACACTCGGTTAGCTATGTATGATTCCTCGTCGCATTCCTCTGAACCTACTTTGCTATGAATTTCCAGCTCTTCCATGGCTGCCATGGTTGCAAAAAAGGGCAACAGGAAAGCCACCAACTAAATGAAAAAAGACCGATGACGACAATAAACGGTAATCCAATGCGCGACTGGCGTGAAGTGGGGGATGACGAGGGGGGAATAGGATTTAAGTCGATGCCTGCAGAGTGGAGCGAATTCACGGGCGCATCACAGCACGAGACGAGTAGGGAGACGAGAATTATACAATGATCGCAGCGACGGCAGGGTCAGGAAGGCAATCGGAGAATAATTGAGTGAAAAAGGAAGGGAAGTCAGCGACGGGCGAGGGGGAGAAGAAAGACCTGTCATCTTCGGCATGTCATTCTTCTTCATAAATAATGCGGAGAGCCCCTGTAAGGCCTGAGGCTGTGGGACTGGGAGCCTCCGAGAAACACCGAGGAACAACTCCTAGGCACCGTCACATGGAACGTGCCTTTGAGGGACCGGCTCACCCGGATTGACCCAGAAATTATTATTCTCGCATTTTAGTCTTTGTCTTTGGTCAACGGACCAGGCGATCCTGCTCAATGGCTTTCCTTCGTCGATGCTTTGTATTGAATTCAAAGGGGACTCCCTACTGTCCCCGCAAAAATGGTGGAGAATATTACACAGTATAGAAGAAATATGCTAGAATAACAATAAATACGAATATCCATCCCCTCAGCGTCGCTTTCCACCCTGCATATTGGTAAACAGTAGCTTGAATCCGTTGCATAGCGCCCGCATGTCTGGATAGGGATTGCGCTGCAGCTCGTAGCCCTGAGGAATTACTTTCACTGGCCAGCTTTGCACTTGCGCATGCTCTCCAGCCTTGAAACAAAGGAAGAAGTACCCCGCGTGCTTGGGGTCGATGCAGAATGCGTATGCTGACCGTCGGGGGTTGGCCCTGGTATAGGTGTCAAGCCAGGAGTCTAAACAGGTATTAGTGTACTCATTAAATGACAAGACAAGGCGGAGGGAGGTACTCACAAGTGATGTCTTTGCTGCCTTCTTGGTATTTTTCGTGCAGCATCATCTCGTCCACCTTCTTGGCCATGGCTTTGACATGGTTGAAGATCAGATCATCCAAATCACTGTATGTGAATCGGCCTCCGACCTTCAGCGTACGCCCAACGGAGAACTCATTTTCCTTGTCCAATTCCAAGACATCAATATGTTGGAAGATGCCATCGGCCACCTTCCACGTGACAGCCAAGTGGTCAGGTCCCTTGGACGACGGTCGAATAACCACATCGCCACGACTCTGTGATCCGAGAAACTCCACTGCCTGCGTGGAGTTGAACGGGCGGAACAGGGGATGCTTAATGACGCGCATCGTACGCCCACCACTCTGTGTATTCGCCTCGAGTGCTTCCCTATCCTGGCCCTCTTGACGATGATCCCATTCACCTGCGTGCATCCGGTCGGCGGCAGGCCTAGACGGCCGGCTGACCTGTTCTTCGCGCAGAGACACGTTACAAGTGAAAGTCTTGCGGTTTAGGAACATCACTTTGGCTGGTACCGTCTGATGGAGTGAGTAAATCGCGCGCACTGGGATGTCGTAGCGATCCGTCATCTCTGATTCCCCAACGAGGGCGTCAACTCCGCAGTCCAGCTTGCCTTCGATGTGGTCGTCGCTGATGCGCTTAATAGAAATGGGCACCACCATACCCTCCGCGAGTGTGTCTGTCGTCTCGCCAGTAAGCATGGTGAAGATATCATCCGTGCTAAGGAAGACAAACTGCTTTCGCAGTTCCTCGTAAGGCTGTTGGAGTTCCGCACGGATTGTTTCGAGCGTGGCACGTTTGCGCTGGTTGAGGTTTTTCTCGAGTTGTTCCGCATATTCTTCAAGAATCAGATCGTTCACGCGATCCTGGGCCTCGTCCCGCAAGAGCTTGCGCACAATGGCACCGGACCCATTCTCATCAGTTTCTGCCTTGATGTCCTCTTCGTCCAGCTCCAAGGCGTCCGCTGCCATCTTGCGAGCGATATCGTAATCTTCAGGGTGCACCCGTGTGTTGTCAAGGGGATCCGCGTCGGCATCGGCGCTCTCATAGTCGATGTATAGGAAGCTTGCGGAGTTGTTCCATACTTTCACTCCCATTGCAGGGTATTGTACGTTGACTCCAATCAACGAAAACCTGCTGTTGACCACCCCTCCAGTCATGTTCACTATCTTCAAGAGGTGTGCTGCCTTGCGTGGCCCCAAACCGCAGACGTAAGGTAAAAGGTTTGCTGTGGCTTGGTCTGACACAGCCTCGTTGATGTCTACTCCGACGAGATTGACCATGTCGACGAGTGCAGTTTCCAGCTGTTTTAGCAGTAATTCCTGTGTAACAAGTTGCTGACCCGGCTTGAATTGAATTGACACGATGTCCCGACCTAGTGAAGCGTATTCCTTCAGGGGACTCTGCAAGTACTTAGCTAGCGCAACACAGTAGTGGGTGAGGGGAGCAAAGCTGGGATGATCCTTCTTTGCTCGCTCGCTGTTCTGATAGAGCCGCGCCACCTCGTCGTTGATAATAACTACCTCTAGGCGGTCGCTGACTTCATCATCACGGTCATCGGTGTAAAGCGCACCCCGCAGATCTCTCGTGTCCACAACCTCAGTCAATAGCTTATAAAGTCGCCGAGTCTCGGGAGACATGCCGGACACTCCAATGACGTCTGGGCGACGGCGATTCACAAGCTCGACTAAAGAGTCCACATCTTTACCATCGGCGATACCTCGATCCTTGTCACCCACAGATAGGTCGACGAACTTCCCGTTTTCGAGAACCCGGCCATCCTCTTCGACGTAAGCCCAGTGGATGGGTTCTCGTCCGACGATACCACCACCAGTGGACAGCGTCAATACGCGAGGGACCGTACCCAAAACCATACCTTTGGGCTTGTAAGGTGCTTGGTCTAAGCGTTGGGAGAACGCTTCTCGGCATTCTTTTGCAACATGGTTTTCACATTCTTGGCGGATATTCTCCTTGACGCTACGGTTGATGACACGCTCTAGCTTACCCAGAGCTAGATCGACGACTTCGCGCCGCATGCGATTCCAGGAGTCTGCAAGTTCACTGTAGTTATCGGATTCGATATCAGGGTATAGGCGCCTTCGGAAGTTCTCGAAGTTTTCAAAGCGTACTTTAACTTCTATCAAACCTTCCTCTTCTGCCTTCAGCATGCGGAGGAATAGCTCAGGCTGACGCGCGATATCGCTGAGTTGTTGATCTCTCAGGTACTTAAACTCGTAGTATGGGTGCTGCTCATCAATGCGTCGCAACCCCTTTTCGGTCCGGAAGCAGTCCACAGCACCATTCATGTAGTATGCTTGGCGGATGACTTTTCGCATTTTGGGACTCATTACAATTTCCTCAGCGAACATGCCTTTGGCGGCCTTGACCACTTGTGATGAGTTTCCAAAGTCATTGTCAACAAGCCCATCTGCCATGTCATCTGGGCGCTCTGATGGATCTTCAGTGTATTGACGACGGCCTTCCTTCAGAGCATTTCCGGCAAATGCATCTGCTGTAATACCGAACGCACGTACCAGGGCGTAGGCTTTGCTATTGCGGACCCGGTCGAAGAAGTTCTTCGTCTGGGCCTTTCGTCTTTGAGATTCCCCGGTAGCGTCACCGTTTGTAACAGCCAGATCCTTGATCTGTGACGCATATTGGAAGTGGATATAATCTTGAATATCTTGCAGTTCTTCCATTGTAGTGGCAGCTGGCAACATTTCGTCAACGATCAAGTCGTCGACCGAGAAAACCGACTGAATGTTGTCATAGGTCTTCTGGATAGTGTTGCGTTTCTCTACCAACGCTTTGAACTTGAGGTCATGGTCAAATATGTCCCACAGGTCAGTCATGTTCAGCAATTTCTCCGCTTTGATTGTATACTGGGCGCCTGAATCAAGATCTGCTGAAGCCCCGTCTACAGGAACCTTAACTGTGTGGATCATGTAGTCCTTCCGATGTTGGAAGATGAATGGCACCTCCCAATCATCCGTAACGAGAAATTCGAGGACCTTGGCAACTGAACGCTGGAAGGGCTCGCGTAGCTCTGGTTCCAGGCGCTTCTTCAAAAGCATGAGGTTGGCAATCCAGGCGGCCTCTTCACGGAATTGATCTTCGGACAAGACGACATTGCGGTAGGGTTTGCGGGCAATTTGATGCCGTTCCGGCTCGTCTACCAGGCGAATTTGGTTATCCTCCTCGGTCAACATCTTCTCGGCAAGCTGCGAAGGCTCAAACACATCCTTGAGATCCAAATGCTTTTCGACGTCTTCCTCCTGCTCCTCTTCTTCCTCCTCCATAGCAAGAGCAAAGTAGTATTCGTTTCCGTCTCCAAACGCGGCGCGCATGTCTTCAAGAGCGTTCTCGTCGAGGCCAGTAGTGTCGGTGGCTCCAAAGGGAATTGACTTCCTGGGACGAGCAACCTCCAGGTCTTCTCGCTCCTGTTGTAGATCTTCATCCGAGAACACATCCTCTTCAATGAAGTCGTCCATCTCATCGCCGGGGTGCCTCCTACCGAGCCTGCCATAGTCTGGTGCGGGCTCATCTTCCTCGTCGGAATTGAAAATGTCATCAATAGCCTGGGACGGTTGCCGGATATCTCGATCCTTATGACCGCGCTTTAGACGCTTGAATTTTGACTGGGGCTAGTTAGCAATTTGTTTCACCAGTATGAGACGCGCTTTTGAGGCCTAATTAGGGGAAGCCATACGTCCGCGGCAGCTGCCGATTGGCGCTCTGGATTGAGCTCGCCAATGAGTTCCAAATCTTCCTCATCTAGGTGTTCATCTTCTCTTTCTCGTTCTTCACGTCTTCGCTTTCTTTTCTCCCGGCGGCGTTGCGCGCGTTCTTCCTCTTCCTCGTCTTCGTCAACGATAAACCCTTCTCGCACCTACAATAGCCACAGAGTTAGCATGAAATATTGGTATGGCAGACGCGCCTGGAGTGATATAATATCCAACTTACGGCTTGAGCTGCTTCTTCGTCGTCGTCATCTTCCTCCTCCTCGCTGGAATCGTAGTGCTTGCCACTCGTGTCGACACGTTCTCCACCTTCACCATAGTCATCGACAAGCTCCTCCTCATTCTCCTCGTCGTCTATGAGGGCCTCTCCCTCGACAAGATCGCGGGCGCTCATCTTGTGTTGTCGGACTTTCTAGAGATGAGACGGAAGGGCTCGTGATAATACAAGGGAGGTAGGGCGCGGAGATAAAAGCAAGAGGTGTCGGATCGCCGAAAGGAGGCGGGCAACATAGACGCCGTGACACCGATTCGAGGGGGAATTGGATTAGCGAAAGTCTGGGAGGCGCTCAAAGAACGACTGGCTCCGGTATGGATGGCTGGTTGGCCGGACTCTTTTCTGGTTGTCGGCGTGGCTCAGTTTTACCTCACCGCCTTACAACTGTGGCACCTGGGAGCTTCTGTGGCTAGTGTGCCCATCACGTGCAGTTTGCCGTGCATTATCACTAACTATTAAAGCTCCAGAATCCAGATCCGAAACGACGTTTACTTGACTTGCGTCGATCAAGAACTTCGTTGGAGATCCGGTTGCATTTCATCTATTATTGCCGTAAGCATGTCCTCATTTTGGATATTACTCAGGCCTAGAACCGGAATGCAAATGAAAGAAAGGATATTTACACTTCCGCCTTTGTTCATGGTTCCAGGACCAACTGTAAATACTAGAGTGCCCGAGGAATAAACAAGAAGAATCATAGGAGCAGTTTCATTTCGGGCTCACTTAACGTACATTTTGCTTCTCTCAAAAATTTGGCCTGAATTTTTTTTTTTTTTTTTTTTTTTTTTTTTTTTTTTTTTTTTTTCAGTCCCATATTTGGCCAATAAATGCCCTGCAGAGGCGCTGGGCTTCGCGCCTGTGTTTCCCTCTCCATCTCCGCCCGAAGCTCCACCATCCACATTATTAGGCGTCCGTCCATCCACCGTCCCATCGATTCGGATATTCCTCACATCTTCCGGTCGCCGCGTCGTTTCATTCATTTTTCGCCTGGAGCTTCCCCGGAGCTGTGTCGATTTCCACTTGGCAGCCTTCAAAGCAACGTCGAGAGATATCAGACACCGACTGTCGCACCTGAGTCCAGGGGAAACCCCCACCTCACTGGCTTGGACCCGCGGCGCTTGTTTGCATTTCAACGCTCAACCAACGATCCGCTTGAGGCTTACGATCTCGTCATTCTCGAGCAGACGGATTGACAGCAACAGATTGTACCGCTCGCTTTTCGGTTTCTAATTTTGACCATCGTTGTCCTTCCCTCCACCGTCGATTCCCTGCCTCAACCCGATCCCTCGTCCCGCAGTTGATTCTTAGTCGCCGCAGCCATGGCCGACCAATTCAAAGCACGAACTCTAAAGCGCAAGAATGTCAAGGGCCTTGCCTTGAACGCTGCTCCCAAGCCCGCCGCCAACCCATCCGACGGTGATGCTCAGGTCCCTGGAGCTATCGGAAATAGTGAGGGTACCCGGACTGATACCTTGGAGATTGGTTTGGAATTCAGGCTGGATCTGCGCAGCGAGGATTTAGTCACCCTCAAAGAACTTGGTGCTGGAAATGGAGGAACTGTGTCAAAAGTCATGCATGTTTCGACCAAGGTTGTCATGGCTCGGAAGGTAGAAGACCATTCTTATCCTATAGCTTGTGGGCTTTGTTGACAAAACCGTTAGATTATCCGGGTTGATGCCAAAGAGGGTGTGAGGAAACAGATCTTGCGAGAACTCCAGGTCGGCCATGATTGTAACTCGCCAAACATTGTGACCTTTTACGGGGCATTCCAGAACGAAGCAAGAGACATTGTGCTGTGCATGGAGTACATGGACTGTGGGTATGTATTCAAGGCTTGTCTGGTGCTTTAACCAGGCCGCGATTTTCACTGTAAGCTTGCTAACTATTTATTTTACAGTTCACTCGATCGCATCTCCAAAGACTTCGGACCTGTTAGGGTCGATGTCTTGGGTAAAATCACAGAGTCGATTCTCGCCGGCTTAGTGTATCTCTATGAAGCCCATCGCATCATGCATCGTGATATCAAGCCGTCCAACGTTCTAGTGAACTCTCGAGGCAATATCAAGCTTTGTGACTTTGGCGTCGCAACGGAAACAGTTAATTCTATAGCAGACACGTTTGTTGGCACATCAACTTACATGGCCCCAGAACGTATCCAAGGTGGTGCCTATACTGTCCGTTCGGATGTCTGGAGCGTGGGCTTGACGGTTATGGAACTCGCTGTTGGCCGATTTCCGTTTGATGCGTCAGATTCCGCAGCTGGAGACCGGGCCAGCGCAGGCCCTATGGGAATATTGGACCTTCTACAGCAAATTGTTCACGAGCCTGCCCCCAAACTGCCCAGGAGTGACGCTTTCCCGCCGGTTTTGCACGAGTTTGTCGCGAAATGTCTGCTGAAGAAGTCCGAAGAACGACCAACCCCTCTCGAGCTATATGTTCGTGGCCCTTATCCTTCCGCAGCTCTTAATATACTGACCCATGGTTCAGGAGAAAGATGCGTTTCTACAAGCCGCCAAGCGAACACCTGTTGACCTCCAAGAGTGGGCAATCAGCATGATGGAACGACACAACCGAAAATCCTACCTAGCACCCCCCGCACCGAAATCCTTGAAGGAGAGTAAAGACACTCCATTGCCCGGACAGCCCAAGGCCCCATCTCCTGTTCATGCCCAAAAGCAAGTGTCCAGCAAGTCCTCGCGTTCCACAACCGGAGAAGCTCCTCTCAACGTAGACCACGGCTCCTCTCAGCAACGTCAACACGCCCCATCAAATCCTCCCTATATACCTTCGCGGCCAACTCGCTCTCCACCAATTTCGTTGGAACACCTATCTCTTGAGTCGAGGCAGGATGAAAATCGATCCGCTCGTCGCCCCTCTCGAACCCCCCTGGGCGATACGAGCTCCACCACGGACCAGTCTCTACGGCCTTCTCTCGGCTCTCGTTCAGCGAGCTCTCACAATACGAACTCGCGCATGCCCTTGCAGAGCACAGCCCTGCCCTTCCGTGCCGCTCCTACGCCCGCAGACCCAAACTCAGGAGGCTGGTCGCGGCGCGGCGACCACATGACAGGAGCCGTTTAACTCATGGTCCACTCCACCACCTTATTTTTTGAACTTTACTATTACAATGTGGTTGGGCCACCGTGTTTCTGATGATTTTGCATCGGCAGGGCGTATTCGTTCTTTGGCCATTCCTGTTTATTTGCCGCCTGTACCTTTCCTTATCCCGATTTCCTTTGTTTCTATCCTGGCAACGTGCCTGTGCCCCTTGGGTTCATGATTTGAAGACCCTTTTTTGTACCTCTCTTCTTGCATTCCTTTTTCTTTTAATTGAGGCTGGAACTCTTGCATCTGTCTTATTCTGGATTTACATCTTGAAATGTCGTTGGCCTTTTTGTGCAAATTTATTCCAGCGAAGAATGTATGTCATTGCAAATCACCACCACATCTGCACAGTTTCCAGGGTGGCATATTTTTATGTCTACCTCTGCCACGTACAGTGATTGGTTAAATTCAGGCTCATTGTATTCATGTTGATAATCTAGCGTCTATGATTGCTTGCACAGAAACCGGTGCCACCTCTTGTGAATAGGCTGATAAAACCTGCATTGCTTGTTTGCTTGATAGTCATAGCATTCATAACCATTGTTGATAGACAAATTCACATCACGTTGTTCTATGCCTCCAGCTAAAATCACTCCTTTCATCCCAAGTGTTTCTTACTCTCTCACTGCCCCTGCCCTCCTCCCTGAACTCCGTCCCCGAGCTGTTACTATTCGATAAACCAGACCATCACTGGAAGAACAGGAACAGTTTCGAGTAAAGAATATGATCATCTGCACCATGTTGAGAAACTACTTAGTGCTGCTCTTGCTTTTCACCTGTGGTTTTGCTACGACCATCCACGATCGTGCTGATTCAAAAGATCCACCACCCTCAGAAACCTCTCCCTCCCTTGCAACTCGTCCTGGAACAGCCAAAAACTGCGTGAGATGGTTCCCTGCCAAGCGAGGCGACACGTGCGACAAGATAGTCCATTTGTTCAATATCTCTTTGTCGGATTTCTTCAAATGGAACCCAGGCTTGGGTGAGGATTGTGAGAAGAACCTGTGGGCCGACTACTCGTATTGTGTTGGTGTTGGAAAACCGCCCAATCCTCCAGCTCCTCCCACTACCAGCACCGAAACTACCGAGACAACCACCAAGGAGACCACCACCACCAACACTGAGAGTACAATCACTGGTAGTGCCACTACTTCTACCACATCGGCCTCCTCTGGCTCTTCAACGTCTGGCGCGTCTCGTCCTTCTAGTCCCTTGATTCCTTCTGGCTCGCCAACACCTTCCAGCTCTAACCCCCTCACCCCAACTGGATCATACTCAATAGCTAATCCCATCACGACGTACACCCCGCCTCCTCCTACTAGTAGGAATGACACATGGCCCCCAACACACACACAGCCCGGGCAGCCGGAACGGTGTAACAGGTGGCATCGTGTTTCTGTTGGTGATACCTGCGACACAATTCAGGCCCGCTATGCCGTATGGGTGAGCCCTGAACAGCTGTTAGTATCTTCCCCTTATTCCCGGTGATATACTTACCATGCCACAGTCTAGAGTGGAATCCAGGCCTTGCTGAGGATTGTGCGTTCCCCTTCGTCGGTTACTGGGTGTGCGTTGGCCAGCCACTAAATACCACGTTCACCTACTACCCATCTGATATTGGTACCACCACAATGCCTGAACCTACGAATCACACATCCACAGTATTCCCCACAAATACAACCACTTGGATGCCTTCTCCGACCCAAGGTGGACTTGCCCAAAACTGCCAGAATTATTACCAGGCAAATAAGGTAATACTTCTTCCGTTGCTTTTCTTCACCTAGGAGCTGACAAGCCATTTCTCTGTTAAGACTGATACCTGCGCAACGATAATCGATCGGTTCTACTACCTTACGGAGAATGAGCTTCACGACTGGAATCCCGGATTGAAGGATGATTGCTCTGGACTTTCCGCTGGTTTCTATTACTGCGTTGCAGCTTTTCCGAGTGGCCAAGAGCCTATGCCGCCTACAGTGACCACTGTGCCATCCCCAACCAGCACCGGCACCGTGAAAGAGTGTGCTGCTTGGTACAGGGCACGCGAACAAGATACATGTATCTATATCTCTCTGAAGTTCGGCACCTTCTCCACAAAAGAGTTTATCAACTGGAACCCCTCTGTGCACGAGGACTGTTCTTTACTACAGGTACGCCCAGTCGACCTCTTTATTTAATATAGTGACAGTTCTAACATGCTCTGCTATTAAGACTGATCAATGGTATTGCGTAGCAATACCCGACACGCCAAAAACACGCACAGAGCCTTTCCCAACAGCGATGCCAACTCTGTTCCCTCGCCAACCAAACATTATAAAATCGTGCACTTGGTTCTGGCCTGTCTTGAAGTAGGTTAACCTCCCAAAGATAGACACATCGAAAGTATTACCAGGAATCCCAACTAACATTCATCGTAGTGGTGATACCTGCGCCAGCATTATCAAAAAGAATGGGATTACCCTCGCACAATTTATGGCCTGGAACCCCGACCTTGTTGACAAAAGCGGAGTATGTCGCAACATAATACCAAATTACGAGGTCTGTGTCGAAGCACCGAAGTCCAGCTCGGAGAACGACACCCCTTCATCGTCTAGTCTTGGGTTTGAAACCGTGACGACTCGGCCGTCAACGGAGCCCAGCTCCTCGACTGGAACTAAGTCTTCGTCGACGGTGAAGACTACAATGAACCCATCCAAATCCCCGGTAAGCACTACTTTACAATAACTCAATCGCCTGCCAGGTGATAGCTAGCACACTAACGGTGATAGAACCAATCCCCCTAAACGGCGGACTAAATGGAATTAGTTGATATTGGACTTAGCTTTGGATACTTATTAGCCATCACGGCTTCATTCGTTAAAGTTGGTGGCGCCGTGGTCTGACGCCATTAATGACCAAGGAATAAAACAAGGAAATTGAAAACCCTAGCAAAATACCGTGCTTTCCATGTAATAAATCCTGTGCCTGCTATAATGCAATAGAGAGCGGGCTTCCCTTATCCCAGTAACTTATGGCTCTGGCAGCTTTTGCGGCTCGGGCTGTCGATTGTGGAGGCCAGTTTCAGTTCTCGTCGTTAAGCTCGGTCTCCAGTTCTCTCACGGCGCGATCAAGAATCAACCGAGCATATCCGCGATGAATCCTCATGGACCATGCAGGTAAAAGCTTCTGCTGCTCCAACCCTCCTTCAGCCTCCACGATTTCATAATCATGGGATGTACCAAAGCGAACATCCACGAGCTTATCATGACCGCTACCCTTGTCTTCAGGGTCAAACGGCTCCGACACACTCATCTCGTGTCGACCACCAGACATAAGTCTCCAGGGATACCCCAAGCGAGCAATTTTCTCGAAAAACAACCGCGGCGGATCTGCCATTGTCCATAAGACCAGCAACCCATTGCTATCTGCATCTTGCCTCGAAGACCCCGGCTCCCTCTGGACAGTCAAAACACCATTAAGCAGCACCCGTGGCCGGGTTTGCCCATCTCTGTTGGCGTCCGCAGGTATTGGCGAGAACCCATTCTCACCAAGGTCGCCGGGCGAGTACTCCCCCTTCGCAAAAAGCCCGATAATCGAGGCCTCGACGCGCAGAATCAGCGAGGACAATAGCGACTGCGCCCATATTTCTTCGCGTGAGACTTTCGCATCTGTATAATTCTTGACTACGCCGTTCTCGCTGTGTCTCCTTGCTCGCGCTTCCAGTGCACGGAGCGGAACTCGAGCAGCGTATATGTCGGTATATGCGCAATGCTGGCCAGGCTTTGCTGGCTCTCTGAGCGCTTTGCTACTCGTTGATTCTGGAGATAGCGCTGGGTATTTAGCTTCCAAGTACGTGAGGCCTTGATGCACGCTATATCCTGCTGCAAGGGTCGGGACGGCGATATAGCCGAGATATCGTGTGAGGCGGCCTTTTGACATGCTGAATGGATGGGGAGTGGGAGTATATTAAATCGATGAGTTGTGTGACGATGGACGCTATTCGTAAATAAAGCAATGGGGCTCGGAGGAACAGGCAAGCCGGTGGGCGAATATTGCGCCGGGTCAGCTTTACCCAACGGGGAAATACCGCAGCAGCTCTGCATGATGGCGATGGGGGCCAGAATGGCTCGACGAACTAGTTCTGCCCCGGCGAAACCCACCGAAACCTGGTTTGTGAACCTAAATGGGGATTGGATTATAGGTTATTTTCTGGATCATAGCGCCACAATAATCTTACGGGTCCGGACCCGAACAGCCCTAAGAAGTTGAGATTATTATTATCAGTTACTTCGCGACTATGCAGCTAGTATTTAAGTTATTAAGTATACATTCCAAAACTCAACCAAACCAAACTCCAAAACACCACGCCCATTCGCAGCCAACCTCGAAAAACACGCCCAGAATCAAAGCCCAACAATCTTCCGAAAAACCACATTCGGGATAATCCTGCCATTCCCAGAAACCCCATTCTCACTCAATGGCTTTCCATCACCCCTTGCCATATCCGTCAGGAACTTCCCGAGATACTGCGTCGGCGAATCACTGTTCGTGAACACATTCCTCATAACGGGGCCAAAAACGGTATGAAGCGATTTCGCCTTCCATGATTGCTGGTCTGGTCGAGCCAGCATGACCTTGAGGACTTCCGGGTCATTCGCCGTATCCACGTAGGCTGGGCGGACGGAATAGGGTTTTAGATTGGGGTGCTTCTTTGCGAGTTCGAGGAGAGCTGACTCGGCTTGTCCCTTGACGCGCCCAAATAAAGGGGTGAATCGGCCTGGAGATTGTGTTGCCTGGTTTATTGTTAGCTAATATTCTTATTTTTGTTTTATTTGGGGATACACGTACACCTTCCCCAGACACATAGACAAAGTTGAACGAGTCCGAGAGCGTGGAGAACGCCTCTGCTGCAGCGAGAGGGTAGTCGAGTGTGATTTTAACATAATCCCTGCACAGATAATTAGACCTCTATATAAATCAAGTAGATTTGAGCAAGTGAACAAGGCTAGCTCACTCTTTCGAAACAAGGCTCTGGGATATCCCTTGCGCCCAGATGCATCCGTCCGCACCCTTCAATTTCTCCAGGAGGTCGGGAGGATATTCGTTAAAATTCTTGTGCTGGATGACAGTAACATTGGGCTGGTTCTCCGCCATCGGCACAGGGCTGCGGCTGAGGATGTACAGCGCTGAGACCTCGCCCTTGGGGAGGTTGAGGATGTGGTTTAGGGCTGCGGAGCCGACCACGCCTGTGGCGCCAGTGAGGATGAGACGCATGCTGGAAGATTTCGAAGAATAGGTGCTTTCAGAATGATAAGAATGATAAAGAGCGCAAAGAGGGAATGGAGGCAATTTATAGCGGTGATGCTGATGGTGCTGACCGGAGGTAAAAGAGAGCTGTGGTATGTCCGAAACGTGGGGTCTGGGCGCAGTCATCAGGTCATTTCTTCCTGTCTTCTTTATGATCTGCGTCCTTATTTGCTCCGAATATCCGCTTAAACCCTTCTTGATACTGAGCCTCCTTCATCTGACTCCAGTCTTATATGACTTGGCTTAACGTCTTACAGTGCTGCGAACGAGTTATCCCCGATTCAGCTATCCTCATCCAAATGCATTATCTATTGCTTTGAATAACATGTTTTACTAATCCAGGGTCCTCAACAGAGTTGTGACGCCCAAATATCTCAAGTTGCTCAACAGCACGGCTCTTGGTGCAGACATCAGGCCTCCGGGCTAAAGTCCGCCAAGGGAGCGACCAACTGAAATGGCGCCATTCTGGCCGGAACTTTCTCGCCTACTATAGGTACTCATTAGGCTTCTAGTTGCTTCAAGTCCGATTTTTGTACTTCAGCCACTGCAAATCGCAAGATAGCTGTTGGCGCATGCGGTGGTCTGCAAGTTGCTACAAGAATGGGTGTTGCGACGAGGATGAGAAATGCGGGAGGGATCGCTACTACACAGCAACAGCAACAGCAACGACCACGACCATCGGCATCAGTTCAAGAGATGGTGCAAAATTCGATGATCAGACAATCTTTTCCTCTGGTGGGACCGTTGTTCTTTCTTGTGTATATGCATGTATATTGACGAGCGTCAACATTGAGTAATTCGAGTGCTAATCATAATTCAAGACCTCATGGTTTTATCGTCTGCTACCATGCCCAGACAACGCCCAGGACGTGCCCAGAATTCCAACGGCTTAAATCCAAGAAGTCTCCCCCCGAGTGAGATGAGAGCTGATCTCCGCCGCGTGGATAGTCCCCTGGCTATCTGCGCTCTGATCCTGCAACTCAACGGCAGGCCTCCACCTCGTTATCTGAGCATTCTCAAGGAGACAATCTCTGCTGGGTCTCATAATCAGGCAAGTCGGCGAGGAAAGCGACAAACAGGGTCTTCGTATTCGGTAGGGCAGTGCGGCTGGGAACTCTGCATGTTGGTTGAATTTGTTATCCAATTGATTGGTCTAGATCGAGCTGCAGGACGAAGATCCCTGGGCGTCGGGAAGTGAGGACAGGCGATCGTGCAGTCAAATACCCAAACACACATGGACAAGGCGCTCTGGCCCCAGTCAAGCACAGGAGCACTGCCCCCCGTGAGTGCTGATCCTTTTTCAGCCAGGGGACGAAAAGTAGAGCGCGGAGCTCCTGACTGTCGATAAGATGGCCAAGTGGCGCGGTCAAATTTGGTCTTGCAAGTTAATAGCCATGGAAGTCCCGTTTTCGCGCGAACGAGCTCCATAATTTTTTTTTTTTTTTGAAACACCCTCCCCAGATCTAAACACTTCTGCTCCACAGATCTTGAACCATGGTCGACTCCGAGCGGAAGTGCTACTTTCCATCGGGGGTCCTGGCCGTGGCCGATGTGCCTTGCTCGGGGGAGCAATACACCTCTTGTTGCGACCACAGAGCCATCTGCTTGTCGAACGGCCTTTGCATGAGTACCACCATACAGCCATATACATTGTCGCGAGGGAGTTGTACGAACCAAAAATGGGACCAGGGCTGTCCACAGTACTGCGGTTAGTATTTCTCGATGCCAATTTGCCAAGCAATAAACGGCACAGTGTATAGTACTGATATTAACGAGCGCAGCCGATTGCAACCCGGACGGAGGCTGCGGACTCTTCACCTTCAGCTACAAAAGCAAAGTGGCTCAGTACTGCTGCGGCTCAGCAGATGTATCAAATACGACAACAAAGTGCTACGACGGTAGCAATGCCTTTCGGGTTCCGGACGCTGAAGCGGTGCCTGGGTATGCTCTGTTGGGAAACATCACCTCGTTCAATGCATCAACGGATTCACCGGACTCACCGAATAACACATCATGTCCGATAGAGCAAACAAACACTTCCTCATGTCATGAAACTGCGGTTGGAGCTGGGATCGGGGTGCCTCTTGGTGTAATTGCTCTGGCATCGGTAGCATGGGCTCTTTGGGAGCGAAGAAAGGGAAAGCAGGCATCAAACTCTGCATTGGCACCAGCAAATTCCCCTGGGACTTCTGCCCCCGGCGTGTATGTAGCGGGCAGCAACACCGGCGTTTCGGAAATGGACTCGCAAAAGCCTCCAGTGGAGCTCAATGGATAGACAGCGGGGCTTCTTTTGTCTTCACTCTTTACTTTTTAGCCGTGTTAGAGCTTTCTCAAAATTCTTTTTATTTATAGTAATGTAGGCACCGGAAACTAACCATTTGGTGAAAATTAATTGGCAGTACAACCTTATGTTCTCTAGAATCGCGGTTCAGGTCCGTTCACTGGTCCAGCTGGGCGCCGGCGATCAAATTCGGACTGGCGAAGCAGTTAGGCCCCCGAATTCGACAGCATGGACGATGGATACAGGACGTCAAGCCAAATGACGAATGCCGATGGCACCGGCTCAGCCTCGACGTTGGGAAGTTGGGGTCCAAAACGCCGTGCACGAATCAGTCGGACTAGAAGCTTAGACTTCTTCAGCTCCTTATCAACCAGACCCTTTCTTCTGGATTAATTTCTCCCCCGCCCTCCTCAAGAACCCAAAGTCTTTGAAATAATGGCAACAAGTAGACGTCTAACCCAGCCCCGGTCGCGGAACGGCTGTACCACTTGCAAGTGCGTCCGCCCACCAGACAACCCTACGAACTGCAACAAGTACTGATCGTCAGAGTCTAGAATCCGGCATGTCAAATGCGACGAGAAAAAGCCGGCGTGTACGCAATGTCAAAAATCCGGCCGCAAGTGTGATGGCTACGAAAACGCATCCCAGGCACAACTGCGCCAGCGGATCCAGGAGCGACACCGGCCGATCGAAAGAGACACATTCAGAGCTGACCAGCGACTCGTCTTGCGCCAGGAAACACGTACTGAGCGGCGGTATGTCGACTTCTTCTATACCAAGACCTCGCATGTTTTCTCGGGACTGTATGAGTCCAAGCTGTGGTCCTATCTCATTCCGCAGTTTGGGGAGCACGAACCCAGTGTGAGACATGCTATGACTGCCATCGGGGCAATCCACTCGCGGCTACAGATCACAGATGCTGCTTCAAAGTCCGAGGATACGGGCCCAACCGAGCGGTTTGTGCTCGAAGAGTATAACAAGTCTATCCAGGGTTTGGTCAAGTCACTTTCGGCTGCAAAGGGGGAGAGTGTTGACCTGACGTTGACTTCTTGTTGCCTCTTTGTGTGTTTGGAAATTCTTCGGTTTAATCGCAGAGCAGCCCTGGACCATATTGAAGCCGGCCTTCGAATAATCTACAAACATGAGCAAACCTCAGCGGGTGCTTGGACCAGCGAACTCTACCAGCAACTACGCGACCTATTCATCCGACTAAACCTCCAGGCTTCATTCATGGGCGGTACACTAGTCCCTCTGAAGCTGTACTCATCGGAAACAGTCCAGTCAGGCCTCGCCTTTAACGATATGATCGAGGCAAGAAACCAGCTCGACCAAGCTATTACAAGGGGCCTCCTCTTCATCCGCTCCGTCGGCATCATGCGCGAGGCACGCGAGCCAGCCTTCCAACTTGAGCTCGAAATAGAGCAGGAGAAAGTCCACCGAGAACTCCTCGCCTGGCGACGGTCCCACGACAAACTGCTCCATAAGCTCGGCCCCAAAATCCAGCAATCCGAGCTCTGCGCTTCCCTCCTCCAACGCATCTACTACTCCACCGCATTGATATGGTCTCTCGTCGTCCTCGACCGCAGCGAAGACTCCTACGACAGCTTCACGGCCGAGTTCGAAACTGTCGTCTCCCATATCGAGCAATTGCTCCAGATCAACCCGTCCTTCGCTAACAGCAAAACTCATACTGGTGCAAGTCAGCCCTCATTCTCACTTGAAAATGGGATCATCGCCCCAGCATACTTTGCCGCCTGTCGATGTCGGCACCCATCCGTCCGCCGCAGAGCACAGAAAATCCTTTTCAATTACTCCAACAGAGAAGGTATGTGGAATGCCCGATTATACGCGGCAATCGCAAAGCTCGTCACGGAAATCGAAGAAAGCCAATGCGCGGTACCACCAACGAGCGAAAGTGATATCGGACCAACCGCACGCGTTTACGAGGAGGTCCAAATGAGGGAAGAAAAGGATAATCCCATGCATGTTATGGTTTATACCAAGCCTGACGGGGTCGATGGGCTGTGGGAGATGACCAATTTCATGGTTGAGTGGTAATGGGATGGCACTTCTACGTGGTGGTTACCGGTTAGCATTGCGATTAGCGTGTATTTTTCTTTTCTTTACATGTTACCTAGATTGGTCTCTCAACTTTAGCGTGTTCCATAGTTCAGGTTTTGTCTCAATACCCACTACACCAATCCCCTATTTGCGGGTTTATCCAAATGGCAGCATGACCACGAAAACACTAGCGGTATCAGGCCGTCTTTCTATTGCATTATATGCCAACTCTTATACCTACTATAAAAATGCAGGAATCCAAATGCCAAGCTCAAATCCTTCCCCAACCAAGCTAAACCTACGACTGGACGAATAGAGCCCTACGGGCAAAGACCCCGGGACAAAACTCCGCCCCATTTCAGGCCCCCTTCCCAGCAGCCAAGGAAAGACGTTGGCGACAATGTATAGCCCGGTTGCTTCATTGGCTAATTAAGTATCCAACACCGTAGCCTGGGTAAACCTGAATGGTCTCGAATGAATCTGTTCTGCCTAAGGCTACATCTGCATGAGCGGAGGGTCTCCGGTATCTACCTAATTCACAAGGTTATTTCCACCAAAATAGATCTGAGGCAGCAACGTGTAATCTACCAAACATGCTGAAGGGCAATATACCCAGTCTAACAGGCCGTAAAGCCCATACCCAGTGCTTGGAGTTTCCAATTCAATCCACTTCTCACCGTCTTCCGGGTAATGAACCAGTTTCCATTCCTAAATGGCAAGTACATGATTGGTGGCATACATTTTTGCCGGATAAATATGAGAGCCCTTGAGTCTGGGAAAGGCTGAGTTCGACGGCGATGTTTCTTTGATATATTACTCAGGCATTTAATATACTTTATCAAGGTTCCCGGTGCTTGTTCTATCCAAGTTCGGATCACCAGCCTAGTGTGCTCTAAAACCTGCCTGTTTAGAACTTCATCAAGCTGTTGATCGACATGAGACTGCGGGGTATACGAGACTGACAAAATCGTTTCTGACTCTAGCAACATTAAAGACTCAATTGGTGGGCATTTTGCTCCGTCTACTTTACTTACATCCGTGTTTGCTGCAACGTCGATGATTCTGAAAAGGTTCAAAAGCTACCCACGATGACGATGCTCTCTCGCCGATCCAAGGCACTCGAAAAGAAAGGAAAAGAAAAGAAAAAAAATGCTCAAAGCTCAAGTCTTCGGCATTGCCCTCGCAATCCTACAATCAGCCAAGGCGTGGCAGATACCCGCAGAATACGCCTTGACTCCGTCATCCAATGGCCGATTTCTGCAACAAGCCAACGGAGACCCGTTCTTCTGGCAGGCAGACACAGCATGGCTACTTTTCCACAGACTCAATTACAGCGAGGCAGACGCCTTTCTGTCAGACCGTTCGGAAAAGGGCTTCAACATGGTCTTAGCCGTGGCCTTCACCCAGGCGGGGATTGACAACCCCAATCGAAACGGCGACCTGCCTTTTATAGATGAAGACGTGACGGATCCCAATGAGCCTTACTGGGAGCATGTCGACTCTGTTGTCAAGCTGGCATGGACCAAGGGAATACGGATCTGCATGGTTTCCTCGTGGGGGAAATTCGTGCATGACAGCGGTGCGTGAACCATAAATAAATAATAACACATCTCTTCAGGTCTAACCTGCAAACAGACAACAACGGGGACGTCTTGAATTCCACCACTGCACATCCATTCGGGAAATTCCTCGGCCAGCGATATCCCTACCTCCCCAAAACACTCGTTGGCGATACAAACCCCTACTGGCAAAACAAAACAGCCGTAAAAGCAGACTATGCCTACGGCGGCGTACTACCGCCTTACGAAGTGACAGATTGGTCACCCGTCTACGACGATCTGGCGAACGGGATTGTAGCCGGCGAACGACAAGCTATTAAAGCCTCTTCGGGACATAAATCCAACACGACATGGTGGCCACTAATGACAATCCACCCAACAAATCAATGGTTCACAGGCGGACCACTGGCTTTGGCGCACGACTTCTTTGGAGATCGCGAGTGGCTTACTCTGGACGCAAGCCAGTCCGGGCACGCAGACTACCCGCCCAACCCGCCAATCCCCTGGTGGAACTGTCGACGGGGGTGGGAGCCCGTTGAGATCATGTATGCGGCGGGCTCAAAGGACGGGAATAAGATCCGGCCAGTTATTGACAATGAGCCGCATTATGAGAATAGATATAATAACGGGAAGGATACCAATGCGGTTTGGAATGCGAGTGATGTCCGGGTTGGCAGTTGGCAGGCTGTGAGTACCCCCCTTCTTCCGTTGGGTGTACCTCTTATTGCTGGTATAGAAATATGCTTACTGGAACAGGTCTTCTCAGGCGCAGCAGGTCTTACGTACGGCGCAAACGCCATCCAGCAGTGCATTATCCCAGGCCTTTTCGACTCAGACGGGAGCGGACCGAGCGACGACTGGAGCACAGACCTAGAGCTGCCAGGATCAGGCCAGATGCAATTTATTCAAAAGGCAGTGCTGGATAGAGGTAACGGAACTGCGTATTTCCATCGCGTGCCGGCGCAGGACATCATTGTAGGCGATGCGGGCGTTAATGATGCAAGAGTCACAGCGACGAGGGATCGTGGTGGGAACTGGATCATGGTGTATACGCCTACGGGTGAGCCATTCCAGATCGACACTCAGAGTGTAAAGTCTTGCAGTGTGCGTGCGAGTTGGTATAGCCCATTGAGTGGGAGGTATACTAGATTTGATTATACTCAGTGCGGGGATAGCGCGGGGTCTGCTGAGAGTAGGACGTTTACACCACCTGCAGGAGATGGACATTCGGATTGGGCGTTGGTTTTGGAAGTGGTCAATTGAACTTATTGGAATTCAGCGCAATGGCGAGAGATGATGAATTAGTTGTTGACTGCAGTTGTTGCTATGACCTTACTAAGAACCGGAACCCCACTGGTTAACTGCGTAGTTATCCCCAGGAATCCAACATCCACCTCACAACACTCCAACTTTAGAACTGAACCAGTAGTCCGAGTAAGGCTCCTCTAACCAAATATAACTCCTCCAACGACTTAACTTTGGTTTAGCTTCCTATTCCCTCAATTATGGCCGCCACTCAAAAAAGACCAGAGATCATCGACATCGCCCGTGGTCTTCACCATGTACCAATGTGCGAGGACTACGAACGCATGATCTCAGGAATGCTGTACTTCCCTCGTCTTCCCTAATTAATCCACTAATACTAACAGACAGCAGATACAACCCGCTGCTACCCAAACTCGCCGAAGCCCGACACCGGTGCCGCGGGGTAGCGACTGACTTCAACCAGCTCGACGCCAAAACCGTGTCGTACGAGGAGATCGCAGACCGACGAATGGAGCTTCTTCGCAAAGTCGTCGGGCGAGTAGGCGAGGGCACATTCATGGAACCGCCCTTTTGGCCGGACTATGGATGTAACATTGCCATTGGGAAGGAGTGCTTTATTAATTTCAAGTACGCCCGTACCTAACAACTGTCTAAGACTTGCCTTGGGGTTTGGATTAATTCTGACAATTATCAGCTTCACCGTACTTGACACCAGCCTCGTTGTTATCGGCGATAGAGTGCAATTCGGCCCCAGTGTCTCAATATACACAGCCGGTCACGACACAAGCATCCTCTCGCGCCGGAAGTTCGTCGAGTTCGGACACCCCGTGTTCATTGGCGACGACTGTTGGATCGGGGGCAATGTGACTATCCTACCTGGCGTGACAATCGGCGAGGGGTGTACTATTGGCGCAGGGTCTGTTGTTACCAAGGATATTCCACCGTTCTCGGTTGCGGTTGGCAGTCCTTGTAAGGTGCGCAAGACGATCCAGTCGGCGGAGGAGGAGATGGCGGATCCGGCGAATCCGTATAGAGATATGCCGGAGAAGTCGGAATGATTTTGATTGAAGTTTGGAATTTCGTAGACTTGAAGAAATCCCAAGAATAGAGCCCATCGTTATCTGATCCAGTGCATGGTGTATGAATCCTAACAAGCCGATCAAGCACCAATATCCTTTAAGACCAGACATCAGCCAAGATGAGACAGGACGCACGGTGCTGTCATGCTCAGCCGCACCAGCCAACACACCATGGCAGCTGCTGCCTAACTGAACTGGGTCTTATATTCCTGACTGACTGACTCTATCTTCACTGATCTCAGAGAAATATTCCAATACTTATTCCCAGACACTCCGTTCTCATCCAGTGCCAAAATGACACGAGAAGCCCGCATCGAAGTCCCCGTCCGCACATCCAGCCCCAGACAACCAGAAACAGAGCATGAGCAAGATCGAGAACGAGAAACGAGCCCCGATAGAATTACTGAAGAACAAGAACCAGAGCGAGACCGCCGCAGCCGGTTTCGGCAGGCTTCCTACTCTCCTCCTTACGTTCGCCGTCGACGCCGTATCTTCTCCCCCTCCCCTCCACGTCTTCCTTATGTTTCTTCCCATCATGAACTCTTTGCCAGCGAGGATTCCCAGTCTGGATCTCAATCCCAACAAGACCGCTGCGTCTACCTCGTTCCCTACAGCCGAGAAGCATACATAACCACCCACCCAGCGACCCAGTACGACTTTACCCAGTGGCTCCCCCTGCTCGCCCTCGGCGCCACAGAGACTTGGTACAGATTCAGCACTGCCAAAGATAAAATAGTCTATACAAACCAAAGCCTGCCCCTTCTTGCACCCCCGAACCCAAACCTTGTACCCCTGTCAGATCCTAAACCCGTCGGGCTCCGACTCGCCCGGATCGCGGCAACAGCAGCCCTGCGCCCTCCCTCTTCTCCTTCGGTTCCAGTCAAGTACGAAGATGGGTCAAAACCTGAGCAGCCGAACCTGGTCTACCTCTCCATCCAGGCATCCATAACAGGGTATACGAACCGATTCAATGACCGCTGGGACCACCCTGACCGAGACCTGCCGGACCGACACTTGCCCGACGTCGCGGATAACTCGCTCGTAGGGCAGAATATCTACCGAGTGATCCGGTGCGGGAGCCGTGAAGAGGCGGCTTCACGGGCGTTTTACGATGCTGGTGGGAATCGGTGGTCGACGGTGTTTACCTGTGCTGTTGTGGCTGGGGCGAGGAGTCTGTCGGGACGCGTGATGGTTTACGATGCTGAGGCTTATGAGAGGGTCAGTTCGGTGGAGGAGTTGGCTGAGGACGGGGTTGAGATGAAGGGGCAGAAGATTAAAGTGTTTTATTAATTTTGTGTTGTTTTACTGCGATCAATTATGATGGTATGATTGATGATGGGAGTTTGTATTGATGAAATGACATTCAACTCAGATAGTAAGACAGAAGACAACTTCATGTGAACCTGTCTATCTGAAACCAAACCTACTTGCCAGGTTGACAGCCATCCAACAGAATTCAACCCCTCAGCCTAAATTCATGAAACGTTTGGCGCCAATCTCCGCACAAGCGACTTTCCAGATCCGTCACGGAGATTCACCTGGAGCTTCACTTTTTATCGAGACTCCTGCAGAACTCCAGACTGCGAACCCCGCAATCCCGCATATTCAATATCTGCCCTGAAGATCATAATCTGCACCTGTTTCATGCAAACATCAATATGATACGGAAATATGCCGTGACCAGTTGTATGAGACGGGCCGCCGGACCGGTTCATGGGCGAAACGGGCTATACGGATTTGTTCTGTGTAGATTACTTGACTGACTCTGTCTGGAAGCAGGTTATAAATACAGTCAGTCATCTACTTCTCTATCCTCTCCAGAGCGCCACCCACAATCCTTTCAAAATGGCTCCTATACTCAGTACCCTCTCTCTCGCCCTAACAGGCCTCCCCCTTCTCTCTCTCGCCCAACAAATCGGCACCCCCGAGAGCCGTCCGCTCCTCACAACCTGGCGCTGCACAGCCCGCAATGGCTGCAGCAAGCAAAACACCTCTGTCGTCCTGGACGCAGCCACCCACAGCATCCACGCCCTCGACGACCCCTCCACCTCCTGCACCACCTCCTCAGGATCACTGGACTCAACCCTCTGCCCAGACAAAGAAACCTGCGCCTCGAACTGCGTCATCGACGGCATAACAGACTACGCAGCACACGGCGTTGAAACAAACGGCGGAGTCCTCAAACTCACCCAATACAAGAACGTCAACGGAACACTCAACGCCGTCTCACCTCGGGTCTACCTCCTCTCCGAATCCAACCAAACCACTAGCACGGAGACAGGAACAGAGGAGTATACCGCTCCATCCCTCCTGAACCAGGAGTTCACATTCACCGTGGACGTCTCAGCCCTGCCCTGCGGCATGAACGGCGCGCTCTACCTCTCCGAGATGTCACACACCGGCGGGCGAAACGCAGAGCTGAACCCAGCCGGCGCATCCTACGGAACGGGATACTGCGATGCGCAGTGCTACGTAACGCCCTGGATCAATGGCGCGGCCAACGTTGCCGAGAACGGCGCCTGCTGCAACGAGATGGATATCTGGGAGGCAAACTCGCGCGCGACGGGACTGACGCCGCACCCTTGTAACTACAACGGTGGGACAGGGAGTACAGAGGAAGGTGTTTACGAGTGCATAGACGACGAGGAGTGCAATGGGCCGACGGGGGAGAATGATAGTGTCTGCGATAAATGGGGGTGTGGGTTTAACCCCTATGCGCTTGGCGCGAAGGACTACTATGGCCGTGGTTCGACTGGGTTTGAAGTTGACACGACCGCGCCGTTTACGGTTGTGACGCAGTTCCGGACAGCCGACAACACGACGACTGGCGCTTTGGCTGAGATCCGCCGGTTGTATATCCAGGGCGGCAAAGTGATCCAGAATGCGGTTGTGACGGCCGGAGGTGCCAGTGTGAACTCGTTGACGGATTCCTTGTGTGATACGACTTCGTCGTGGTATGCTGGGTTTGGGGGGATGGAGAGGATGGGTGAGGCGTTGGGACGCGGGATGGTGCTGGCGATGAGCATTTGGAATGATGCTGGTGAGTATATGCAGTGGCTTGATGGGGAGGACTCGGGGCCTTGCAATGCAACGGAGGGAGCGCCGGCCTTTATCGAGGCGAATACGCCTGGGACGAGTGTGACTTTTTCGAATCTGAGATGGGGCGATATTGGCACGACTTTTCGGGGGACTGAGTAAGGGCGCAGAGCTATTTCATTGACAGCTGGGAATTCTATTATCGTCTATTATCATCAATAAAAGTCTATAATCAATATAGTACAGGTGTATGTTAGTAGTATACAAGGATCAACCCAATTAGACGCCAAACACCTCTTTCACGAGCATCTTCTTGTTGACTATCGGAGCCCATGTTAGCCTTTAGACAAATCGTTGTTGAAGGAGTACTCACCCTTCCCCATCGCATTCCTCGGAATAGGCCCATCAAGGATCTTCATCTCTGAAGGTAGCTTGTAGCCTGCCAGCCGGTCTTTCAATGCCCGTCGCATATCCAACGGTCCCCAGGATTTCCCATTGCGGCCGGTCTTCATAGCGGCATCCGAGTTGAGAACCACTATGGCTGCGACCTTCTGGCCCCATTGTTCGGACGGGAGACCGACGACAGCGGCTTCGGCGATTTGAGGACTGATTTGTTAGAAAATTGAACGAATAGGCGAGGAATTGGTGAGACATACAGTGAAAGCAACTCCCGTTCCACCTCCAGCGCGCTGACCTTCTCCCCGCCTATTTTGATGATGTCCACACTGCGTCGGCCTTGGATGAAATACATTGGCCCCTTAGCCCATTCACCGCTTGTTCCTTTACCAGAGTCTTCCACGGGCTGACGTGTAGCGACATCCCCTGTTTTAAACCACGAGCCTTTTCCATCATCGCCGTCGACGAATGTTTCCCGCGTCGCAGTCTCGTTGGCCCAGTACTCGCGGAAAACGGTAGGGCCTCGGAGTTGGATCTCCCCTTCACGAGGGCGGCCTTTGATGTCTACCTCTTGGCCCGACCGGATAACCTCGTTCGCATCCGTGTCGAATAATCGAACTTCCACCGATGGCAAAGGCCATCCAACGCTGCCGTCGACGCGGTCTGCAAAGTCAAGACCACAGCTAAGGGCCATTCCAACTTCAGTCATCCCGTAGCGCTCCAGCAGAACATTGCCATTGCTAAGATCTTGCCATGCCTTCTTAGTCGGGGTTGGTAACGCTGCGGAGCCGGAGATGTTCAGACGAAGATGCTCGGGGGAGATGCTGATTTTAGCTGCATCCTGGACCTCCGGGGGCAAGCTTGAAAACGTCGACATAAGCCGGTTATAGATCGTAGGCACGGCAGTGAGGAACGTGATCTTGCTCCTTGTGCCCTCTGGCAGAAACGGTTCCGCAAGACGATTCCATACCGATGTGGGATTGAACGGGAACATGAACTCAATCGAAGAACCAGACAAAACCGGCGTGAGAATCGCATTGATCGTCCCGTGGATATGATGTAGTGGAAGCAGATGCAAAAGGCGGTCGTCGGGCGTATACTTCCACGCCTCAACCAGCGACGCCGCCTGCGCCGCGAGCGCTGACTGCGGTATCAAAACACCTTTCTAGTCACGTTAGCCAATTCCTTCCCCTATAAATTTCATACGTCACAACATACCGGCCGATTCGTCGTCCCAGATGTATAAAGCATCATTCCACCGCTCTCCTTATCCACGCCCTCCAACTCCACAGCACCGACACCCGTCGCACCGGCCATGATCTTGCTCCGCACGTCAAGAACAGGCTCGCGATCCAAGCCTTCTTCCAGAATCTTCCGAGCCATATCACCATATCGCTCTGTCGCAATTAACATCCCAGCCTGCGAGTTATCCATGATATACTTCAGCTCGTGAATCGGGAAACCGGTCGATAAAGGGACGGCAATTGCATCGCTGGCCAGGATTGAAAGAAGCATTACTTTGCATAGTTAACGACCAGTTCAACTGATATATAGCGTAGAATATAGGGCAGGCAAGGCAAAACAGTACCTACGTAGTCGTAACTGTTCTCCGCTAGAAACGCGACTCGTTCCCCGCGGAGACCATCGCGGCGACCGCCACCAGCTTGACGGAGCCGATCCCGGGACTGGAGGACATCTGCGACTAGATTCTCGTATGTGAATGAGCGGGAGGATGGGTTATGTGTCACTGCGAGGCTAGAGGGGTCGTGGTTCTTCAGTGCGCGGAAGAGAGAGAGGTTTGGTAGCGTTGCGAGGGATCGGCGAGCAGCGAAGCGTGGTCTGCATGGCCTGCAAGTGAACGGAGTCGGCAAAGTGCGGTGAGAGAGGAAGAAGCCTCGAGAGGCGGCAAATAATGTACGTTGGTGCATTGTGAGGGAGATTAAAGCGTGAGGAGCATGTTCCTGCAGCTGGGAGAAATATGCGTTGATGTCATGAAGATTTGCGATTTCGGAGCTTGCGGTTCGGCGGAGCTTCATGCGACAGCAGCACGGCTGCAATTGACATTTATCCTCGGGGGTTTAGAAAGTTAATAGTAAATCATATAGAGTTTATAGTATTTATAAACAAATAAACCATTCCAAAGTCCATAAGATGTAACATCGAGATCCTCATCAAAGCCAACCATTCCCAAAAAGGCAGCGGAGCTCTCTCCAATTCAGTTCCGCCAAAATCGAATGACATTCTTCCTCGACATCCAAGCCCATCCATCTCGCCCACCCAGCTCCAGAATATCCTTCGGTCCGATCCCAAATCAATCTCCGTATTCTTCAAAATAAAATCTAGATGCTTCGCTCCATCACTGTTCCCCGTGGCCTGGTCTTCCCCCGTCGCCTGCTCTCAACCACAGTCCCCAGAATGGCCTCCGCATCAGGCACACCCATGGAAGATCTCATGAGGGAGAAGGTACACACACAGAGCCCTTATTCTCCTTCGAATCGGTTGTTGGAAGCGAGCAGAGAGATCGCTAATAATATTCCTTCGTTGGTTTAGATAACCACCGCATTCACACCGTCCACGTTAATAATTCGCAACGACTCGCATTTGCATGCACACCATGCGCCGATGCAAGGATCTACGTCGAAGGAGACACATTTCCAGTATGTTTAACCAGGCTCATTACATTACTGTTGCGAGGAGGAGTTCGTTGATTTGTTCAGTGTGACAATTACATCGCCGTCGTTCCAATCTAAGCCGCAACCTGCGAGACATCGGATGGTGTACGGCTTGTTGAAAGAGGAGATGAGCCAAGAGGGTGGGATCCATGCGCTGCAGCTGAGGACGAAGACACCGGAGGAGGAGCAGAAGGAGAAGGAGAGACGGTCGCAGGCGTAAGCTGCGTCTGTATTGTGTACAATGGGTGGGATTGGAGATGATGGCGCGATGAATGGAGCTTTACATACCGATATACCCGGCTAGCAAAGAGATATTAAATTTATTAGAGGGATTGACTATTACATGGATTCTAGTGCCGAAGGAAACGGCCAAGGAAAAAAAGTCTAATATATACACAGCGACATCATGCGCATCCTCACCAAACAAGCAGCGACGGGAGCCACCCAGCCGCGTCCAATCAAAGATGCAGCTGTACATAATCATCAGTGGGGGAGAATCGAAGAGCGCTTTTTCAAACAATAGCAAAACGGGAGACGATGTGGTATAGCCGGATGATACAAAAGAAAGAAACTGGATGAGGCAAATGGCGCGTCTAGAGGTTCGGCTTACCGTGCCTGTAACAGGTGACTAGCACAGCAGCAATACTCCAACAACCGAACTAGGCCAAGAAAACATAGACAACTTCGTTTCGAAGACGGAGTCAGAAAAAAAAAAAGTAGTAACTGAAATAGCAGCAGCGGAATTAGAGGGTTACAAGCGATCCACAGATAAACCCAAACCAAATGCCAATCAGAAACGTCACATCTAGTTTCGCGTCTGTGTGACACCAACGGCAACAGCCACGATGATGGCAATTATGATAACTGCGAGTGGTCATTGTTAGTTTTATGGCGATGGGTTTCGGGTCGATAATACTTACTAACGATGATCAGGGCGTACCACTTCCATTTACGGGCGTTGCGCGCACTCTGGACGGCCTGTCCGAGCTGAACGTTGGCGTTCCCAAGGTCCCCTGCGACTCTCTCCGCCCCCTGGTCAATATTCTCGACCGCTGGAGCGTGTTGTGCGACTGTCTCGCTCAACTGGATGACCAATTCACTAATTTGTATTATATTCTTCTCGATATCCTTGATTTCAGCCGAACGCGCCATAACAGAATCCTTTACATCGTTTGCTCTCTTTGATCTGGCACCAGCGACCTTGGAAATGTTAGTCCCACTTCCGAATACACTGCTCGGGCAGTTCTTACCTGAAAAGTCTGTTGATTGCCAGCCAAGACGGCCTCAGTTTGCCGTTGGATTTCCTCTTCGGGTGTTTCTGGGTCGGCGGCCATCCTGATCCGTCGACTCACCTGCTCCTCCAGTTTCCTTTTGAATAACATTTGACTCTTTTGATACAGCTCAAATTCATCGCGAATAGCGCGACCCTGGGTCTCGAGCTGTTTCTGGACATTGGCAGATCCAGGTGTCTTTTTGATCCGCTCAATATCGTTCTTGAGCTTTCCGTACCCATTTGTGAGGTCACCGTGGATTTGATCCAATTGCGACCTAATGTTTTGGTCTTCCCTTTGAGATTCCGATCCTAGCAAAGAGCTTTGGGCCGCTTCAAGCTGATTCTCCCTGAGGCTTTTCAGAGTTTGAATCCCATCTTTGATCTTGTTGATTTCATTAAATAACACGTTTGGGTCTGCAGGTTGCTGTTGCACCGGGTTCATCTCTATAATTGCCATCGATTAGTTCACATGGGTTGTTTATGAGTGCACATTCGCGCGCTTACCAACATCCTGGTTGCCATATCCATACTGGTTCTGACCGTAGCCCTGGTTACCAGCATAGGGGTTAGATTGCGCCTCTCCATAAGCAGGATAGTTGTTGTAACTCTGTCCGTACTGTTGACGTGAATTAGTAAGTTATGTTGCACGTAGGGCGCCTAAATGCCCTTTCCTAAAGGAAAAGGGAAGAGCGCACAGTCGACACAATGCAGCGATAGAACTTACACTCATTGTGAAGATAAAGCGAAATTTAGCGGCAGATAATGTCAAGTAAGAAGAATCGCAACGTCGTCCGATGTCAACTCAAGAGAGTGGGACGTGTCGTATGCGCAGGGGCACTAAGCCGGAATGGCGGAAAGAGGGACAAACGGCGCGAAAGGGCGACCGGGGCGGATTGCGGCGAGAGAGGAAGCACCGGAAGAAACAAATGAGGATCAATTGGGCGATGAAACAGGGAAAAGAAACTTGAAGAGCAAGAGACGGTAAATTGGAGGGATAGATAAGGGGGGTAAAAAGCGAGAAGAAGAGGAAAAATGGAAAATCAGCAGCTCCTGACGATGACGGCTGAGACACGAGCGGCCGGAGGGAGAGGCTGAGCAGTGGCGGGCTCAGGCTGGCAGTTAGCGCTGGCTGGGGTTTCGCAATCCCAGCTCACCAATCAACGTGGTTCTCTGGTCCAAAATGGTCTGTCTCAGAGCTGGTCCCTTTATTTTACCTGAGCTGTTTCCTTTAACCGTTATTCGAGGCACCCTTGTTACTGAGAAGGACACTTTGAGGTTTTAAGGAGTTTTTTTACTTCTGCAAGCACAGATCAGCAACAGGGACGTGATCGTCAGGTCCCCTTTTTCAACCGGCAATAGAACGTTTATAAAAAAAAATAACGAACGAGGCTGCTGAACAGTCAAGCCTGATGCATTTCTATATTTATCGCCCTTGATCCTAAGTTGCCTGGACAGTTATTCCGGTGCCTTTTGAAGGCAGTGACTTTTCTCATTGGCCTTGTCATCCATCGCTGCTGAACGCGGCAGGCTGCGCAGATTCGGTGGACACTAAAGAAAGGGTCAAACCTTGTGAGGACGGGCTGGCGCTGACTAATATTCTGGGCAACGATACGGACCCTGAAAGCACCTCATTCAACAAGGCAGCAGTATGCCCTATCTATAGGTGATGTCCTATGTTATCCTATAAGAAGGAACTTTGCCTGCTAAAATATTCACCATCTGAACTGAGGCATCACCAAATATAACAGCTACTTCAAGTATATCCATAACAATTGGCTAGCGGCGCTCACTAGACAGTCTGTTGGAGCTCCGCAGTGCTTGTCGAGCTTTGCCAAAAAGCTTATTGAACCTGTCTCGACGTCGGCCTCTCTCTGGCAATGACAATTCGGAAGTAGAAGCCGGTGTAGCTGCCGTAGCTTTCCCAGCATCGATCTTCTCTTGCAAGGATGAAAGAAAGGATGTATATTCTTTCGTTTTCAGGTCGTTTGGTCCTAAGACGTTGTTGGCCCGCTCCACAACCCGAGTCATTAGCTGTAGATAATAATCGTTTGGGGTGGTTCCCCTCAGGACAAACCGATATATGTTTTCTAGAGTCTGGGGGTTATTTGGCCCTAGCTCATCCTCCCTCGTTAAGACTTTGATCGCCTCGTCTTTTCTTTTTGTCGCATCTTCCCATCGGCCTTGGTTCCAGTACAAATCTGAGAGGCGCATAATGGCCGTTGAGACGAGGAAATGGTTAGATCCATGCTTTTCTCTGGCGCCCTCTAGTGCCGCTAGAAGTAAATTTTCTGCATCCTCCCACCGTTCTTGCAATTGATGCACTGATGCTAATGCGGCCATAGCATGCAACGTATCAGCGTCTTGTGGGCCAAGTCTCTCGGTTGCTTCCTTGACTGCCCGTGTGGCTACCTCCTCTGCCTGTTGCTCTTCCTGCAGCTTTACATGAATATTCGCCATATTGATCTCAGATGTAATCAGTAGGCGAGGATAGAGGTCATAGTCATGATTACATGTTTTGATGATATCTGTAATCATCTTGTAGGCCTCCTGTAGGCGGGATTGCGATGTATATAGGCGTACCAGATCCTTCATGAATCCCAGGGAATCGGAATGATTCATCCCATGAGTTTCCCGGTGAGTTTTCAGATTAACTGAAAGGAGGTCTTCTGCCTCCTTCAATCTCCCCTCTTGCATATATGAATTGGCAATAGATGTCACACTCTGTACAGAGCCCGGTATGTGGAGGTCGGTGGTGTTCTGTAGGATACCCACCAGCTGTGGGTGCAGTTCAAGCAGTTTATCGTGCTTATTCGCCACTTTGCATATGGCCGAGATAACATAAGCAGTGAAAATGGTGTCAGGATGATTTGGCCCGAGTGCTTCTTTGCTTGCCGTGAATGCGTCCATCCCGAGCTTCTCGGCCTCGTCTAATTGGAACAATGATTGGTGTTCAGATGCGACGCAAGCCATACTGCGCAGGGTGTCGGGATGCCGGTCTCCAAGTTCCGTTTTGTTGATATACATAAGTTTAGTATAAAGTTCGAGAGCTTCGGCGTTCCGATGATCCATAGATAGCCCGTATGCTGTTCTCTGAAGTAGATAAGGGTGTTTAGCTCCATCAAACTCATTCTCGCTTATTAACGAGATTGCGTGAGGTAGATACTGTCTTCTTGAGCGTTCATCAGTGCTAGAATAAGTTTCTTCAAGTCGATCTGCAGCCCATTCCAGAAATACTGGGAACTCCCGGTCTTGCCGCGCCCAACTCCGAGTTGCAAGACGTACGAGGCGATGCATAGTCGAGCAATCTTGACGGCCGCGTTTTGTGGTAATAAAAGAGAAAGCTGCTAAGAGCGATAAAGCTGCGGGCACTTCGTCGATAGGCCCATCTGCTGGGAGGAAACTATCGGGGATATCATGAGGGTCAACAAAAGCCATAATGCGTAGAAATATGGCCGCCGTGTCATTAATCTTCATGAGCTGGCGATAAGAGACAAGCCATGTGGTGGCAACGGGGCTGGAGCCATCGCCATCGTGTCCGTGGTCCGCAAAGTCTTTGCCTAGAAATTCCACAACCTCTGGCTCCTGTCGGTTGAATATTTCCAGATAATTTGCTAGTGTAAACTTCCTATTCACATTCAGGAACGCCGCGGCTTGGACGAGGGCCAGTGGCAGTGATTCAAGCCGGTCAAGAACAGCAAGGACCGTTTCTTTGTCATCCAACAAGAACCGTATTTCCGGGATCAGCCTTTTGCTCAAAATGTCCATTGCATCCTGCTTGCCTGGCTCGTGAACCCGCAAGACATGTGAGCGCGCTGTTTGCGCAGCCAGGTTCCCGTTGCGAGTGGTGATGAGAATCCGCCACTCTTTTCTCAAGGGGAGGTTTTGTTTGAGGTAGGCCCACGTATTGAGGTCGTCGACATTGTCGAGGATCAAAAGCCATTTGGTGGCACGGTTACTGAGACAGACGTTTACAGTCTCTTTTGCCTGCGCTGAGTTGACATCGACCATTCCCAGCATCTCTGCGGCGTCGATGTAGCTCTTCTCGATGTTCTCGATGCTACTGCACTGAATCCAGAAAACCGAAAGTTCACTTTTCATTCGGTAGGATAGCTCGAGAGCTATTTGAGTTTTGCCTATTCCTCCAAGCCCATACATTGCTAGGACTTTTGGGCCGTCTGGCGAGGATATAGACTCCTTGAGTTGCCCAATTTCAGCGTTACGCCCGGCGAAATCCACGTTTCTATCGGGCGAGACCATCCAGTATTCGCTTCTACGGGCTAATAAACATAGTCAGTGGTCTTGAATCAACTAGGGCGTAATCAACGCTCACTACTACTAACATTTTGTCTGAACACTCCAATGATCCAGAAAGGTCTTCGCGGCTGCAGCACCAGTCGCAGCAGCGTAAAGCCGCCATTTCTTATTCTTGTGACTGTCAGCATAATCGGTAATGCCTTTCACAATGACACAGGGCACCGTGCCATCCCATGCCCCTGAACCCTCCATCTCAAAACCAATTACCTCGCCTTTCCCGGCCAGTGTTTCCCGAGTCTCGCCCGCTCTCATTACAGTGTCAGCGGACGCCATAGGTCCAATGAAGATATTTGCATCCTCCACATCGGCCCGAGTGCGTATAATTGCAGACTCTGCGCATTCGAGTTCTTCGCAGCTCGTTTTTGTAGCTGCATCGCAGATTGCATCGGCAGCGGAACAGCTGCATCCGTGGGCATGCCCGTCACGGTGCTTGTGATGATATGACGGCTTATAAACGACGTCGGTCTTAGCATCCGGGGCGCACCAGGCTTTCCGATTGTTCACCAGATCGTTCACTGTCGCGGCGAATTGCTCTCGAAAGAACGCCAGGTTATCTTCGCCCTCAAGACTCTTCAGGAGAGCCTTGGCCTCGTCGTTGTGAGTCCGAAACGGGTTTGTGTATTTGAACTCGCCTGGGGTTTGTTTGCCGTAGCCATAGACGAATAGCTTATCCGCAATGATAACATCGCCGAGGTATCTCTGAGGTGACTTCGGGTTTGGGCCAGAGGGCACACCACCGCAAATGCCAACTACCAGCACGAGTTGCAGTTCGGTGTACGAGGTTCGGAGGCTTGCCAAAGTGGCCGCAGCACCACGTGTTCCCATGTCTGGGAGGTATGAAAGTACGACGTTGTGACCCCCGAGTAGGCCGTTAAAGTAAACATTTCTGTCCCCCTTGACTCTACCGTAAAACTTGGAATACCTGTCGAAATTTTTGTCGAACAGCGCTTGAACCGGTGTTGCCTCTTCGGCGAGCGCGCATACAATAGCCGTAGTAAAGTCGTTGCGGCTTGCAGGGCGGGTCTGAGTGTCAATTGTAGCGCTCATTTTGATAAGAGTATAAGTTGAAGGGAACTGGGCGGCGTTTGTTTTTGGTAGGGAAATTGAACACAGACGAGTGCAATTGCCATCAGGTCATTGTTCGTGGGGGGGATAGGTCCGTCTTATTTCGAAGCAAGTCTTAGGGGGCCAGCAGCCGATCCGGAACATGGTGTCTGGACTGCATTAGGGTGCATGGATCAGGTTCAGAAATCCCTGTTGGCACCATCCCTGTTGGCACCAAGTCTTAGGCATAATGGGGAAGGCAAACGAGTGAGCGAGCGAACTGGTCAGTCCCGACGGGCGAAGGGCAGATGGTTCGCAAATGTGTTTGCATGCTTATCAGTTTTCGGGAAATCATTGCTTTCAATTCAAATGAATATCATGAAGACAGCCTCGACCGCAATAGACAAGGATGGTGAGACGTTGGTGCCCTGTAGTCGCCGTCACATTCTCAGCCCCCATTTTTTTTTTTTTTTTTGGCACCGCGTACTTTTGTCTCTCTTTCCAGGGGAGGAGTAATTGTTGTAACCTCATCAGCAGCTCAGAAAACGCAACCAGCTCTAAAGATACTCCTCCGTCCGTGGGGGATGCTCTGAGAGTGAGAGAGCATCTGACTCCATTCAACCTCCTGACGCACATTGTAACTTGCCGCCAGGAACTCATCCTTGCATATGTAGCGTACTTTGGTCGGTTGGGGGCCCTTGTACAATCGCAGGAACTGATACATGACCTGAATAGTCAATTACAGAATATTCTTTGAGCCCGTCGCGTCATCATCAGGCTGGGTTGGCCTTCCAGGCAAAATGATGAAAAGTAGGTCAAACGCCCTTATAGTATCGCTGTGTTTATGGAGGCGGGATCAACATCATCGATGCATAGTAGTTTGAAAAGATGTATGATGGCCAACCAGGTTGCTCTTGTATTGCGGGTCCGAGTAGTGAGAGAAGGCTGAGAAGGCTGAGAAGGCTAGGTAAGCGGGAGGCTGTGCCTGGTCGTCATTAAACCCGCGAGTTTTGGTATGTTGCCAGCTGCAGCTGTCCATGACTATCGAACAGGCGACAATGAACTCTCCCATGGTTGCGTCCAGAATCAAAGGGTCGATCTTCGCGGTGGCCGTTGTCGATGCGCTGGGGGGACCAGTGGAGTTCCAACCGCGGGGAAGCTTTGAGCCCGTCACCGATTTCCAACACAACGCGAACTTTGGTGTTCCTCCGGGGTAAGTTTAATAAATTGACTACCGTATACCAGTATCAGAAACTCAGCTGGATGAATAGCACATGGACTGATGACACATCCATGACCCTCTGTCTTGCCAAATCACTTATCCAATCAAAGGGCCAGTTTGTTGCCCAAGCCGCTATCCGAAACTATATCGAGTGGCACGAGAATGGCTATCTTTCAGCAACGGATAACTGCTTTGATGTCGGAATCGGTACGGCAACAGCGCTCAAAATCTGGAAATTATACTTTAAGCAATCACCTGGTATCCAAAAGGACGATCCAGCGGGTCATGAGGGCGGCCAGCCTGCCATTGACAAGGCTCTGAAGCGCGAGGTACTTTTGGTTTCTCTTTGATTTCAAAAACAAAGCATACTGACGGGTATAGTATTCCTGCGGAAATGGCTCCCTCATGCGCGTTTCCCCAATCGGCCTCGTGTACTTTCGCGACATGGACGAAGCGTTGCACCATGCCGCCGCTTCCTCTGATGCGACTCACCCGTATCCAACGTGTGCTGAGTGCTGTGTAATTTACACCAAACTCATCGTACACGCACTGAATGGTGCTAGCAAAGCGGACCTTGCCCAGGAGGTTGTGTCCACGGAATTCAAAGATACAAAGTTAAAACAGCGGTTGAGTCGCTATGCAAGTCTACAAGACTGGCAAGCCACAGACGAAGATGACATCAAGTCCTCAGGCTACGTGGTTTCCACACTTGATGCTGCTCTGTGGTCATTTTTTAGCACGTCCACTTTCGAGAGCGGAGCTTTGAGGGCCGTGAACTTGGGCCAGGATGCGGATACTGTGGGTGCAGTATATGGAGGTTTGGCGGGGGCATTTTACGGTCTGGAGGCGATACCATCGCGATGGGTTGCGGGGCTGCAGAAGAGAGAGCTCGTGGACGAGATTGCTTCAGGGCTTGTTTCCCTTAGCCAGTGATGGCATGGACTGGCTTCTTTTTGCTGGATTCTGTAGAAAGAGGCGATGGTACTGCTGGTGTAGACTCAGCCTAGCCCCACCAACAGCAAGGGCCTGATGAGAATCATGATATAGCATTGAGCTTCGCGAAATTGGTAGAATGCGACGTCCAACAATGCGTAATGTCTTGTACGGAGAGAGCATTCTATGTGCAGTAATTGTATACCCAGCCTGAAGCTCTTCAGTGGGACCACTGCAAGTGTCAGCAAATAGCGCGAACCAGACAATTAATTTCCAGCGATTCTGCCTCATACTGTGGGGAACTGATCCGTTGTAAATCACCAATCGAGTTCTAATCTTGGGGTGTGGACCTTCAGAACAACCGACGCCTCTTGGAGCTTTCGCCATCGTCTGTCTTGATGACCGGATTTAGGAGATATGATGCCATCCATCAACCAGACACCTGCCGTGCTTCATATTCTCCGTAGTATACCCGAGAGCCATCTAGGCTACTTAAGCACTCCCCTTCCCTCCGTCGATACCTGACGACTTGCTTTCAACACAATCGCAAGTATATATCTAGCAATATGGTCAAGACACTTCCCTTCGCTGATCTCCACGTCCCCTCTCCCGGCTTCGGTGCCATGGGCTTAAGCTTCGGTCTGGGCTCCAACCTTAGCTTGGAAGAAGCAGAGCCTGTGCTGCTCAAGGCCATTGAACTGGGCTGTACATTCTGGGATACGGCTGTAAGTTGAATTACCTCCCCCAGCATACAAGCACAAAGCTCTAACAGCACACGGCAAGGTCGTCTACCAAGCCGGTGTAAACGAGAAGCTTCTCGGCGAATTCATTAGGAAGCACAATGTCCGAGACAAGGTCTTCAGTACGTGATCTTGTTCTTAAGCAGGCCTTTCTTTCCTTTTTTTTACCTCGATTAATCATTCTATCAGTCGCCTCCAAATGTGGTTTCGATGTCTTCGGCAGTGGCGCTGTCACCAACTCTGCAGCCCACATTAAACAATACATCGAAGGCACAATTGAACGCCTCGGCTTCGCACCAGATCTTTACTACCTTCACCGGATTGATCCCAGTACGCCCACAAAACACCTCCATTCTCTCTGCTCACTCTAACACTACATCCTAGAAACCCCATTAGAAGAATCCATCCCAGCCCTCGACGAAATCCGCAAGGCTGGAAAGACCAAGTACATCGGACTCTCCGAGAGCTCGGCTGCAACTCTCCGCAAAGCCAACTCAAGTAAGAACCTATCCTGAACCTAACCCAAATAGCTCATCCATGGACATTCATTAACAAGTGGGCAGTCGCCAAAATCGATGCCATCCAGGCTGAGTATTCAGCCTTTGAAACGCTTCACGAAACAGACGGACTCATCGAGACAGCCAAAGAGCTGGGCATCGCCTATGTCGCATACAGCCCTCTTGGCCACGGCTGGCTTGTGGATAACTTTGACTACAAGACACCTGATGATTTTGCGCCGGATGACTTCCGGAGAAAGAGTTCGTCCCAATTTCCCTCCCACCCTAATTAACCCCCACTATGGCAAAGAAGAAATCAAAGCGCTAACGCATCAAATCGCACAGGCCCCAAATTTCAAGGCGAAAACTTCTACAAGAACCGCGCCATCGTCGACGAGATCAAGAAGCTGGCGGTGAAGAAGGGCGTCTCAATTTCGCAGATCGCGCTTGCGTGGGTCGCCGCTCAGGGCATGATTGCTATTCCTGGCACGACCAAGGCGCAGCGGTTGGAGGGGAACTGGGCGTCGAGGGATATTGAGTTCTCCGACGAGGAGTGGAAGGAGATGAGGAGGATTATCGATAGTGCGAAGCCGGCTGGGAATCGGTATGCGCCGGCGCAGCAGGCTATGGTTGGGCATTAGTTGTGCAGATAGATACCGGCATAGAGTCAACATGAGGTTTTCCTACCCAAGACAGCAGTTAGTAGTCAGTTTAAGTTTTGTAGATAGCTCTACTCGACCGGGTATGGCGAAGTTGACTGTAGATCCGGCTCGGCCGTTGACCTAGAATCACTACGAGCGTAGGCTTTGTGGCCGTAATTGAGATCCGAGGTTGTTAGCAAAGTTGCAACACCGAATGGAGTCGCCCTACTACGAAATACGGCGCTGTCGACCCTAGGTAGTAATCAATCCAAGAATACAATCATCTGACTGGTAGAAGTATCTTTCATTCACTCCGCTCTTGCTTTTTCTTCTTTCCCCATGATAGTTACATTCGTGGATACCGTAAGTCGCATAGCAGGCGTTATAAAAGTCCGTTCTTCCCAGTCAAAATTTGAACCCGTAGGAAATAGTGGAATCAAAAAAACGTGTCATGCAAATATAATCTCCATTACCGCACTTTTTAGTACTTCTTGCCCTGGCGCAGAACATCGCTGAATTCCTCCAGAGGGCTCCGGGTGAGCTTAGTCTCGGTCCACAGGTTGGGGGTGAGGAATCCGTAGGTGTTGACGACGGCAAGGAAGGTAGCCTTGAGGGTGTTCTCGAGGGTCTTGGTGGAGCCGGAAGAGGAAGTGTAGGCATCCTGGACACCAGCGAGCTGAAGGAGACGCTTGACAGCGGGAGAGGCAACGAGACCGGTACCACGGGGAGCGGGGATAAGCTGATTATCATGTTAGTACTGAAATGAACAAAAATTTGAGGTATCGATCAAAACATACTCTGACGGAGACGGAACCACACTTGGCACTCTGCTTGACGGGCAGAGAGTGAGGCTCACCAAGGTTGGTACCCCAGTAACCGCGACGGACGGGGAGAACAGCGAGCTTGGCAATGATGATGGCGGCACGGATGGCGGTAGCGACTTCCTTGGAGGTCTTGATTCCGAGACCGATGTGGCCCTCAGAGTCACCGATGACAACGACAGCCTTGAAACGGGTACGCTGACCGGCACGGGTCTGCTTCTGGACGGGTTTGATCTGTAATGCAGGTGTCAGCACCCATTGCTGCAATTCCTTTGCGTTTCCATTCCCAATTCCGATCAATGCGTAATCCTTCCACACCAGAAAATTCGTATGTATCCGGCGCAAAGATCCTAATCGAGTTCCGCAGAGAAATTTTTCGTTTTCGTACCTTCATAACCTCATCCTTGAGCTTGGGCAGGAAGAAGTCCACGATCTGGTACTCCTTGACGGGCAGAGAGTGAAGGTAGATCTGCTCCATGCTGGTGATCTTGCCGGCCTTGACGAGACGGCCGAGCTTGGTGACGGGCTGCCATTCCTTCTCTTCCTGCTTTCCACCACGACGGCCACGACGGCCACGGCCACGGCCACGGTCACCACCACGGTCGCCGCGAGAGCCGAATCCTCCACGTCCACGGGGAGCAGCGTCAGCCATTTTGGATATAAATGTGCCGGAGTGAAAAACGTAACCGGGCGGGAGGGTGTCGTTGGAGGTGTTGTCGACGTCGAGGTTGTCGATTTCTCTTCGCTATCCACACCCACTATGTTTTGGCACCCAGCGGAAAATTGGCGGGCGGGTGCGCTAAGCGAGGCCCGGCGTTGCCCTACTAGTGCAAACCCTAGGCCCTAGGTCGGTGTCCGCTTCGGGTAACCCGCTCTGGAGGCCCTCGTCACGGGGAAAGGGTCCATCATGTGACGTCGGGTTACCGTGTCGGGACGTGTCCCGCTCCAATAATCTGCAGTGAGTGGCGTTGATTGTCACAGTTTTTGCTTTGTTTCGCAGGGCATCCCGCGCTGAGATTTGTTATCGGCGGTCTGGGGTAAGATTCTCTTATAGCAGGTTCTTGCCAGTTTGACATTTGTTTCTTCAACCCTCCTTCGATACCCTTCCATCAATTGCTTTCTCCCAATTTGCCATTACGTAGTCAGAAACAATGTTGCGCTGGTACGTGTTTCATGACCCTTGTTCCTAGCGTTCGGCAACTGAGCTTATCGCCATCCAGGTACCAGTCCAAGCTCGCAAGGCAGCCTATCCTCACAACCAGTATTAGCAGTGCTGTAAGTTGCCTTTTCAGGATTCTTGAACACCAACTTTTTGCGGCCAACTTGTTCAGGCATGTCTTTTCCAAAATTGTTAACAATTCCACTAGGTACTTTTTGCTACCGGCGATGTTCTAGCCCAGCAGGCAGTCGATCGCAAGGGCCTTGAGAAGCATGACTTTGCAAGAACAGGGCGCATGGCTTTCTACGGTGGTGGTAAGTTGGCATGCTTATTTTCTCAGACCCCCGTCCCTTCGTCGTACTGCATTTGTATGTTCGTATTAGCTAACATCCGATATAGCGATATTCGGGCCGGCCGCCACGGTTTGGTTTAGTTTCTTGCAACGCAATGTCGTATTCAAGAGTAACAAAGCTACAATCGCCGCGCGTGTGGCTGCTGACCAAGGTCTCTTTGGTCCACTCAACATTTCCTGCTTCCTGACATCAATGGCCGTCATGGAGGGCGTTGATCCCATCGAGAAGTGGAAGTCGAGCTTCCTCCCGGTCTACAAGGCTAATTTGACGGTCTGGCCTATGGTCCAGACCATTAACTTCGCATTTGTGCCCCTGGAATACCGAGTGCTTTTGGTGAACTTTATCAGCTTGGGTAAGTGTCGCTCCCGGCCCTGTCATGAGCACTACTAATTGATTTTCTTTTCAGGCTGGAACTGCTTCCTAAGCTTGATTAGTAGCGGCGACAAATAGTTTGGTTGCTTCTCTTCTGGAGGACTGTGTTTAAAGATACCCGATGTCACACGACTGATACACCTCGGTTTGGCTGCAGACATGCCCTCACACCTTTCCCTTCATTCTCAATCCACTTACCACCTACTTTTTCACTATTCACTTGACAACAAAATGCTCACCGATAGAGGGTTGTTCCGGGTGTACCAAATAGATCCTTTGTGGAAAGCGTGCATATGTTGATAGATTTCAGCGGCAGGAATGCGGGACTACGGCTTTAGATTAGGCATTTCACTTAGAAATATTAATTATCCATTCTTCCTATTCTCCTAACACAAACTTCGTCTCTAGTAACGCTAGTATAAGATGCCTGTGTTTTTTAGTTGTTCCTCCATGTTCTTTGTTATTAGGGCTTTCCATGTGGCCAATGAGGTCCGGGGTTGGGGAGTTCCGCCCAAATAGGAAAAGCGGATGAGCTGCGGCAATCTTCAAAAAAGGATTGGAAGAAACCTCATCATCTCGCAGAGTTCGACAACACTTACTAGATCGTGTTCTCTGCCTGGAGCAGATACTTAACTTCGACTTCGCTTATTGCGCATTCACTATAGCCCCCTTCCCCTCCGCCTTCACTCACGGGCAGCACCTTCCCTCAAGGCCTCGAACAACACAAATTTTCCTCCCCCACCGAGACTTTTCTCGCCTTCAAACCACCCGCTCATCCTCGTCCTGAGCAGATTCACCACTCAGCACTTCGTTTTACCGTTCAAATAATTTCACTTTACTCTTTCTTCAGTCATAATGGCCGCCGTTGCAGAGAACGCTCCCCTACCGGTGACGAACGAGAACACGGCTCCCCCCGCGGTAGCCGCCGAGGAGAAGACCGAGAAGGCAAATGGCGATGCTGTCACCGTATTCCACGACCCAGAGAACTTCAATGTGAAGCACCCTCTGATGCACGAATGGACTCTCTGGTTTACGAAGCCCCCTAGTGGCAAGGTAGGACGCGACCACCCTCCGATCGCACAAGGCATCAACTTACATCGACCGAAATAATAGGGCGATAACTGGAACGATCTTCTGAAGGAAGTTGTTACCTTCAACTCTGTTGAGGAATTCTGGGGTATCTACGTATGTGCCTTTCATTCGCTTCTTCGAAACTGCCATCCAGCTCTTCAAAATTGCGTCATTCTAACGGACTGCTTCACTTTAGAATAACATCACTCCGACATCTGAACTCGGCCTCAAGGCAGACTATCACCTCTTCAAGAAGGGCGTTCGACCGGAGTGGGAAGACCCCCAAAACAAGCACGGCGGCAAGTGGTCATTTTCGTTCAAGGATAAGCGGTCAGTCCCCATCGATGACCTGTGGCTGCACGCACAGCTGGCGGCAATCGGCGAAACCCTCGAAAACGATGGTGACCAGGAAGTTATGGGAGTTGTCGTGAACGTACGTAAGGGATTCTACCGTGTTGGTCTTTGGACACGGACCGTCGGCAAGAGCATCCCCGGCGACAAGAACGGACGCACACCCGCTCAAGGCAAGGAAGTGCTCGAATCTATTGGTCGACGGTTCAAGGAAGTCCTCCGAGTTGGTTCAAATGACAGTGTCGAGTTCTCAGGACACACGGATAGCGCCCACAGTGGCAGCACAAGGGCCAAGGCCAAGTACACTGTTTAAAGCCGTAGGGCTAGGCAGTGCTTTCATGACGATTCATGAGTTCTGAATTCGTTTCAAAATTGAAATGACGGAGCATTCCACGGTCACGGGGATTGGCGGGTAGAGGATTGCACCACGAGGATGAATCTATCGAACCGTGACACCCGCGACTCCTTCGATTCGCTGTTGATGACTTGCTAGTAGACACCAGCTTTTTACCTTTTCATGCTTTATTTTGACGAGTCTATACCACTTATATTGGAGTTCTATTTATGGGGTCCGAAGAAACCAAAGCGCTACGAAATTACAACAAAAGCAACAGCAGCAGGGTTATGAATCCCATAGTTTACATTTGTACTCGCTGTCGGTTTTTTATTATAGCACGTAGTATTTCGCCTACGTTTTTGTCCAGAAAATACAAATTGAGCTGAATAAGTTGTCATCAGACTGCATCCGAAGCTGTAGCCAACGAAGGCAATTGACACCACCAGGATAACAACACGATTGTCAGAGGGCCGATGTAACGTACCATAATTCTGATCCGCATCGATTAATGGGCCCAAATTAGATGATTAATGGTTGGTGTTTTTTTGATTTTTTTAATTGTGATGTATACGGTTCACAAATATATATATCGCTACATCAGTCGTAAGAATTAATTCCGTGAGATACTGGGAAAGTTCTTTATCTCCAAAAGTATTACCATGCAATTGTAACATACTTCCCTGTTTCCAAATATCTAAACTTCATAACCTCACGATAAAGGGATTCTGCGTAGTTCCTGTTCGGAGCCATCCCGATAGTGCCCGTCAAGGCTAGATATCTCATATACCCAACATTTAGTTTTCAAAGAGGTCGATAAACGTAATAGAATGGGATTAGGAAGAGTATTAGGTGATTATTCCAGGTCGCATTCGCTGTCTTTTAAGGGTTCTCTCTGGCCAATGCCCCACGAGCCGTGAAGAGAAAGAGATGATGGGAGACCGTAAGCCGTGAAGAAAGGGCTGGGAAAGGAACCCAGGTTGCTAAAGAAATTCCTACTATTTTAACCTGGAAGGTTATACTGGTGTCTCGACTGAAATTTATGCAGACAGCTTATCCTTTGATTACAATCCTCATTGGCCCTCATGTATAATCAGCCATCTGTGATGCCAGCAGCATATTTTATTCCTGGGTGGGATTGGCCTATATCCATCTCATACTGACCCAGAAATGACGCAGTTTATAGGTTCAAGTGAACCCCAGGTCCTAAGCATGTCGTTAGAGGCTAGATGTACATGAAATTATTGGCTGTTTATCAGCAGTAAAGTACCATCTCATTGTTCCAGTGTATAGAGAGAATTTGCGTGATTTAATAACACAAGAAACTCACTCACTCACTCACTGGAGTCTCCTCTGTTTTGCTGTGGGGAATTTATTGTGTTTCCCTTGTCTTTCTAACCAGCTCTCTCTCTTCTCTCTTTATTCCATCTCGGCGTGCCTTTGCGTCGTGTATGTTTGAACTTCCATCGCCATGCCGACACACAACAAGATGGTGCCAAAAACAAACCGCATTGAAGACTTCCCAGATCACTGGAAAGCCACTCTCCTCGGCGACGAGTTCTGGAAAGACGCTGAGGACTGGAATACTGAAACAAACAACAGAATTGAGGCAGGCAAGTATTCCCGTACCTACTTATTCCGACAACACATCTGCCTACTACTGCATTCAACGTTATATTATTGTGGCGAGAATACTAACGGGGACTTTGATTTGGATAGACCACAACTCTAGCCTTCATACCAGATTCCCATTTAACATTGGACCAGAGCAAACTCCGCCGCCCCGTGCCCCGTCTATCACTGCAGCGGTCGACTCGGACTGCGAGGTTGATGCCGTGGTTCCTGAGAAGAGAAGTCGTCGCTTTAGTATGAGTGATGCCCTTACCGTGAGCACCTTTACTGGACGTAGTGGCTCTTCGCTATTTGCATCCAACCGTTTCCTTGACTTGGGTAGACAGTCACGCTCAGATTCTCGCTCTCGTTATAACAATCTTGGACGTTCATCAAGTGTTACGGCTGATGTTCGCCGCTCGAACTCGATGATCAGATCTACCTTCAACAGACTGAACCGCAGAATGAAGATGAGGGACGAAGGCGAGGAAGAAGAAGAGGAGCTGGAGAGCCATGTCAAGGAACGTGCCACTGCCACTCTCACCTTCCCTCCTGACCAAGCAACACCGGCAAATCCCCTTATGGAGTTCCGCGGTGGAGCGCTCTGGGAAGCCATCCCCAGAGACCGCCGTATTTTAGGCCTGGACGTGTTCTGGCCAGTCCAAACCGACAAGCTCATGCGAGAAACGAAGAAAGATAGTAAATACAATCAGAACAAAAGAGATTCATCCGAGGGCGAAGAAGATGACGGACCTACAATCTTCCCAATCAATGAAATGGCGCCTCTCTGCATGTTCCGTAACCTGCGTATCCTCAAACTCACGGGGATGATGCAGTCTTACCAAATGTACATCTTTCAAGCAGCTTGGCTCAATACCAATATTGAGGAGCTTGAAATTGGAATGGCCCTTGCCCCGCGTCTTCGTCGTGGTTACAAATGGCCGTTTATGAAGGGTGATTGGCGCCTTGATAAAGCTACTTGCGGAGAACCCGTTTACTAGTAAGTATTTAATCTCAGTATCATAATATAGCACGGCGTCAAGATAATACTAACATATTGTCTACCCTCCAGCGGTAACGGTGAAGGCTCTCTCGTCCGCACGGTCGGAATCGGAGAATACCTCGACAAGATTTGCCTCGAAAAGGCCAAAATACGGGCCATGGCCATGGGAAGTACCCGCAACCGTCTTTCAATCCGCACACTGGTTCTCTCCGGTGTCGTGGTCGACGCGGACCCCTTCCTGCACTGGTTTGACCCAAAACGTTTGAAATGTATCAACTTCAAAGAAAACTGCGTCGACGCGGGGTTCTGGCTTCCACACTGTATGAAGAAAGTCTCTGTTCTGTTTCCCAGACAGATCGATGAGCCCACCGTTATTGGCCGCCGTGTGAATCCTTTGGCCGAGTTGAAAGTTGTTGAGCTTAAGGGTAGAAAGAAAATCGGCGAGATACCCTATCGTGGGCCGAAGAGTTTGGAAGAGGATATACCCAGGAATGTTGGCGTTAAAGACAAGCAGCACTAAGAGGGGTGAGAGTGCAAAGAATGGCGTTTCTGACAAAATTCAGGTTGAGGTTGCTATCTAGGCGTCTAGGAGGCGAATTTCGGTTTATGTACTTACTGATGGTGGATGAACATGGAAGCGTCCAGCTATGACGCGGTTCCTCGTAGTTTTGAATTACTAAAATGAAGCAACTCGCAACAATAAGATCAAATTATTGATGAGCAAAGCTATCTCGGCTCATTTCCACGTTTTACATCGACGCACACCGGGAGCAGAACCACGTCTCCTATATACGGCATGGTCAAGATCAGATAGCCACCTCAAGGAAGCCAACGCCTTCACGAAAAGGCTCAACCTCAGAGAGTCCCTGTACTCGCATTCTCCGTGAAATCCATGAGGTTGGTCGCTACAGAACCACTCCTACCGGCGAAAAACTCCTCACTCACATCGAAATCAAGACCGGCATCGTAACCACTGGCAGTGATAATACGCCAGTCATCGCCCTCCTGCTTTGAATGGTGATCTGCGTGCTCTTGCATAGGAGCTGAGTTTAGAGATCGGTTTCCCATTTCTCCAGTCGGCCCTCGATAAGGGTCGTAGGTGGGCTCGTATGTGCCATTTGCATTTCCATTCCAATCACCATCAACCTCCATGGCCATATGCGCACCCGCACTTGCAGCTACAGGCACGGCCATAGCAGCAACTATAGTCCCAGCAGTATTTATATCGGCCGGGGCAAGATCCTGAGGATGGGCGTCAGCGGCAGCATTGACGTGGACATGTCCGGTTTCGATGGCTCGAGGGGCACCTCTATTCCCTTGCCTTCGATTCTGATTCCGACGCCCCTGACATCGTCTGCCCCGACCCCGATTATTATGAGGTTGATTCTGATTGTTGTTGCTATTGTTTCTGTTGTTTCTGTTGTTTCTGTTGCCATTGTTGTAGTTGTTGTTGTTGGCATGTGCAGGCCCACGAGGGCCAGGACGATTACGGCCGCGACAAGACCGGTTCCCGGAGTCAAAGCCGCGATTAGAAGCAGCGGTAAATGACTAGAAGATGTTTGGATTATGTTAGAACCGAGATAACATAGTGCTGGCTTCCTGATGATTTAGTTGCAAGTGGGTGGGGAACTCACCACTGATCCGCCAGTAGCGACGATGGTCATGTTGTCTGGAAGGGTGATTATGGTTCGGTTTCCGAAGGATTGAACCGATATACCATTTGCGTCTCCCATATTACCGAAATACCAGTGGGCTGACTATGGAGGGGCAGGTGAGTTAGTGCAGGGTTCAATTGAGGCTGGCACTGCTCGGTATCGAGCACTATGGCTCATTTACCATATTGTAGATGGGTACGAAGTAATTGGTAGTGAGGATGGTGATGACGGTGGGTGGGATTGGTGATAGCAGCTCGCCTACATATGGTGGTGGAGGAAAGGCTTGAAAGAAGTCCTTGTGTTCCTGGTGTTGTGCGCATCATCACAGACAGTCGCACCTGACGCCGAGGGGCAACTGCTGCTGGATAGTACCTGGCACAGTGATGTTCTATGCCCAGCACATAGATAGAATGAATACAAGGGTCAATAAGAAACAAATCAACTGCATATACTCAGATATATGCATTGTGCGATCCAATCTGCTTGTTCAATCTTACATTACAATGTTAGTGCTATCATTAAGATATGTTATTCCTTTATCTATCCCAGAGTACGGAATCAGGGAATCCAGATAGAGTAAGAACAACCAAAAATGTAAGTGATATCCGCTACAGAGAGCCCCTATCTGAGCCCCACTGAGGACTGAAGGCCATTGCATCAGACCCAGTACCTAAGCAATGTTTATCTAGGGTAGACACGCGGTAATGGATAGTGCGACGTCCGACCTCGCTCACCAGGCCTTTTTAGCACTTTCCAGACCTACTTCTGATGAGAGTTTATATCTGCTGAAGCTCACCTAGGCCGATCTCGGAGTTCGGGGACTGTATGAGGCTAGCATCACACTCTGCCCAGGTGCCAGTCTGGCCCTCTGGGTCTTGGTCGCGGTCCCAACAGGGATCGACAATTGTACGGATCCTGTATCTTGGCTTTGAATTCTTCGAATAGTCATTGGATAAAACAGGGAGTATGAATGCCCCAATGGAGTACTCTGTGGTGCCGCGCATACGGGACCGACAGGGTATGTGGATCGCAGTGAGTCAGTGAGATGTCATGGACCTCATGTCCTTGGGATTTCGGAGGGATGGGCTTATTCTGAATGCGAATGCCCATCAATTTAATGAAACACCGCTTGTTTGGCTATCATAATAAACGAAGAGTTGCTGTTTGGTGAGATTCGAACACTTCAGGTGTTATCTCACTTCCATGGTTCCTGCATATCTTGGGTTTCCTCTCGTATCATGAAGCTCAGAGCGCTCCTCATTGGGCGTGTTATTGCGTGCTTGGACATCGAGCCAAGACCGTCAAGGATGCTTGAGGCTTGGACAATGGATATATTTGCGCTGGGATTGGCTTGTAGGACGACCAAGACGCGCCATCCTTGGCTGAAGTTTAGCGGTTCTTGGAGACGTGCCCAAAAGGTAAATTGTACCACTGCCGTGACTGATAAGACTGCGATCCCCCCCTTCAACCTGGCCGAATTTCACACTCTTGTGTCATGATTCTTCTGAGATGAAGTGAAGATTCACGGAATGTTGGCGCCCGACGGTCGTGACTCTGCGCGTGAGATGTCTCTTTTGTTTGTCTCTTACACAGCCTTTTCTTTAGCACGACTATCACCCTAGCATGCGCTGATCGCCCTTCCTATTCTATTTTTGAAGGTAAGTAAAGTTCTCAAGCTGTTCACTTTGTCCTTGCCTCTGGTTGTGTTCATTCTCATGCATGCTCACCGGCCGATACCGGAGGCGCAGCGGAGTCGAGTCTCGAGATTCGCCCGATTGCGGCCATTATTTGGAGAGGCCTTTGCACCATTCTCTGGATAAGCACTGACTCGTTAAGTGGCACAAGGTGACCCGACTGTTTTATCAATTGCTTTTTCCTCGTTCGCCGCTTCATGGATTGCCCCTGTCGGCTCGAAGCGCCGCCTCGGTTTTTCCTCCGACACTTTGACAAACGTTCCACCTCCACGATGCACGATCCAGACCTCCAAATTCAGGAAAGGAAGCGATTGACCCCCCCTGACCAACGAAAAGTCGACGAGAAGCGAAATCCTGGCTGCTTATCCCATGGGGTAACATCGCTTGCGGTGGATAAGCTTCTTGTCACATCCCCGGTTTCCTGACTTCATGCACGTCGGACGTGGAGATAATTGGCTTTGAAGCCGCACCGATATTTGGCCTTCACCCAACGAGATTACATTTGGAGATAGAAGAGTTTATGGGGTCACATCGTGTATCACCGCACGCGAGGACCGGCCTTATTGTTACGCGATTCTGTCGACCTCGGCGCAGACTGGGTGGGGTTGCCGCTTGCGCTCGAGGACTCGAATGACCAGCCATGTCGAAATGACTGTGAACGGCACGAATGCCGTCCTTATCTCTTCATTCTAAATGAAGGTTATCCGGGTCACTAGCGGAAACATTTATGTTACCTAACACGTTCTCCATGCGGTTCAACCTCGGTCAAAAGTCGCAACCACCCGCGATCACCAGTGGTTGTGTACTTGAACTACTGCTCTTGCGAAAGACAGAGGAAGAGTTGTTCATGATATGGTTCTTGAAATGTACCAAAATCATTGTTTATTGTTTGATGGCGTTCCTTTGGGGGCGAGGCGACTCGTGGCGAGAAAATATCAATTTCTATAGCCCGGTGAACTCCGGGCTTACCCACGCGACCCAGTTATCTTTGGCCGGCCTTTGGAACTCCTCCGGCACCAAGCGCGACAAGACAGCCGAGCAAGGCTTGACTCGCTTGTCTGGACCTGGGGTTACATCCGTGGTTACTGCTTTTTTTGGTCGGAGTTTTACTGGGTCTCCAAATCTCGTTATTTTTTTCTAGAGAGATAAGACGGTCCCGCTTTGACTAGCACGCGACTTTAGCCATGACTATAATATGGTGTGACTCCTCGCCCAGGTCCCAGTCGTTCTTTTTCACGTCTTGCGACAAGTCAAGCTCAAATTGACCGACCGAGGATCTTCATTGCCCATCCTCTACAACATGTCTGCTGCAGAGCATGGCGTTGAGGCCGCCCAGTGAGTTTACCTCCCTCGTCGAGAAAATTTCCCACTTGCGGCAGTCGCATCTGATTCGCATCGCGCATCCTGCATCTCTTGCTCCGCATCGTTTTCGGTTCCTTATGGTTCGCCCTGGTTAGTGTTTTTACTAACTTCTCTGCAGGCCGGCCCTCGCTGGCGATAGCCCTGTCACTGCTGCTCCTGTGAATGAGAAGGATCAGATTGTCGACCAATCCGAGAAGGCCCTCGCTGAAACCCCCGATGGCGAGGAACCCAACGACGAGGAGAACAGAACTCTCCGCCACATTGCAGAGAACCTCCCCCTCTCTGCCTGGCTAGTTGCATTCGTCGAATTGTGTGAGCGTTTCACTTACTACGGCATGTCGGGGATGTTTCAGAACTATGTCCAACGCCCATTGGACGGAAGTGAGGGACGTGGTGCGCTGGGCATGGGCCACCAGGGAGCTACTGGCTTAACTACTTTCTTCCAATTCTGGTGCTACGGTTCGTATTTCGCGTAGTCTTTCCCTGGCTTCGTGCGCTAACATTATACTACAGTGACACCTATTCTTGGTGCGGTCGTTGCCGACCAATACCTCGGCAAATACAAGACCATTGTTCTCTTCTGCGTTGTCTATTTGGTTGGATTGTTGATTCTGGTTCTTACTTCAATCCCCACCGCACTTGAGAATGGAGCTGGTCTTGGAGGGTTCATCGCGGCTATTCTCATCATCGGTCTCGGAACTGGTGGTATCAAGAGTAACGTTGCTCCCTTGGTAAGTCAGCTTGTCAAATTCCATATAATGCTGCTCTTTTACTCATAAGTCCTCTAGATTGCGGACCAATATAAGCGCAAGAAGATGGCGATCTCGACTACTAAGAAGGGCGAGAGAGTTGTTATTGACCCGTCTCTTACGATTCAGCGCATTTACATGATCTTCTATGGCTGTATCAACCTCGGATCCCTCTCGTTGTTGGCTACACCTTACATGGAGCGGGATATTGGATTCTGGTCTGCTTACTTGCTCTGCCTGTGCATGTTTGCAGTTGGTACTGCTGTTGTCATTTGCGGACGCAAGTTCTACGTCGTCCGTCCTCCTCAGGGATCGGTCATCACCGACGCCTTCAAGGCTCTCTGGATCATGGTCATCAACCGCAACATGGATGCCCCCAAACCCACTTGGCAAGCCGAGAATGGTGGCAACAGAACCCATGTTCCCTGGGACGACCACTTTATTGATGAGCTTAAGCGTGCCCTTGTCGCTTGCCGCGTATTCTGCTTCTATCCCATTTACTGGGTCGTTTACGGCCAGTTCTCCAGCAACTTTGTCACCCAGGCTGGTCAGATGCAAGGACACGGTATTCCCAACGATTTGATGCAAAACTTCGACCCGATTTCCATTATCGTGTTCATTCCGATCCTGGAAACCCTGGTGTACCCCGTCCTCCGTCGCCTGCGCATTCGGTTCCGGCCCATCTCTCGTATCTCGCTCGGTTTCATCGTTGCTTCTCTGGCCATGATGTACGCTGCTATTGTCCAGCACCTCATCTACTCCGCCGGGCCATGTTACGAATCCCCTGGGTGTGATGCTTCGATTGTCGACGGTTCAGCCCAGGGCAACAACATCCACATTGCCATCCAGACACCCGCCTACTTCTTTATCGGTATTTCCGAGATCTTCGCCTCGGTGTCCGGTCTCGAGTACGCCTACACCAAGGCACCACCATCCATGAAGTCGTTCGTGCAGTCCATGTACCTGCTCACGAACGCCTTCGGATCTGCCCTCGCTGAGGCCCTGACGCCCGCTGCCTTCGACCCAGCCATCATGTGGATGTTTGTTGGTCTGGCATGCGCCTCGTTCCTCGCCGGTATCATCTTCTTTGCTATCTACCATCACCTTAACGACCAAGAAGATGCCATGAATGCTCTTGATGCCGACGACCCTCAGGGTCCTCCCCCGCAGTATGCGGAGAAGAAGGAGCAGGAGAACTAAACTCCCCACTCCAACGGACTTGACGTGCGCATGCTTGAAGACGAATATTTGACGTCGCGCTCCAAGAGCGGTATATCTATATAATGCTAGTAATTTGCGATTGGGTTGCATAGCCACCTGCTGAGCAGATGACACCCGGTGTTCTTTGATTGTATATATAAACATTATTTATTTTATTCATACGTACTATTTTCGATATAATTCCGTTCTATCTAAGTTGTGGCCACATAAAATAGGTCTCATAATTTTCCCCTTTCCCTTGAAGCTAGCATGAGTTACTGGCTCTGCGTGGGCCCTCGATATTCGCACCGGGAAATTGTCCACCGCAGGGACTCCATAGTCCATCAGGTATGCTTTAAATACCTCCGGAGTCATGTCTGAACTCCGTGAAAGGCGCTGAAACTAGTCTCAGTGGACCACAGCACCAAAATCTAACCAAGCATGACCAAACCAAATCACAAATCACCGTCTGCCGTTTTGATTCTGTGACATGCGAAAAAGCTTTCCAAGTCTGCAAGTTCGGCGACTTCCGCGGTCCACTCCACCGACTAACCGAAGATGGTTAGTATATCGGGCCAGTTCCTGAATACAATGTACGCTTTCAGCTTCCAATCCAATCAAGGTTCCACTTTTCCCTTTTCGAAGTTTTTCCAAACAGGCGGCGGCGGCGGCGACCACGCGATTTGTGGATCTGGGCCCTGGGTTATCTGCCTGCTATTTCAACCAGGGTTTGCTCGGAGCCTTTGGAGTTTGGACGGAGGATCGGATTCTTTGATCGTTGCAGAGTCTGCTGTCGGTGCCCAGCCGGATTTGCGGCACTGGGTGGGGAGTTGGCAAATGTAAGGTGTCTGGAAGAGAGTGAGCCGGTGAGTCAGTGGGTGGCTGGGGGTCAGTTAGAGGCAAAATGGGAAATGGGTTGTTGTTCCGGGAAGGCGCGTGAGAGTTGCAAAGAATTATTTTACTGCTGAGAATAAGGAGCAAATACCTGCAGAGGGGCGATAAAAGCTACAGTATTGGATTAGAGGCGAATAGCAAAATTGGAAAGCTATACATGGCGTTGAGCACAGTTATTTCTGGGTTGGCGTTTGAAATTAATAGGGCCTAAAAAGTAGGGCTCATATATCTAGGGTCCATTTCTACTGTGGAGATGGACCTGCTTGCTGGAGGTTTAGGGCTGGCTATATATTAATACACTCGGGCGATAACCAACGGAGAGACCTTGTTATATTGAGAAATCCAGATAGCCTAAAATCAGCTTTCAGTTTTCCTTTTCAAGGGAATTTCTCTTGGCTGCAGCTGTTAGCCTTCAACAGTCCACCCATAAATAATGCGACGAGGAAGATACTTTAAACATTCCGAGAATTGCTGCTGTGTGGTCGATGCACTAGTTAGGTTTGCCTTGGTCTTGATAGTGATTGTTATGGCATCGCGCATAGGATTGAAAAGGTTCTTGAGCTCCTGCTATATAATATGCAGGGTAGCCTGGAACACAAGCCCAACGGCCATGACATAGGTCAAAGAGGAAAGTCGTCATCACGTATTTGCATCCGCAAGAAGTGCTAGAGATTGTGGGGACTGATAAAATATGCCTCGAGCTGTCCATATCTGCTTGCTCTATTTGATGATGACAATCGCCAGAGATCGCAAGCCAAAAAACTGAAGAATAGAAAATAAATGCCATCAAATTATACGGGGAACATATCGTGGCTATCTCCTGTCACTGGGTAAGATGTCAGGTGTCCCTTCTCCAACATGCTGGAAGGGAAGTTCTTGAGGTCGAAAGTCTAGAGATTCGTTTCCACTTCCTCAAATTCCGAGTTCAATGTGTTTGTACGCACAGAAAGTCTGGTGTTGAGCGCCGTTCTCACGGCTACCAAGGTAAAGAAGGACCGTTAGGTAAATTTCAGCCAGCTGAGATGTGAAAGCTGAAGCAGTAGAAAAGATGCCTTTCCCATATTCTGGAAGCTGAGTGGGAACCAAATACGGTGACCGGGGCTGCCTCCATATCACAATGTTACCTGGCGCTGAGCAATAGTTTATGCAAGTAAGGATGATGCTTAATTGATTAATTTTTCTGAGGTCTGGGGGGATGGAAATGTCTGCAAGTCTTTCAGCTAACCGTGAATGCGAGTGGAAGAGAGAGAATTGAGCAGCTGGGGCCGTTTGTTTTGAGCCCGATTCCCCTCCTCCATATTTCTACTTTTACCTCCCTTTGTGGTCCGCAGCCAGTGTCATCCACCATCCTTTTAATCCATATCAACATCATAATACTCTCTTATTCAACATGGCTTCCCTGTTTGAATTCTACGGACTAACCCGAAGACAATGCCCGGAAGATAACACTTTGGCTCGCCGTGAGACTTCAAGCAAGCGTGCTGTGGAGGATGTTGGGAAGGGTCTGGATTTGATTTCACTTTATGTTTTCAACAGCAAGCTAATCATACCAGGAAAATAGACACACAAATTGGAAGCCTGGGTCCTACTCAATCACAGATAGTCTCCCTTCTGGAAACCGTCAGAGAACTCGACTGGTCAGACCTAAACGCCAAAGAACTGAGATCCAACACCCAACGCATAGCAGCTGAGCTGCATCGTCGCGGAGAGGCTGTAACACCATGCGAACAATGCACCCGTGGGGGAGCCTGGGATACCTGTGTCGTCTTTCCGGTGTACAAAGGGCGATCCGTGTCATCATACGCATGTTCAAATTGCATCCATCGTCACAGAGGAAATAGGTGCAGTCATAGACAGGCATTTGAGGATCAAGGTGGCCAGCCTTGGGATATCAAAATCACCGCGTACGTACACTCACAGCTTAGTTTACCCTTCATGTTTACCGCAGCTAACCAATAGAATAAGTCAGGTTGTAGCCCATGGTGGTCTTCGCAAGGTCATGGCCAAGGAATCCCAAGACCCTACATTCAGTATCAATGGAGACCCCCCCATTGTGACCAAAAAGCGCAAAGAACGCGAGGCGAGCACTGAAAACCAGGCGCAAGTTCCAGTCACCCCGAAGAAGCCCCGTCTTAGTAGCGGCTCGCCCCGCGAAAGATCGGCATTCGATGGTGAATCTCTACCCTGGCCCGTATCCCCTACTTCGTGGAATAACCCCATCAAACTGCGTTCTATCATGAAGGACCTGAAATCGTTTGCACACATTACCGAAGTGCGAATCGCGAAGCTGGAAGCAGAGAGAAAGCGCATGTCTTCGACGGAATACTGGAACCAGGAAGCAGCAGACCTTTTTTCTGATGGGCAGTTGAACTTGGGTATGAGGGAGTAATAGGAACGTAGAGATGAAGGAAGCCGGGTTTGCTCTCGTGCGTACAATGGGTGCAATGCCTCTGTACTGACCCATCACTATTTCTGTGTTCATATTCCTTTGTCACGGCTTGATATCTTGGCTAAGGCTATTGCCGTGCATTAACCACTGGATAGTACTGACATGATAACAATTTCTTTAGTTTCTTTCCAGATGGAAACATGTAGGGCCATCTCGAGGACACAACTACACTGTAGCAACCCGCGCAAAGTACGCAAATAGTTTAGCAATATAGATTTCTAAAACTTCGTACACATATAATAGTTCCTCGCAACCCAACTTACTGGACATGAAACATTTACCATATGGGCACTAAGAGCGTTCATCCTGGACGGTGGTGTATATACGTACCTATCAACACCCGCAAGACAAGTTGGGATAGCAAGCCTGAAAAACGGCAATCGGACATAACTCATCCTATTTCCGATCTTATACTCAAAACAATGGATCAGGTCAACAAGGTGATAATATTCTGAGATGTCTGTGGTGTAACACAAGTGGGCGGGTAGTTCAAATGGCAGAACGTTGGAGCGGCGCCAATGTTAAAGTCCTCTTGTAGGATCCATTCGTGGGTACTTAATGGAGGACTTCATGGAGCCTAGTACAAAGGTTGCAAGTTCGACTCTTGTTCCGTCCTCCCTTTTTTCCTTTTTCTTCTTCTTCTTCTTTTTTTTTTTTTTACTTCTTCTTCCCCCGCTTGCTGGCGGAAGTTCCACTGCCTGCGGTTTGGAACCTCACAGGTTGTGCTGCCGTTGTCCAGAGTGACAATTCTATTCTACTTTTTTGGGATGTCTCCTTTGGTATCATTTAATATAAGCTATTAGGTATGGAAATTAGTTGCGATAATGGTCTACATGGCGAGTATGGGTGGCAAAGCCCCAATATAAAGCGTAAAGCGTCCATAATGACGGCCGCAAGGGGAGCTGAGGGACGCAACAAAGCCAGCCAATGGGACGTCCAGCATTACCGCCCCTGCTGCCTTAAAGCTCTCTTTTCAAGGGCCTATTTCACCCGGAAGGACCCAGGTAGCTCAGGTGAAAGAGCACTGGATTTCTCTTGAGTGTTTGGTCTTCTTGTGACGCATTACGCATTCAGATTGGGCACTCTTGAGAGAGGTCAGAGGTCGCAAGTTCAAGTCTTGTTCTGGAGAAATCCTTCCCTTTTTTTGCTTCCCTTTTCATTTTCATGCTCTTCTTTTTGCCATTCGGGTCTTAGCCATGTTGGTGTTGTCGATTACGGTCTTGAGATAGACCTGCTTAACACACGCCCAAATTATTGAAGATTTACCAACATTACCTACAAAGCCGTAGGATGCATTATCATGGATATCTCCAGTTAGGATCTAGTAATAATGCTGAAAGGCCAGGTGGTTCAACGGTAGAGGTGGCTCAAGCAGTGGTTTCGGCTCACCGTCCAAAGGGTGCTCAGATTGAAAGCATGCGAGGCTGGCACCGGGGGGAATTTCGATTCTTGCCTTCATTCAGATTAATTTTTGCGTCCGTCTTTTGTGGGCTGGCCTCTGTTTGGATGTGTTTTTGTGGTGGTTGTGAATAGTGATGTTGGTCGACCAATCAGAGGGCTTGAACCCACCTCTGTTCACAAATCCCCCTCACAGCCCTGGACACAGCTCCCAACTGCCTCGAAATTCCCCCTTATGTCTCTCCGGTAGTACAGCAGTATAACGCAAGAGGCCAAGTAGCTTAATGGTTATAGCGTTGGTTGAACACTGAGATGATCCTAGTCTCGATACAAGCCGCGTCGCTGTAGTAATTGCTGACTGAGAGAGGAGGTATCGTTGAACGAGTGGACATAAACCAAAGATGCAAGTTCGACTCTTGCCCTGGCCATTATTTATTTTTATTCTTTTGTCTTGCTTCCTTTAATCACTCACAGAAGGCTGAGGTGGATTAGCCAATATAAAATAATTTGGAGGTAACCATGGTTCTCGAATTATGATGAGATATTGCGAGATATTGCATAGATTGGCTAGGCGTTGTATTCCCTGCTCTTCACAGTTGACAGAACCTTTGAAGGCTCTCTGATAGTCAGCTCCAAGCCTTCACTCCTTACCAAAGCCACATTAGCAAAAGAGGAGATTCAGTAACAGTGTCATGAACACTTACATAGTCCATAGACTGAGATTTATAATTATATTATTCCTGTTCACATTCAAGTCTCACGTTTTTGGCATTGCGCATTGTTATGTACACCATGGACTGGCTAATATCATAAAACGATATTTCATAAAGACGTGCCATTTCCAAAACAACATTCCTCTTATTCTTTCCATTCCCACATATTACCTCTTGCCTTTCTCCCTCTTCCTTCCAACAAGCATTCTTATTTCATACTGATATGCTTATCTCAACACATCGGGCGCGGAGTAGTTCTGAGTAGCTACCGATAAAATCTCCAATTGCAGGCTTAAGCACCTTCTTCCTCGTTGATACGGATTGCTCCCTCATTACCAAGTCCACTAGACCAGAAGCCATCGACATAGAGGTTGCTAGTTCCGTCAGTCAGTACGTTCCCAGGACAAAGTATGGGTCTTCGGATTACTTACGTTCCAGAAGCGGCATCATTGGCAATCACGAGCCAGTAGCCTAGGATTCCCTGGATTACAATGTCGTGAATAGCAAACAAGACAGTCTCCCCGGTGAGACCCATTTTGAGGGAAATGGGGCCTGCGGCGAGGGTACTAAGGAATCAAGTCAGCAGGGTGTAGTATGAAAGGTTAAATGGGATTCGGGGAAACCCGTACATTGGATACAATGCCTTCGCGACGAGTGCCACGCCTGCGATAGCTGAGAAGAGACGTCGGGTGTGCGCATCCCTGTTGCTCGCAGCTCTGGTTCCCTTAATGCCAATGTGATAGACCACCGTGATAAATGCAATTGCGCTGATGGTAAACCAGACCCACTGGCGCGCAGCATGGCCGGCATAAGTGCCAAAGATACCGGAGGCAAGCATAACGTAGTCTGCAGCAATGGCTGCAAAAAGCGATGCGCCGGGGAGGCCGGAGACGAGCGTCAAACTGGTAAGGATCAGGGGATCCGTGATGAACCAGTTGACGTAGCGCAGCCAGAGAACCTGGCGTAGGACAGGTTGCTCGACGTTGGGAACATGCTTGTGGTTGTGCTTAAGTGAGTCGTGCTTCCAGTTTAGGCCTTGGCCGGTCGCAAGCGCGAGATAGATAAGGAATGAGACAGTCGTCGAGACGGAGACGAGATAGTGTATCACTCGTTTCGGCTGGAGAGAGGTCAGTATGTGTAGCAGAGGATTTTGGTACGGATTGCGACTCACCAGCTGTACGCGGTTGCTAAGAACGTAGAATACGAGAGACGAAAGTGCCATGAGCACTGTGACAACCCTATCACACCCCAGTATCAGCAACTGTCGAAGTAATCGGAAGTAATCCATCGTACCATAATGTCCGCTTCCCAGCTGTGTCAATATTCTGAAACGTTGGATGCCCGCCTGGAATCACAGTCGGAATGGGCGCTACCGATGACGTCGTAGTCGTGGTAGGCTCCGGGAAAGGAAGGCCATCAGTGATGGTTTGTGTTTGTGTCAAAGTATGCGTAACAGTGACGGTCTTCTTGAGTATCTCCTCCATCATTTTAGACAATCTTGCAGTTATATACTGGTTGACTGGCGATAGCAATGACAGTTCCTCCACACAGTCTGTGCGCGTAAGCCGCTGGAAATGACCCTGGGCACGATGTGATTTATAGGTTTACAGTAGCAAAGGGAATGGTGATGTTCTCGATTTAAGTGGATCGAGGATTGCCCGGGCCGATCTGAAGCAAATATACCATTCGCTGATGGCTGGCGTCTGGAGTGGCATGTCGCACAAGTTTATCGTCATACTGACTCGCTGTTGTCGTCATTGAATCCTGAGCTAACTTGGGCCAGCTGAGGTCTTGGGTGTTTCATTGCCGGCGATTGGTTGAAACCAGGAGCTTGATTCTGCGTTCATCTGCAGAGAATATGTAAATCAGGTGAGCCGTGCAGAGTGTCGCGGGGGTGTTGTTGGTCAGTCGAGAGAAAGGAAGCCTTGGCGGGGTTGTGTAGCAGGTTTTCCACGTTGCCACACATGACGATAGCAATATGCATGGCAAGGAGCCAAGAGTCGGTCGAGATGTTCTTGTGGTAGGTGTAATTCTATTTATAATATTACAGTGTAGAGTTTGTTATTGTACATGTCTAAATGTCAAAATCAAGGACACGAGGTTGTGTCAAGTTCCTGCAACACGTCTTCACAGCGACCGCACGCCTTGTCGTCTGCGACCTCCTCTTTCGGAATCACATACCGCCAGCAGCGGGGACATTTAGCTGCCTGTGGGCTATAGACATACACCTTGCCTTTTCCTCCATTTGGAAGCTCATACTCCTCGCCATAGTGCCATTCAGCGCTTGCAATTGCATCTGGGACGGCTTCATCGGTACCACCAACGGTGACAGACGAAACGACAAAGATATCCGCCAGTTCGTTTGAGTTTTGTTGAAGGGCAGATGGTGCATCCGTGGCCGGGAGCTGGATGTGTACGAAAGACTGCAAGGACGAGCCGGTCTGCTTCTGACCCCTTGCCTTTTCCAGCATGGCCTTGATAGCGGAGTGTACTGCGACGATCTCCAGATAGTCTCCACCTAGCGAGGGCTTCTGCCATTCTGAGGCTGGCTCTCTGGCGATACGCCTTAGGGGGTGCTTGGATTCACCCTGGATTGCTTTCGGGGTGTGCTCAAAGGTTTCTTCCACAAGCAATGGGGTGATGGGAGCCAGAACTTCCTGCAAGTGGTTAAAGATGTGGAATAATGTCGTTTGGGCAGCTCGTCTGCTAGGGCGATTTTCTGCGTAGGTATATAGGCGATCCTTGATGGCTTCCATGTAGAAAGCAGAGAACTCAATGTTGGCCCATCGGTTGACCGCGTTGGTAGCCTTATAGAACTCGAATTTCTCGCAGGCTGCTCGAGCCGCCAGCGTCATTTCCGAGAGATGTAGGAGAGCGATACGATCCACGAGTAGCAGTTCGTTGTACGGAACCATGTTGGCCGGTGAGAAGTCTGAAAGGGCACCAAGAAGAAGCTTGAAGGTGACACGGTACTTGTGTAAGCTGGTGTGGACTGTTTGCAGAACTTGCTTGCCGATAACAACATCTCGAGTGTAGTCACTGCCTGCGGCCCATAGTCGAAGGGCATCCGGACCTAAAGAGTCGTACACGGGTTGTTGATTCTCCGGTTGTTTCTTCCCCTTGCCCTTTTTCTGTTTGAGGGGCGGTAGTAGGGTCCCGTCCATTATTGTTTGTGGAAGGACGACATTTCCAATGGACTTGCTCATTTTCCTACCCTCTTCATCAAGCGTAAATCCATGGGTGATCAAGGTCTTGAATGGCGCTCGTGGGGTGCTCGTCTGGTTGGAAGCAAGCTGGTGTGCGATGAAGGTGAGAAGTCCAGACTGAAACCAACCCCGGTGTTGATCGCTACCTTCCAAATAAACGTCTGCAGGGTGGCCGTGGTTGCCATACGGGGTTTCTACCTCTGCCCAACTGGTGCCACTATCAAACCAGACGTCCATGGTGTCGGTCCCACGCTTATAAACAGAGCCAGATGTTTCTCTCAGCGCAGGTGGAATCCAGGCGGGGTCATTGGCATCGTCTGTCCACCACGCATCGATTCCACGCTCATCAATGACATTCATGATATGCGAGACGCTATCCTTCGTAAGAATGGCATCGCCTGTACCCTCATGGTAGAGAGCGGGGATAGGCACACCCCAGGCACGTTGACGAGAAATGCACCATTCACTCCTGTTCTTAACAAAGTTCTCAAGCCGCGTCTGCCCAGACGCTGGGACGAATGCCACATCTCGAAGAGCCTTTAGCGCGTTATCCTGAATATCAGCTACGTCGGCAAACCACTGTTCAGTAGCCCGGATAATTATGGGTTGTTTTGATCTCCAATCGTAGGGGTATTTGTGTTCGTAGCGGTGTTGAGAGAGGAGTCGCCCCAGCGACTTGATATATTCGAGCACAGCCACGTTACCTTCGTCCAAGACACTTTTGCCACTCAATTGCTTAGGATTATTCGGCATTGCGAGGTCAGTGAATTTTCCATAGTCATCAACCGGGGCAAACGCAGGAATACCGCGAGAAAGACAGGCTTCATAGTCTTCCATGCCATGCCCTGGGGCGCAGTGAACAAGTCCGGTTCCAGAATCTGCAGTTACAAAATCCGCGGCGATTACAGGCTGTGCTTCGGCATCCGGCCCTTTGAAAAGCGGTTGGTACATGGTTTGATCCGCAAGGTCCGAGCCAACGATCCCTGGCATAATCATCGAGAGGTCTTCCTTCAAAAGACATTCGAGGGCTTCTAACCGTGATTGTGCGATGAGAAGATGGCCGTGAGTCGCCGATTCGACAATTGCGTATTCCAACGATGGGTGAACGGCGATAACAGCATTGGCGGGAAGGGTCCATGGGGTCGTTGTCCAAATCACAGCACTGACGGTCTTGCCTCTCAGCAGCGGATTCTGCTCCAAATATGACGGCACCTTAGCGAGCGGAAATTTTACATAGGCAGCCGTGGAGACATGGTCCTCTTTATACTCCAGCTCTGCTTCCGCCAGCGCCGTACCTGTCGAGGGTGACCAGTAGACCGGTTTGAACCTCCGATAAATAAGACCTTTCTCCACCATTTCGCGGAAGATCCCCAGTTGTCTTTTCTCAAAATCCTTGTCCATGGTCTTCCAGTGATTTTCCCAATCCGCCATGACCGCAAAACCCCGAAACCCATTCATCTGCTTTTTCACCGTCCGGTCCGCAAGATTTCGAGCAATCTTTCTCGTAACTGCGGCTTTAACAAAGCCATCCTCGTCGCGAACATCCTTCCGTGCCTCCAGGGCCTTCAGCTCAATGGGTAAACCGTGGCAATCCCAACCAGGTACGTAGCGCACTCTGTTTCCCAAGCCGAGCTGCACCCGGCAGATTATGTCCTTCAGGATTTTGTTGAGGGCATGGCCGATGTGTAAATCGCCATTCGCATATGGAGGGCCATCGTGCAGGACAAAGGGCCGATTGGCAGGTCTTTCACGGCGTTGCCAGGTGTAGAGGTCATCGGTGCATCGTTTTAGGTATTTCGTCTGGTCGGCTGGACTCACGCGAGCCGGGAACGTCGACTTTGGGAGCTTTAAAGTTGACGACCATGATCGCACCAGCTTACGCGGCACTTCCGCCATGCTATTGTTGAAGCATGTCACGCTCTAGGGGAGAGCAATTCCGTGAAATTGTTTGTGGTTGAAGTCGGAGAAAGGGCTGCGATGCAGATCGGAAACTCCAAAAATAATACGGCTTGGCAGCGCAGGCCCACCCGGCTTTGTCCCCTGTCCCAGAAGCCAGGCGGAGGACAGTTCACATCCGACTTTACATAGTAGAAAAGGCCTGAGTACAACCAGTGTGAAATGAGATCTAATTGCATGGCTACTTGGTACATAGTGTCAATATATTGTTAAACAGCTTACTGCCCCATTCTTCATGACCTCGAATAGGAGACCGGGAAATCCAAAAAGCTCTGTATTCCCCAAACCTCCATCGTGTCCGCCCTGCCCTGTCCTCTGGCCTTTCCCTGTACTCTCCTCCCACCCCCCAAGGAACTCGACGCTGCTTTCTGGACTGTCTCCCCATCCCCTGTTTAACACCATTGGCCGTTCCAGAGCTCGCTCTTCCGACGCATTCGCGTACGAATCCTTCCACGCCTCTCTCAAGCGTCTCGAAATCTCATCATAGCGCGTCTCCGAAGTGCCAAGTGATGTCGAGGGTTTCGATTCGATCTTCCACCGGCTTCGACGGTACCGATTAAAGGGGTAAGACCCAGGCACATTCCCGTGAATCACAATCTTAGTCACGACGAGCTGAGATGATGGGGATGGGGGAGTCGGGTCATCAAGCCCCGAACTTGGAAATGCAGGACCAGACGTTGTCGGGTGAGATATAAACGCATCAAATCCATGGTGGAAGTAGTTGAAGAAACACTCCGATGGTAGAGAAGAGGGGTCCAAGGCATTAGTCTGCCCAAGGCCATCGTCTGAATCATCGCTCACACTGTTATTTGACGATTGATCTGTATCATTAACTTCAATGCCTCTAGCTGAAGACGGGCTCATGTGCATAATATCATCACCACCATGGCCGCCTGCGGCACGATGGATCGAGATTCTGCGATCATTCTTACGATAGATTGCGTCTGGAGGCCCAAACTCTGCGATCAAATCCTGTGGTGTAGTTTGCGATAAACTGATGTATGTCGGCGATGTAGATCTCCGAGTTACCTCTATTTTACCCGCCCCTAGTATTGTGAATTCTTCAATCTCATCTGGAACAAATTCTTTGGTTTTCCCAGCGACAGCGGGAGATCGTGGGTATTGTGGCTGCTGTGTGAACAACTTAGCTCGGGCGTCTGGCCAAGACGAGCCCTGGAAAATCGACATCGAGGTCGCCGGTAAAGCAGCTGAAGATGAGAGCAAAGCTACAAAGTCGCATTGTTCTGACCAAGCTGAGTCTTGTAGAGGGAATGAGAAGGCAACACCAGGGTACGAAAGCACATACGTGCCGTACGGAGATGGTGGAGTGGCCTGTACATATTCCCCGGGATACGAGGGACCGAAGAGGCGATTGTATACATGGCGGAAACTAGGGCCCTGCGGAGAAGCTGAATGCTCTCTGGTTTTGGTGACTCCCTTTAGTACTTCTTGATTCTTATAAACCAGCGCAGTCTTCGAGAAATCTAGCACCTCTATCAGACGTAACCTTTGATCGGGGCCGTCGAATCTCAAGCGCAGGCCATTTGAGGGGAGTTGGAGGGTAACAGGATGTTGTATGGGATCTGACGCGGAGTACGCTATGTCGATCGCGGGGTACGTCTGAGGGTGGGCTTTCACACGGCTTAGGACGTTATGAAGGGAGGCGCCGAGCGCTGTTGAATGTTAGTTAGAGTTAAGAAAGTGAGAAGGGATCAACATGCTTATGAAGCCGAGGCCCTTGCCCGGATAAATCTGCGACTGTGGTGATGCTTTTGAGATACTCATGGTAAGCAACAAGGCACCACCATGCCGTGAGGGGTACGAGAGAGCTCAAAGATAGCTAGATAACTAGATAAATTAGTAGGTGGAGGACCAGCTCAGGAGACGAAAGCTATGCAGTATTATGATTTCGAGAGTTACTGTCTCTGGTTGTATATGGATCGAGGTATAGATGGTCAGTAGCAAGGTATTCAGCTGGAAGCTCTCAAGTTCAAGACCGCGTGTTGCTCCAGCTTGGTCAGATGGCAATGAGGGGCCGAATCATGTGAGCGGAGGGGATGACTGGGGATATAAGTCACATGACATGATCGGCTGCGATGGAGGCTCGGTTTGTTTATGTTTTCCTGTTTTGGCTCAAGGCGGAACAACACCATCGACTCCGCCGATTGCCAGCGAGCGACTCAACCACTTTCCAAAAACGCTCCTTGAGGGAATTGGGCGCATATTTATTATATTTTGATTTTATCGCCTCTTATAACCTTGTCTTTTGGTTTTTTTTTCCCCCTTCACCAGCGACCGTCTTAACTGCCAATATGGCCGGCCCCCAGCGGCCTACCTCCGGCCTTCCGACAAGGCGAACCACAACGCGACAGCCTACTCGACGGGCAGGTTCTGCGGCACCAGAGCGTCAAACTTCAGCGCCATCTCCAGCTGTCTCCACGAAGGGCCCTGCTACTAGTCGGCTGCGCGGGTTGAAGTCACCAACGGAGCCTGCGAGCATTAGTGCCAAGCGAAAGGAAAGGGACATCGAACGCGAAATCAACGAAGATACCAGTATCCATGTTGTTGTGCGATGCCGAGGCCGTAATGAACGGGAGGTCAAGGAGAACAGCGGAGTAGCTCTTCAGACCGAAGGTGTTAAGGGGAAAACTGTGGAATTGTCGATGGGCCCGAATGCGGTATCAAACAAAACCTATACGTTCGATAAGGTCTTTTCTGCTGCAGCGGATCAAGTCACGGTATATGAGGATTCTGTTTTGCCGATTGTCACAGAGGTATGATTGCTGCATCTTCGCGTCGAGCACGACAGAATACTCACTAGGATATAGATGCTTGCTGGGTATAACTGCACCATATTTGCATATGGGCAAACCGGAACCGGCAAGACGTACACTATGTCTGGAGATATGACAGATACTCTGGGGATCTTATCTGACAACGCCGGAATCATCCCACGCGTTCTCTATTCTCTATTCGGCAAATTAGCGGAGACAGAGAGCACCGTAAAATGCTCTTTTATCGAACTTTACAATGAAGAGCTTCGAGACCTATTATCTGCGGAGGAGAACCCAAAATTGAAAATTTATGAAAGCGAGAAAAAGGGCCACATGAGTACCCTAGTCCAGGGTATGGAAGAGACTTATATTGATTCTGCGACGTCGGGTATCAAGCTCCTCCAGCAAGGGAGTCATAAGCGCCAAGTTGCTGCGACGAAGTGCAACGATTTGAGTTCTCGGAGTCATACTGTTTTCACTATAACGGTAAACACAAAGCGAACGACAGAGTCGGGAGAAGAGTACATATGCCCTGGGAAGTTGAATCTTGTCGATCTCGCTGGTAGTGAAAACATCGGGCGGAGTGGTGCTGAAAATAAGCGTGCGGCCGAAGCCGGCTTGATCAATAAGAGTTTACTTACCCTTGGTCGAGTGATCAACGCCCTTGTTGACAAGAGTCCACATATTCCGTACAGGTATGTCCTTACCATTGTCAATTAAAGGTTCGGTGCTAATAAGATATCAGAGAGTCCAAGCTCACACGCTTGCTCCAAGACTCGCTCGGCGGACGAACAAAAACATGCATTATTGCGACGATCTCGCCTGCTAGAAATAATCTCGAGGAGACCATCTCCACACTTGATTATGCTTTCAGGGCCAAAAATATTCGAAACAAGCCTCAAATAAACTCGACCATGCCTAAAAAGACGCTTCTTCGCGAATTCACGTCCGAAATTGAAAAGTTGAAGGCTGAGTTGATCGCGACGAGACATCGGAACGGTGTGTACATGTCAGTGGAGTCATATGAAGAAATGACCATGGAGAATGATTCGCGGAAGATCATCAATGAAGAGCAGCGGGCAAAGATCGAATCGATGGAGTCCAGCCTCCGCCACAAGGTTCAAGAGCTTTTCACACTGACGAGCAAATTTAATGACTTGAAGAAAGACAACGATGACACGCTAGCGGCCCTGTGTTCAACAAACGATGTTCTACAGCAGACAGATCTTGTGTTGCAAAACACTAAGGAACTGTTGGAGGAAGAAGAGATGTTGCGGAATGCGCATCAGGAGACAGAGCACCAGCTTCATGACCTCGGAAGAGGGTTAATATCAACCTTGGGCCAAACTGTTCAGGACATCAGCGGGCTGCATGCAAAATTAGACCGCAAAGCAGATTTGGACTCTACTAACACGGAGATGTGGCAAGTTTCATCAAATGAGGTCTCTGATGTGACGAATCGAATTGACCAGCGTGTGGAAACATTTCAAACGCAACACTCGAAGCTCCTGGCAGAATCTTCCACCAAGATCAACGATTTTATTGCAAACGAACTTTCTCAAATCGAGGACACTCGACACGACCTCTCTGGTTATACACAATCTCTTGACAGCGCATACAACAATGCGAAGTGCGAAACATCTGGCGCTCATGACGACATGAACAATGTACTTGAGGAGATTAAGGACTTGCGGGAGGAGGTTAAATCCAAAGTTGGAGAGGGACTTAACGGCCTGTCAGCCGCAGCAGCTCGGATATCTAAAGAAGTTATTAGCGAGTTCACCGAGTTTCACGCTCAGGTAAGAACCTCGATCTTACCATGACTTACTTGTTCTTTTCTAACCTTTTGCAGCTCCATACATCCTACAGTAGCCTTGGAAAGGACCTGAAGTCGGTCTTCGAGACAATGAATGCGCACATTGCCGAACAGAGGAATGAGATGGACAGGCTAAGGGTTGAACTTCAAACTGCAAACCGCGAAAATATTGAGAGTTCCCACAAAGCTTCTTCCCATCTTGCTCAGGCCCTCGAAGAGGAGCAGGTTGCGGCGGAGGCTGAGCGGGATGTCTTGATGTCTCAAATCAAGGCACTAGTTGAGGAATCCCGACAGAAGCAATTTGGTCGACTCAAAACAAAAATCGATACGGCTCGCACCGATATTTCGTCATCAGGAGAGATGTTAGAGCAAGCCACAAGTCATCATGATCGCCAGGTCGACGAATGGGTCTTCAAGTCCGAACAATTTGCCAAAGACGTGAATGCCTCGAAGGATGAGGTGAAAGCAAGGCTACAAAACGATTGGGAGGTAAGCGTCTAACCCTGAATTAATATGCGTTCTTTCGCTAAGTGTGTAGGCCTTTGACCAGCGCAATTCGGCTATTCAGAAGACAACCGAGTCGGTTCATAAGGAGACAGTCCGAATTGTCGACGCCCAGATGGAAGATATGGGAAGACAAATGGAGGCTCTGGACGATTTTGTGTCCAAGGCACGATCTCAGAACGGCCGTTATCGTGATGCCCACATTACTACTCTCGATGCGATAGCGTCCAATGTACACGGATCGTACTCGTCGGTTCAAGGGAAGGCTGACGGCTTGAGTGAGCGAATGAATCGGTTTCAGGAAGAAGCAACACAACATCATGCATCTCTGGAGGAATCAATCGCTCCATTATCTGACAATGTCCGAAAGCCCCTTTCCGACCTCTCTGCTGCCATCCTGAATCGTTCTTTTGAGGAATATGTCGCTACTGGAGTCACCCCGAAGAAACGAAAGTATGATTACCCTTCTGACTTGCCGAACACTGAGTCGCATGAAGCTCTAAAGTCCCGATTGAGAAACACCAAGGAGATGGAACTTCTGCCATTTAATAATGATGAGGATGGGCTGTCGCCGTCTGGCAGTACACCGGTCGGTTCTCCGTCAAAAGGTTTCGTCTACAACGACGCAGAGGACGAGGTAGGAACTCAAGTGCCATCCATGACCAACGTCGACCCTTCCAACACAGGACTTAGGGAAGTCGATGCAAACGTCGCTGCACGACCGCTCGCGTATAATACAGAGGACAATTCTTCTACAGACAAACACGGGTCACTCATTACCAGTCCGAGCACCACAGCTGAACCTGACGGCATTGATCCTCCGCCATCAAAAAGACGCCGCTCAAATTCAACCACAGTTGAAACCAAGCTACCAAACAAGATGCTTGCTAGGAGAATGGCTGGGATGATGGAAGGGAGAGAGAACGTACCACCTCCTGGGGTTTCCGCTGGTCGTAGGCTGAGAGGTCGTCCTTCACCCTGATCAATATTCGTGTTTGGAGGTAACTATGCTTTCTGGCTGCATATATTCTTATACCCTTTTGCTTTTTCTCAAGGTTTAGGAGTTTCGGAGAAACAGGGGCAAGCATCGAGCTTTTTGTTTAATAGATAACACCGGCCATCTGGTTATTCAAGGATTTGATTTCTACTCAGCTTGTGTTTGTTTTGTCTTGCATGCCATGTTTTGGAGCTGTATCCTTTCTCGTTTTGCTTCTAAAGAGGCTTTGACATTCTTCAGGTACCTTTTTTTTTTTTATTATTACCATAAAATTTTCGTTTCGACACTTGATTTACCAATTTATGTTCATGGTTGTTTATCAATAGAAGCCTTCCAGGACCATAGTGTGTGTACGATCTTTGTATCATTAAGAAACCAAAATTAGGTTCAGTAAGCTACTGCCTTGGTATCAACATAGCACTACAACTCTGTCACTGATCTTGAGGCACAGGTTCTTACTCTTGTCCTTCATCAGCTTCTGCTCCGGAGGTGACATCTTGAGTGGTTTGAGTTTCAAACCCTTCCAGAGGGCTTGCGCCCTGAAAATTTCCAGCGCGTGTACCCCGCTCTCCACTCTCAATCACTAGCTTCAGCTCATCCAGCCTCCTGGCGAATTGATCCATCATATCCTCCAGCCGTTGATTTCCCCGTTCTTTATCCTTGCCAAGCGTACCAACAGGCAAGCCCGAGGTGCCTTGGATCTGGAGCATAAGCCCGCCGTTCGCCGGTTTCTCGCCAGCCGCATTATTCTCGAATGTCGGGGCTGGAAGAAGTCGCGAGTCTAGCACCTGCCAGGAGGGTGATAGACTGTGCGCAGAGCTTATTGTGAGTTTGCTAGAGGAAAGAGGTTGATCTTGCTGACTATGTAACGGGTTATTGTTGTCCGGATGCGAGGGAGGGGCCGTCTGCTCGTGGCCTCGTCCCTCCTGTGACGTTCCGCCAGGGAATTCATCCCCATGAGCATCGGGGATGCGGTCGACATCTAGAATAATATAGTTTTCTCGAACGCCGGGGATCGGGTCCGGAAGCAAAGGTTGGTTCCTAGTCCCCTCGTATGCTCTTTCCGTCTCTGGGTCCCCTGGATGCTGGTGTGGCGCTTTTGACTTGCCCTTCAACTTTGAATTTGCGGGGCTGTTTTGCTCAGACTCGAGGGAGCGTAGAGCAGCTTCTGTCACAATGTCTGTATCATCGTCGGAGAAGATATAGTGGACTGTTGGATGGTAGTATTCCGAGGTGTTGGCGTCCTCGATCAAGGTGAAGAACGGCTGGGATAGGATTCGAGCTGAAGATGGCAGTTCATGGCGTGTTGGTTCATCCCATCCTTCTGGAAGCGGGTCGACGTGCTGGCTTGGATGTTCGTCTGGAGTATCATTTGTCTGCACAACTTGGTCGATGCTATGTGGCCGAGAGGGGGGTCGTCGAAGAGAATTCTTGGAGGAGGGAGATGAAAGCGGGGGCGATGAGGTTGATTTTGGAAGAGACATGGCCGATGGTCGTGGCTACATGGTTACAAAGGCTTCATGATTGAAGGTGTGACGAACGTTGAAACGGCTGGGCTTCAGGGCCGGATGAGGAGAAGCTCTTATCGATAGAGTCAGGTGACTGGGTCAGGCACGGGATTTGTTTGCCCCTATATATATAGTGATGCTACAAGCATGCCAGTACAAACCAAAAGGAAGATGAACCTTCTTGCTTGTATAATTATTATTTAGACAAGTAATAAGATGTAGTGAGAACAGAGGGTATCATAACAATTGCAAATCCAACGCCGTATTCACTCCAATTACTTGGCGCATGTTCATCATTCGTCGTTTTGTTTCCATTCAAATTCTAGTCCATGTTTTAGCAAGGTCAAGAGGAGCTGCGAGGCAGTACCTACTCTGTCGGCACATGGGACAAAGTCCCTTGGAAGACTCTTGTTGAATCCAAGTCATTAGACAATGCTGTTCGGAAGAGAATACATGAGCCTATGTGAGAGTGGGAGGATTCCGTAGGTATACCATATGGAAGGAGTGGCCACACTTCCCAAGCACTGGCGGGCAGAGTTAGAACCGGAGACCAGATTTGCTCATAATGAGGATTTCTTACGCAATGAGCAGTCGTCTCCGGGAAATTTGCAGGTCGGGCAAGTCCCGTCGAACTGGACGCGGCAGATACCACAGACTTCATCTTCTGGCATATCCCAGCGCCAGGTTGCGACCGCGTTCCATTCTTTTAGAGTAACCTTCATGGCTGCAGAATGCTCACAATTGGTGGCGTGAAATCGTTGTTTTCGGCACGAAGAGAGGGAGGAAGATCGGTGGAGCAGGCGATAAGAAAGAGCAGTTTCCAGGGTAATTGTCAGACGCTCACATGGCGGAGATTCGGAGAAGCCGCCGACTCCGCATCATCTGTCATTACTGTCAACTCTCCAACACAACCACAAAGCGCTCTTTCCTCTGATCCAGTCCGCATAGCCTACCCCCTGCCCGTGCTGCATCTATCGTCTCCAATTTCTATCGACCCACAAACCAGGAATGTAAATACTAGCCATAACCCCTCCTCACTCCAATCACCATGGCATTCGCAGCGATCCGCAGCTCTTTCCCCTCACCGACCCGGTTCATACGACCAACAACGGTGATGTCGCAGCAAATACGGCATCAGGCCCAGATTCGCCATGTTTCATTCTCTTCATACCTCGTATCTCCGAATGAATTGTCGGAAGCGCTGAAGAAGAACCCATCCACGAAGATCTCGACATCGCCTCGTGTAATTCCCCTATGTGCGGCTTGGTTCATGCCCAATGACCCTGAGGGTCGCACAGGAATTGATGTTTTCCGTAAACATCGCGTGCCACAAGCTCGTTTCTTTGATTTGGATGCGATCAAGGACACCGAATCCCCTTACCCGCATATGCTTCCCACCGCGGAGGCGTTTGCCGATGCGATGAGTGAACTGGGAATCAGACGTGATGATGAGGTAGTAGTTTATGATACCGAGGAGCTTGGAATCTTCAGCGCTCCCCGCGTCGGCTGGACCCTGAGAGTGTTTGGACACCCCAAAGTCCATCTTCTTAACAACTACCGGCTGTGGGTGCGCGGTAACTACCCAACAGAGACTGGAGAGCCCCAGAAACCGGAAAAGTCCAGCTATCCTGTTCCCACTTACGACTCGAAGCTTGTCATTCCATACCTTGAGCTGAAGGAGCTTGCAAAGGAGCATCGCAAGGAGGGTGCAAAAGAGGTGGAGATTCTGGACGCACGATCCCAAGGGCGCTGGGCGGGAACTGATCCTGAACCACGCCCGGGCCTATCTTCTGGGCATATCCCTGGTTCTACAAGTCTGCCATTCCAAGAGTTACTGGATCCTGAGACGAAGACCTACCTTCCCCCGGATGAGCTACGAAAGGTATTTGAATCGCGTGGACTGGACGAGAGCAAATCTATTATCAGCTCTTGCGGTACCGGCGTTACAGCCACAATCATCGAGACAGCGTTGGGGCTGGCCGAATTCGGTGACCCCAGTATTCACAGAGTATATGATGGAAGCTGGACGTAAGTTGTCTATACCTATGGAGCCGTGTTTAAATACTTACTACGATATCAGGGAATGGGCGCAGCGTGTGAAGCCAGCCGATGGATTAATCAAGAAAACCAATTAAGTCAGACAAATAGCGGCGGAACTAATACGTCTCGCTCGTCTCTTTTCCTGAATGCTTATCGAGGTTGATGCTTGGGGGCAGATGAATGATTGACTCCCTAGTGTATGGACTGTGAACTGTGTCATTGTTTCTATTCTCATAGAGTATAATCACGGATAACCCAATAGATGTATTTGATGAGCAATATTCATCATTTTTTAGACATTGTTACAGGATGGTTTCAATAAAGAACTTCACAGACTCAGTAGCATGATGCTTAGTAAGAATGCAGCAAGGTCCGCGAGTTGATCCGACAACTCCTTTGGTGGCTTTCACTCTTCTTATCACCTCCGCCGCACTACGTCAGCCATACAAACCACAAGATGCTGCCGATGAAAACTCTTTATGAACTAGGATCCGACTGTGAGTTTATTGTTACTGACTTTGTGTTTGTCCCTGGACATGGCTGTTGATGCTTCTTAAACGCTCAACCGTGACCCCCACATTCCCTGATCTCTCCGCTGACATCGATCCACAACCTCCTTCAGACTTCAGCTAACACTGCGGCGTAGTCGCAGTTTCTAGAACAGGCTATTCGGAGTAGGGTTGTTTGCGCCTACAGTGGCCTTGAACGATTATACGTATAATCGCTTGCGTTTCCGACTATCCTTATCGAAAAACACAATGTCGGCAGGACGCAAGGTCTTCCACTGTGCCGTGGATGAGACGGCACTAACTACGAATATCAGCGAGATCAAAAAATGGGCGACGAACGGGGCTATCAATCTTATCGTTCCTCTTTACAGTAAGGCCCCTCGGACTGAACCTCCGCCCATTGCATATTCCACTCACTCACACTGCTTGCAGCCCTCGAGCGCCTTCATGCGCTGAAGAAAACCGGGTCGCAGGTCGCTATCAACGCTCGAGAAGCAGTGCGATTTCTTGACCGCGTGACGTCCGGAAAGGACAACGCTGTCTCCGAAAGAATTATTCTACAAGGACCGATGGAACAGTACGAAAATTGGAGCGAGGCAGAGAAGTTTTTCTTACCGGAGTTTGAAGACGAACCAGAGGCAGCCGACGGGGCCATTTCAGCGGAGGATCCGACACTGCAGGAGAAGCAAGACGAGAAGGATGGAGACCACAAGAAGAGCAACACCTCTACCAGCGATTTGTCGCAAATGCTTCTGAGCAAATTGAACTTTAAGAAGGATTCGGATGCCATTTCGCTCACCTCCACGGGTACTCACAGCGCCCCTGTCTCGCCACCCTCGTCTAGGAGCTCTCGGACAAGTCCAGAGTGTGCGAATAATCACGCTACGAACGGCGAGGAATCCAAGGACTACAAGGACAAAGGACATCGTCGCACCGCTTCCGGGTCTATGATCCCCGTCGTGCCGCCTGCTCTGCAGCCCTTGCTTAGCGCACTTCTATGGAGACTACATGAAAGCCCCGATGCGTCAAATGCTGCTAAAGCACCCATCCTGATTAGCAACGACCTTCCCACCCAACGTTGGGCGCAGAAGTTTGGTATCGGCGTCAAGAACATCCATCAGCTGCGAACTTCCATCCAATACGAAGAAAGAGAATATAAAAACCGATGCAAATACGTTGAGAAAACCCAGACCACCACCACCGAGCCCAAGTCCTTACTTTCCTACGAAGAAGAAAGTGACGAGGACGAACTAGTCTTCGTCCCCCGCGGTCGTGGCAAGGGCGCTCCAAAAAGTGGTGGTTCTCGCGGAGGCGGCAACCGCAAAGCTTCTGCACCGGCCAAAACTGCTGCGCCGCCCGTGGAAAGCACGATTGAGATACCGACTCAACCGATCGATCCTAACTCATTTAGTCGGTCACTGGGCGTGACACCAAAACAACAAGCGACAGTTGATTTGAGCACCCAGGCCGGCGCCTCACGTGGCATGGCAGGTGCCTCGCGGAACAATACCAACAATCGGCGCGGCGCGGCGCGTGGCCAAAACCGCGGTGGCAGTCGTGGCCGTGGCAAACTCTGGGTTCCATGATCGCACGATGCAAGTCCGTTGACGCTTGTGTTGCGGCGGACCGAACATCAATACAACATCGCGATAGACCAATTGGTTGCTCTACGAAGCAGGAAAAAGGTTGTAATCTACCATAGCCCGGACTCAGGTTCTCTGTCGGTTTCCGTTATGGGTGAGACAAATGGGCTTTGGGCGGATGACTCCAGTATGAAAGCGAAACCCGGAAAACGACTCATCAAATCCAGGATTCAGCGAGCATTGTGATACGACCCCGATGGGTTCAGATTCAGTTCAGGCCTGGTCTGGGCGTCCCACTTTGCGTCCCTCTGATCGCTCATATCATCTCATGCCTTTGCTCCTTTAATTTCCGTTGATCATGGAGGAATCGGGGCTGCTGTTTCATCTTCTGTGACGTCGGAATTCCCGTGTCGCATAGCAGCAGCATGCTTTTCAAGAGCTAGGCTATTCAACATGCTACTCTTAGTTACCAGCACGCCTGCAGACAGGTGATGCCGTCCCTCTTTATTGTCCGCGTTAATTTTGTCGACATCACAGACTGAGAAACGATGTCAGTTAGCTCCTACAAGTTGAATACATTAGATCTTTTTTCAAAGTACAACCGTACCTATTATTATTCCTAATCCGGCGTTCTTTGTGAGGAACAAGCAGGGTCAACGTCAACCCCGCGATGATCCCGTGGAACAGTCCAATCACTTGACTCGACCAGCCTTCCCCTCATCGCCGCGACAACCAGACAACTTCAATGTCGCATGCGATGACATCCACTAGTCTCACGATCGGTGCGACCTATATATATACTTATATCTTGCCCTGTCTCTCTTCCACCCGTATTCATCAACATTAAATTTAAACAGTACAAAGCCCGTCGGATACATCGACCTTATACAAACTCCAACCAACTACAATGTCCACCGAACCAACCTCCACCCCCGCAGCCGTCGATACCACCTCCCTGGCAACCTCCCCACTCGAACGTCGTGACTCCCTCGAAAAGCACCTTCTTACCCGCCCCGATCCCCAGGACCTCAAGGATAGACATATCCTGCTAGACACAAATGTCGCTCCGTACGTATAATCCTGTCCTGTATATCTACACCTACATGGTCTCTATCCGATCTACATCTCTTAGCCAAGTCGACGAGGTGGAGTACCTCTTTTGAGCTAACAATGCTTGTTTCTGCTTTCGCACCGTAGGTCCATCCAAGCCATGAGGCAGAAACTGGATCGCCAGCGGGCGTCGGACAACCTGAAGAAGAATCTGGAGCATCGCCCTGAGAGGGATGAGTTGGTTGACCGTAGGTTTTCTTCCTCTATCTCTACCTATGTTCTGGCATTAGGATATGGTAGAGTACTATTTATATACTGACTGGACTCGTTTCTGCAGGCCACATTCTCCCCGCGGAAGAGAACGCGCCGCTTGATCAGTAAACAATTAGATCGGGGACTTTCGAGAATAAGATGGGTATATTTTTATGATTGACGGAATGAAGGGAGCGTGGTGTTAATACTGCGATGGATCTAGTTTGTCTACACTTGGGCTGCTGGGATGGCACAGCTGGGAAGCTCGTTAAGATGGAGTAATTAATCAGTGGCCGAGACTCGCCTTGGCTGATGGTTTTATGGGTTTCATTCGTTCGTCGTGATTTTTTTTTTCTCAAACATATCGGAAACACTAAATGTACCTAACCCGGTACCCCATACATTATCATAGTTCATGCCATGCCGTAAACTTTGCGCCTTTTGCTCCTAACAAGGAAGCGAGATGAGAGGTGAGAGAAGGTGATAAGGCCAGAAGAGAGAGAGAGGGAATCAATAAACATCCATCTCAACCGGCCCAGACAAATCCGGCTTCCACCCCGCTGGTCTCTCACTACCTCTCACCAAAATCCCATACGCCGCACGCTCGACCTTCTCCACGCTATTCCGCATTATTTCAGATTTCTTGCCAAACTCTCGGAGCATGTTATACTCGTGCCGGCGCGGAATACTAACACCCTCGAACTCGGCCCGAATCTCCCGCAGGTCACGTACAACACCTGCTTGCGCGGGGAATAATTTCGGGAGACGTTGACCGGTCGAGTTCTCATCCTCCTCGCCGGTATGACTCCCTGCAGAAAGCGATGTAACAGCGAACCGCATAAGCTCGCCTGTCAGATCGAATAACCCCATCACGTAGTCGTCCTCCGTAACTAGAATCTCGGGCGGCAGATGTGACATGACTTCTTGTCGCGTGATTATGGTTTGCGTTTCGAGATAGTGTTTGAAGGAGAGAGCTTCGATGAATTCCTGGATTCCAGAGCTGAGTTGCCGGAGGTAGCGGTAGTTGTTTAAGCCCTTGATCTCGGGGACGGCGGAGAGGAAGAGGTCGTTGATTTGGGTGAAACGGGATTGGGTGTCTTTTTGGATGTTAGGTGATATTGGCGCATTGGCAGTTCGGACACTGAGGTTGGTTGTTTTAGTTAGTATTTTGTTTTCTTACGATGGTGTTGGTGGGATGGGCGAACCGTTGGAGGGAGAAGATGCTGTTGGTACGGTTTTTGTTAGTTTGATAAGGGAGCTGAGGCGGGGTATAGATAAAGTTGGAAGCGCACATTTTCTTGCTAAGAGCTGTGATATCGCGGCTTATCTTAATCAGTCGCTCACGACGATCGTGGTGCTGGTCTAGTTCATCACGAAAGCCCTCGAACATTGAGAGGATATTGGTTGTGGATTCCGCCATTGTTTCTGGGGGTGACTTTGATTGTTCGGCGTCGTTGCGAAGGGGTATACCTTCCCAGGAGCGCTTGGTCCCAGTCGCAGAATCCTCAGTGTTGGCTTCCATGTGCAAAGGTGGTGGAAATTGAACAGAGCGAAGTTATTCTGGGGAGATGTCATTGGCGGGGCTTAACCCGATTTGGAATGTTATCTGATAAGCTGAGACACAGATCAGATCACGATAAGCGCTGGTGCTCCGTAGTACGTATTGATGGGCATGATAACTAAGAATGTACTAGCTCTAAGGCTACTGTCCAAGGAATTTGTACCTAAGTGGCGCCTCTCCCGGCTTCAGACCCTTAATGGTAACCACCTGGTCGTCGCCGGGGACGATGTCAATAGCGCTGTCGCTCACCCGGATATTGTCCCGCTCCTCAAAGACCAGGCATTTCACCGGCTTTCTGGCGCTCAGTTCAAGTCTCTGCTCGTCTTCCGTCTTGGAAATCCTGGTAATTTCTACTCCGCGATCGGAGAGATCCAGATACTTGAATGGTTGTGGCCAATCAACATCTCGTGCAACAAGCTCGCCATCAACCCACACTCTGGCGGCGAGAACATGCGGCTCGTCCGCCACGTAGTCGATTACGCCTTCCAGGATGTTAGTAGTGCCATTAGGAACAATTGAAACGTTATCATGAACGATCGCCTCGCGGATTGCAAGTCCCGTCTTGATTGAGATGAACCTCAATTCCACTTTTCCGACCAGCTCTTTCAGCAGACTACTCACAACCCAGAGCTCATATTTGCCAGTTTTTGGCGGCTGTGCGTGAGATACACTCCAGTCGTGATGTTCTCGGCGTACGCCAATGGCCACTGGCTTCAAAACACGACCCACCGCGTAGAACGCGGGCTTGGGGCGTAGGAAGTAGTCTACGATAGCCCAGGAGATCGTGGGCCAGCAGTCGTTCAACTGCCAAAGTAGAGCACCGCCACAGTGTCTTTCATCTCCCCACTGCCGGCGCCATCCCCGGTATCCAAACATCATAGTTTCTGCTTGGACGACTTGAGTAAGGTAGACGTAGGTCTAAGTACGTTAATGATATGCGGCGTCTACCAGGGTGGGAATACATGCCTCTAGATCGGTTGCTGTTCGCAAGTTTTCGACGAGGTAAGTAGCGATTCTTCGCTCGTGGCCATCTGCCTTGTTGTGGAAGTCTAACACGTGTGACTGGGGGTATTTGTCGGCTTCATTTTCAACGAATTGGTTGATAGTGGACATGTGAGGGAATGCCTCCATTCCGAATTCGCTATTGAAGCGTCCTCCAAGAGTATCAAAAATTTGATATTTCTCTTGCGTTCCGTGCCAAACTAGTTGGGTTCATTAGTTTAAAGTTTAGGTATATGTTACAATAATACTTACCGTTCCACTGGTGCATATCACCAACTGTTGGATCAGAGGTGATTTTGCCGTCGCCCCAAGGGCTGCCCGGATGATAATACGTTGATGGAATTATTTTCTTCACAACGTTCGGCAAAATGTGTTCATAGATATAGCGAGCCGGGAAGTCTGTTTTGAGCCAGCTTTGTGGATCCTTGTCTTCGTAATTGTAGGTAAGCCCCTGTTGTTCCTGTACCTGGTAGTCTTCGTTGTTGCCAACCCAAATAACAATGGATGGATGGTGGCGTAGTCTCTTCAGGTTGTATTCGGCTTCTTTCTCAATTGATTCAAGTATCTCAGGCCACGTGGGATAGTTACCACAGCCGAACATAAAGTCCTGCCACACCATCACACCAACCTCGTCACAAGCCTGGTAGAAGCTCTCGTCTTCGTATATACCACCACCCCAAACACTAAGAGAGTCAGATTATTTGAACTGTGGCCCCGTATATAGAACAAACTTACCGAATCATCACTTGATGACCAACAGCCATCAACTCAATCCATTTCCGGTAACGATCTGGAGTGATGTTGGTCAAAAGGCTATCGGCCGGAATCCAGCAGGAACCACCGCAGAAAATATCCACGCCATTTATGCGAAAAAAGAAAGATTTGCCATGTTTGTCCGGCTGCTGGATTACTTCTGCAGTTCGAACGCCAAACTTCTTTGAAACCTGGTGGACTTTGTCATGTTCCTTCTCCAGAGAGGCAGATATTTCATATAAAGTCTGGTTTCCATATCCATTCGGCCACCAAAGAGAAGGATTTTGTACTTCGAAAGTCGTTTTGGCAACATTATTCTCTGGCGATACCACCTCCTTTGCAATATCTTGTCCTTGGAGTCTAAGCGTAAAAGTAACTTGGTATG